GAGTTGGTAAAATGTTTCTTTTTTGTTGCTTTGCTTTGAACCAAATACTTATCTATGAGGATAACAGTAATTTTTCTGTTTTTTTCGTCGTAATTCCGTTCAAATAATTTAAAAAAAAATGTCAAAAATTAAAATTTTTAAGATTTAAACACGAATTTTTTGGGAATTTTATTACGAACTAAACGCGGTGTGTCATTTTATATTTGGGGTTTTTTTGAGGAAAATTAGGGTTAAGGTGTTTTCTATGTTTTTTTAGGTTGTAATTCCGTTGAATTAAATGACATAAGCTAACAATACACATAATTTTTCCAAAAATGTTAAAAAATATTTATTTCAGATTTTTGTAGCACTTTTCTATAACGATTTTGAAGTTTTTCAAAATTAAAGATTCTAGATTCAACAAAACTGTTGTTACAAGCTAGTTACATAGTTGTTAATATTTCATTTAAATTGCTATTTTGCATTGGGCTTACCAGGTGCACCTCTGTTTTGTTTCAATGGTCAGTGATCGGATCACAACGGCATTATCTGCCGACTGAAGCCCTTTTCAGAGCCAACCACTGGAAGTTAACTTGGCAAATTTCATTCAAGCTAGTGCTCGGCAATAACAACATAAAGCGAGAGAGCTTCAATTAAAATAAATGCAACACAAGCGTAAAAAGAGAAAAATATCAACGCAGTAGAGGGTAGGGGGAAAAAAGGGGGGTCTGCAAAAAAAAAAACAAAAAGAGTATAGTGAAACAATAAACTTTGACTTGCTGACGGTGGCATTTGCGTGATGGTCCCCGGTTTCCATGTCCTTTACACCCCATATGTATATGCTATCCTATTCCGGCTCTGTGTCTATTTGCACCTGCATCACAGATCAAAGTGACAGCCCCCCCCCTGCACTACACCCCTGGTCAAGTGCTGCACTTGTGTGCGTGGAGCCGTAATGAAAAAGCGCGACGTGAGTACTTTAAGAGGGGTGGCGGGTGAACACAGGGGGCCTCAAAGGGGGTACAAAAAGTGGGTAATATGGGTACAGAGGAGTGGGGGGGGTGAAAACTGTCCTAAGAAGGCGGTTAAAGGGGGTGGGTAAAGACACCAAAAGGGGTCTATAACAGCGGAGTTAGACGAGTGTTTGCCCGCTGCTTGCCTTTCCCTTTATTTCCCACTTTTCGTTGCCACAATTTCATTTTCAATTTCAATTGCCCTACGTCCTACGTCCTGCATCCCTCTAACCATCATGTATGGTATAATATTTGTATTGCATCTCGCCAAGCGATGACCAAGAGTTGCCCCCCCTTTTACCGGCGCCCTTTGACCAATTGCATTGCCATTTGTTGGCTTTGTTTATTAAAGAGCAAAGTCGCTTACATTTATTTACCAAGCCATTCCAATCTAATTTGCGGCCAGCTTCTGTTGAAATGAACCGAGGGCCAAAATGTTTAGTTTGAACGTTTATTTTTTATTAAATATATGTAAGTATATTTTAAGGCAAAGCTTTAATCTTATTTTAATATTTTTTAAACCTCTAGAAATATGTGCCCATATTTAATAATATTTATTATATTTTAAAGCCAAGCCTTAATCCTATTTTAATATTTATTAAACCTCTAGAAATATGTACCCTCATTAAATAATAGTAATAAAAGCAGAGACTAACCCAACTATTGCTACATTTTCCTCGCTCAAATTGAGACTGCATATGCGGAATTCCGCAACTAATGATGACCATATCCCATGGCCCTCTAACCATTTTTCTTGCTATGCATTTCGTTGCCATTTTTACGTTTTTTTTTTATCTATCCCCGTCTGCTACGTTACGTTATTTTAACTTCGCCTTTGTTTTTTCATAAGAATTTTTTAATTTAACGCTCAATAAGCTTTTGCCGCGTTTCGTTTTGGTTCTATATTCTTGTTTTTCGTTTATTTTCCTTTGGTTTTTGGTCCTACTTGTTCTGGCTCTGATTTTGGGATACGCGTAATTTTTTGTTTTTTGCTGTCTAACGCAGCGAAGATGAGGCAGTCTTACTATATGTATATATATGTAGATTAGGGTGGTCCAAATTTGTAAGGAAATTTATAACTCATACGCACTGTTGCCCATGATCAAGAAATGATTTTATTCTAGGTGGTGTAGATTTTGACCAAACATTTGCTTTTTTTTTCTTAAACCAATTATTTTAACAAAATTTATAATTTAATAAATTTTAAAATGGGAGACTAAATACGAATTGTCACACGTGTCGTATGAGTAATTTTTAAGGAAACTTAAGACCGTTTCTTAAAATATCATTATTTAGTACATTTTTGGTCCTCCCTAATGTACATATATATGTTGTAAATGGGGAGGCCCACTACATTTAGTTGAATGTGCCACACACAGAGAGAAATAAGAACCACTTGGAATTTATCTTATCAATATTTAATTATTATTTTAGGAAAATACATAATCCTTGTAATTTTGGTTTAAAATGATACTTCAAACTGATATTCACAATATAAAAAACCCAAATTGATTATATTTTTCTCAGTGCTGTAAGAAATTCTGCGAGTAGATGGGGAATCCCAAAATCCAAATACTGAACGTGTACGCATCTGTCTGTGTGCAAGTGTAAGTGTGTGCGTGGCATTCGACCAAGATTGATGGGAATTTAAATTGAGCATTTCGTTATAAATATGCGCGCGTTTTACTGTGTTTTGCGGCAGGTCCTCCCAAAACTAACGCTTTTCACCCCACTTTCGCCGCCTGAAGGGAGTGGGGAAGGGGGTGGAAAATGGGGGGTAGGAGCCGCACTACGTGTGTGCATCCGCACTTAACTTGACAGCCAGCAAGTCAGCCAAGCGCTGTCGTCAGTCAGTTACATCCATCCCTTTTGGTCTACCAGGGTGCCTGCTTCTCCCAATAGAATAGGGCAATAGCTGCCCACCCTTGGCCAAAATCAAACTGCACAGTCCGAAACAAGTGCTCAAAATATTGCACAAAGCTACAAAAATTAATGTATTTAGTAAACGGTTTATTGTAAATTTAAAAAAAAAATATGAACCACAACAAAAAATATTAAATATAAATTTAATATATTTACTAGACATCAGATATTATACAAAAAATATTTTTTAAATTTTAACATTCGAGTATCAGCGATAGATAAGATACAATTATTGTTCAAAAATTAAAAATCTTATTTTGAATTTGAGATATTAATTTATATTTAATCAAAGTTCGCTTAGAAGACAGTTTTTAGAATATATAAATTATATAGAATATGTTTAATATATATAAATGTTTCTTAAAAAATAATAAATTCAGCATACATATATATTTTTCTGTACATCCACCTCTATCCGGATCTCCTGGGGAGTAGGTCGTGTGGGTATACTGCTGTCAAGAAGGGCGGAAATCGGGAGTTGTCCAGAAATAATGGGAGACGAGACATTGCCGCCGACATTTGTTCTATTGCTGACACACAAAAATTGTATTGGTCAGTCGGTGAAAGATCCTAACACCGCAATATGGAAACAAAAACTTAAAACTATAAACTTTTGGTTTTTATTGTATTATTTTCTACTCCTTTTTAATGTTTCAGAATTTCAAATTAGATTTAACTAATCGAACGACAATAACTAATAGACGCCATAGGATGGATAAAAAATTAATGTCAAATTAATGCGAAACATTTTGTAATTTGTAATTTAATAGAAATGATCTGAACATCGGCTGGCCGAAGTTAGCTTCCTTTCTTGTTTTTTATATAGTTAGGAACTAGGAACGAAAGCGAAAGGTAGGAAAAGCAATAATGTAAATCATGGATATCATCAATAGTTTTTTTTCAGAAAATCAAAACTGTCTTGCATTGTATATAAAAACAAATATATCTATCAATTATCTTTATACTAGTTTTCTTCCATTTTAATTATATTCTTCGAGCTGTATTTTTCGTATTATTCCCCTAAGTTGCCTATACTATGTGGCGAAGAGGAGAGGGGAACTAAAAGCTCAGCTAATTTTCTAATTTCGCAATGTAATGTGGGGGTGGCTGTGATGCGGATTTCGCAGGACATGGAGAGGCCAAGGATGCCAGAAATGCCAAGGATGTTGCTGTTGCTGTTATTGTTTTGACTTTACTCGCGCTAACCCCTTTTCAAATTCTTGCAGAGCGCATTAAAAATAATTATGCTTATGCTGCTGGAAAATCTGCTGACTTCCATACAAGTGCTCCCATGACCAAATGGGTAGCCCCACATCCGTTTAAAATGCTTAAATATATATACACACACATGTGTGTATAAATATAAAGGGGGAATATGGCGAAATGACCGCAAAGCGAAAGTACGAGTGGAGGGGTTAGGGAACTGGAGCCAAGCTGCAAAAATATTTTAACAACATTCTTAAGCTCAACCGAAACGAAAAGTTATGAAAAATTTTATGAAAATTCATCTAAGGCCGTTCGGGGGTCAGAGGTCAGCAAGTGGGCGTCACCACAGCCCAGTTTTCGCTCTCCTTTCTCGACTTCTTGCCACATTTTAATTGAAATAACTTTGATAATGTTGCCTCCAACCTCCAAAAAAGAAAAATACACTACAGCAAAGCAAATCTCTTAAATAGAGATGGAATACAAAGTTATCAAGAAGAAAATCATACAGGATATTAATCTTGTAGATAGTATAATTTAATTGATTTAGGAAATAATCTTAATTAGGGAAATAAACATTTCAACGCATTCAAATCATCATATCAGAGTTTGAGAAAAAATAATGCAACTGAACATTATATTTAATATTATTATTATTAATTAACCAGTTTAAAATCAATAAAACACTCCATATTTTGATAATTTATAGATTTGTTTTGCATAAAACACTGTTAAATCCCAATCTCGAACTTATATTATATCTAAGAACCAATTAAAAAACCTTTTCGATTAAAAAAAATCGTATATTTATTGAAACATTAATTACATTCAACTCGAGTTGCACTCATCGACCGTTGAATTGGCTGATAAAAAGGGTGACGGTTAACTAATCGAAGGCGGCTGCATTTAAAGCCACCCAATGAATCTATTTATTGATGGGAAAGCTGCGCCTCAAGACATTATAATAGCAATTTCATAATTTTAATAGTAATTGCATATGCATATATATCAGGACATTAATACGTGGCGACGAGGACACTACACACTAAACATAGTTGAGTTTGATGGCGAAGTCGACGTCCATCTTGACACCCGGCTTGCGCACGACGACGGATTGGTCATGTTGCAGCACCTCCAAAGGCTGGGTGACACCATTCACCGTGATGCTGGCGCTGCTGGGCACCTTCTCCAGACCGGCGAACACAATGCGCTCGATCCAGGCGTCTGTCTTGTACTTGGGCTTGCCCACAAAGCTGTTCTGCAGCTGGCCGTTGGCGAACTCGTAGTTCACATGGATGCGCTGACCCTGGCGGTAGGCGTAGGACTTCTCGTCGTCCAGATAAAGCGACCCTGCTGCCTTGCCCTCTCTGTCCAGGCAGATGATCAGTGTGTACGGATCGTGCAGCATCAAAGTAGAGGCGCGTCGCTGGCGCTCCTTCCGCGGAACAATGCTGCCGCCACGCTGCCAAACGGGAATCTGCAAGGATTAAGGTTAAAGTAACGCATCAAATTATAAATAAATAATCTCACTCACCTTGTTGTCATCCACTGGCACCGACACGTAGCCAGAACGCTCCTGGCGCTGATAGGTATCCACATCGTACCACCAGTCACCGTTCTTCTTGTCATCAATGACCGGGAAGTAGACGTCCACCTTGCTGACGCCCTGCTGCATGACGGGGCGCACCAGCAGGCGATCCTGCACGAGCAACTGGTTGTCCACGCCAAAGGCCTCCTTATCGAGCGGATAGTGGGCCAACAGGGGACGGATCACCGGGGCACCAGTCAACTCCAGTTCGTAAAAGGCAGTGTACCAGAGGGGCAGATAAGCATAACGCTTGAGCACCGCATTCTGGATCACCTGGCGGGTGCGTTCGGGGAATAGCCACGGCTCCCTCCGCTTGGTGTCGATGTGGGCATGGGCACGGAAGAAGGGCAGGAAGGCACCGGCTTGATACCAGCGCTCCAGCAGCTCGCTATCGGGATTGCCAAAGAAGCCGCCGACATCGGCGCCGCAGAAAGAGAAGCCCGCCACCGCTTCCGTGAGGCACATCTTAATGGAGTGCTGGAGATGCGACCAGTCGGCCATGTTGTCACCCGTCCAGATGGCCGCATAGCGCTGCGAGCCGGCAAAGTGAGAGCGTGTCAGGATGAAGGGACGCTGGTTGGGATCGCGCTGCTGCAGGCCGGCAAAGGAGCCCATCAGATGCATGTGACCGTACAGATTGTGCACATCGCGGTGCTCCCAGTTGCCGTAGTGTATCAGATCCTTGGGCGCCGTGATCTCGGGCCCATTGAACACCGACGGTTCGTTCATGTCGTTCCACAGCATCACGTCGGCGGTCACCGTTTGGAATTTGTCCAGTGCATACTGACTGGCATAGTAATCCCTGACCACGGGATTAAAGAAATCCGGATAACTGGCCGCTCCAGGCCAGCACCAACCCTCGTAGTCGTTGCCCTCGCGCGTCTTTATGTAGTAACCGCGATCCGTGCACTCCGAGTGGAAGAAGTAGCCATTGTCCCGCTTGATATGCGGATCGATAATCACCACTAGATGACGACCCAGCTCGGTGAGGTTCTTGATCATGGTCAGGGGCTGCGGGAACTTAAACTTGTCCCAGGTAAAGTAGCGCTTGCCATCGGTGTACTCGATATCCAGCCACATGGTGTCCATGGGGATGTTGAACTCGTCGAATTTCGCCGAAACGGCCGTCACATCCCGCTCGTCGTTGTAGTTCCAGCGACTCTGGTGGTAGGCCAAAGCAAACAACTGGGGCAACTCGTGAGTGCCCGTCAGATCTGCGTACTGCTTGAACGTATCCATGGGCTTGGGACCCAGCATGATGAAGGCGTCCACGATGCCCGACTCGGACATAAAGTGGGCCGCCGGCGGCGGAGTCTTGCGCGAACCGGATACAAAGTTAACCAGCGACGAGACCACATTCGTCTCCGCCGTCTGGATGTCCACCCAGGTTTCGGCGGCATTCTGCCAATAAACGCCAGCAGTGCGCTGCTGTCCATGGCCGTAGATCACCGGCACTGTGCCGTACAGGGCCATCTTGCTGTCTAGAATATACTCAAACACATCCAGATTGTACAGACGATAGGGATCCGTGCCCGAGGTGGACTTCAGCACGAAGCTATCGGCGTGCTCGGGAATGCCGAAGAGAACCTCGGCGGCGGGGAACGAGAAATCGAGGGCCACTGCCTCGGGGCCGTAGGGTTTGGAGTCGTGATGCGACTTGAAGTTCTCCTCCCAGGCGCCGGGATCATCGCCGATGTCATCGGCCGCCTTGGGCGCCTCCACGGCGGCATCCTGCTCCTGCTGCTGGTTATCGTTCTCCGCGGGCTCTGGGGCCTGACCCTGAGCCTTCTGACGCAGATGCTCGAAGTACAGCCAGTTCTTGGCATTTACCGAGACCACCAGGACGTCGCTTTCGTAGAAATCAACGCGGAAGGGATCGCCGTGGATGACGGCCTTGTTCTTCTCCGATGTCACCACGATCTGCCCATCGGTCTCACTCTGGATGCGAATGCGCTCCGATTGGGGCTGACCCTTGAGGGCGTGCTCAACGCGATATCGCGGCCGCAGTGGCTGCTTCTCATCGATCTGCAGGCGGAAGGTGCTGCCCGCCAGAGCCTCCAGCTTGAAGGCGAACTGGTGGCCGTTGTCCTTGTTCACCAGATCGGCGGTCAGGGAGTCCGCATAGGTGTTCAGGGTGCCCGGAACTAGGGCGTACTTGCTGCCGGCACTCTGGACCTTTCGGGAGCGTCTGGAAAATAGTAAATATGCTCATTAATTGGGAAAAATCCTAATGGGGATTGATAGTTAGGTATAAGTAGAGTCTAGATTATTGCGGATTTAGTCAAACAAATAAATATTTGAATTTATAGTGGCTTTTTATTGTGTTTCTTCAATATATGGAAAATATATGTAGATATAAAAAATCACAAAAGAAATCTAATTTGACTTATACAGTAAAATAAATTAAAATAAAGTAACGAATGTCTTTTTAAGGACATTAAGACCCATTTTTTTGGTCCTCACGTTAAATTTAAAGTTAACTTTAAGCCTAAGAAGCATTTGCAAATTTAGAGTTTAGAGAAAACGAGAAAACGGTCCTGAGAAAGTAGGTCTAAAAGAAATACTATTTTTTTACAAAATCTCCGACATTAGCTCATTTAATTCTACATGTTTTAAAGTGGGAAACAGTTATGAATTTTTGACATATGATTTAACAGATTTAATTGAAACTTAATTATAACTTCCGCACGGAACTCCTATCTCTATACCTACACAGAGAAAACAAGAGAGAACGCTATAGTCGGGTTGGTGTCCCGACTATCTAATACCCGTTACTCAGCTAAAGGGAGTGCGAACGCTGTGTCGGGTTGGTGTCCCGACTAATAATCGTAACTCAGCTAAAGGGAGTGCGAGGGAGATAGATATATGTTGACAATTTATAAAGCGTATAACTTTTTAATGAATGGTCCGATTTGAAAAATGTCTTCTACATTTCGATAGGTATAAATATACACAACAAAATTGCATTTATACTTCTCGGAAATCTTTAAAGATGTGGGCGCAGGACCCATTTTAAAATCGTTAGTGGGCGATTGTGGGCGTTAGAGGGGGCGTGGCGCTCGGCTAAAATAAACTTGCGCTGCGTAGGAAGCCAAAGAATATGTGTGGGAAATCTCAACCTTCTAGCTTTTGTAGTTTCTGAGATCTCAGCGTTCATACAGACGGACAGACGGACAGACGGACAGACGGACAGACGGACAGACGGACAGACGGACAGACGGACATGGCTAGATCGACTCGGCTAGTGACCCTGATCAAGAATATATATACTTTATGGGGTCGGAAACGCTTCCTTCTAGCTGTTACATACTTTTGCACGAATCTAGTATACCCTTTTACTCTACGAGTAACGGGTATAAAAACGGAACAAAATGGGATTTATATTGTTTCATATCAATTTTTACATAACAAAATGGTATGATTTCATATCAATATGGTAAAAAATCACATGTTCGGAAATATCATTTTGATATTAACACAGAACGGACCAAAATTAATATGAAAAAATATCCGATAGATGACTATATTTGCTCTTTTTTTCTCTGCATATTTATATATAAATCTATAAAATAAATAGTAGAAAAAGGTTTGATATATAGAAACTCTTATAGTAATAATTATAGATCTAGAATATGAATAACTACGAATGGGTACCTAAGGACATTACCCTTTCAGTACCATTTTAGGTACACACAATGTACCGAGCAGTAGAACTCACCGGCAGAAACTGCTCTGTTCGCAGGTCTTGAAGTTCCCGGGATCCACTCCATCGGCCAGGACGAAAAGCGTCCAGATGATGGCCACAGTGGCCAGAGCAAATCGCATGGCGCCTTCTCCTGATTCTGAGCTAAAATGAAATTTAATAGTTATGCACAATTTTTCTAATGTTTGTTTTTGCTGCTCTCCACGGCGTTGCCTACTAAACTAACTGTAAAGTTAATGTACACGTCAGTCGTGGCCCGAAAAACTACTGCCGAAAACTAACGAAGTGGCCATGGGAAAATGCCCTTTAAATGGATTTATACAGGGAAATTACCCTTTAATTAACCCCTGGCGGAAAGATTTAGCGTATATACAGTGGAAATTTCAGATGCTATCGATGTATTATGGCCTTCAACTGTTTTCTTTGGGAAAAGTTTGGATTTACGGTCGTAAAAATATGTCGCCGGTTATTAATGCACTTTGTGCTGATATTGCACTTTCGGTAGACTCGCAGACCCCATGTTTCGCCTTCCCACACTCTAGTTTTTTCGCCATGCCAAACCTTTTCTTTTTAAAACTGCTCGCTTCGGTTTAATATTGTGTTAAAATTTTTATTACAAATTTTTGCAGACACACGCAGTGTGACCGTTGCCGGGCTCCTAAGTTTTATACCGTCCAAACTCAAAGATGTACTTTTTAATACCATACTTAGCAAGGATTAGCACCTGACATATGGTTGGCGTCTTTAATAAACCACTGTTTTTAAATTTAAAATTAATAACAATTAATAAATTATGGCTTGATTTTTGAAGAGAGTTTTGCCGTCATTATTCCTCTTTCTCAATTTTAGCTGTTGCGAGTTTAAGCAGCCAAAAATACCGAGTAGTGGAAGCCGGCCATTACAAATGGGAGTAACGGTGTGATACAAGTATAATCAACTCAGTTTCGTGGTAATTTTTAGTGCCATTCTGTGGTCGAGATTTTCCGCTACTCCGCAAACAGCTCACTTGAAAATTATTTTCAACCGAGAAGGAGCAGAATTTTCCAAAAAACAATAAGAAAAAATGAAGCGAACTCGTCGACCAACTGCGGCCAACAACAAATCGTTCGTCTCCGGCGGAATTTACGTAAGAATCATTTAGCATTCAATCCGGCATTGGATCCACCGAATTTCCATCGCTTTTCTTTCATTTTCCACCCAAAAATCGCCGCCAATGCAAATCGATTGGTACTTTTTTTTTGCAAGTGTGAGTGTATGTATTGAGTGCCCTGTGACGTCACGATAAAGTCGTGATAAAAGATAATAACAAAAAACACAAAAGCAATAACCATTTTGATTGACTTTGACTCATGCATATTTGACTTGTGAAATAACAGAGATTCCGTTTTCATTTCTATAATTTGCAGCGCACAAAATGAAAGTGTGTGTATTCACCCCAATTGTGAATCCATTTGCAATAGCCACTAAAAGCGGGTTAATCGAAAGTGCAGACGTTGTCCGAATTCCACCAGCATCCACAAAATGCATCCCCCTTCCAGCATCCAGGCTCCACCATTCCATTCCATTTCCATTCCACCCTTCCATTATTCCATTCATTCCACTCCCCTCCCCTCACTTCCCTTTGCTCGTGCTTTCGAACAACTAGAGATGGCCAGCACTGCGATAGTTTCAAGCTGGACTTGCGGTTATCGCTAACTTTTATGGCTACTGAAAATGCATTCACCCGAAATTGTAACTAAAATTATTAGTTTTGCGTCAGATAGCAATGCCCATTCACTCCACCGAAAGTGCCCGAAACGAGTCGCCGACAATGAACTCAGCCAAGGACCGTAGGATCTCGTTCCTATAACTATGCAATACCAAATCAGGGGCCCATTTACAAAAAAAAATTTTTTTTTCTTCTGCAGAATTTTTTGTTTGCTTGTTTTTTTACATTGGTTTTCAAAACTAAACATATTTTAATAATTTACAGCAATAATTATTGTAAAAAAGTTTAGTAAAGGATACTGAAAACCTATTTTTTAATAAAAAAAAACTTTTTTTTTTTACACAATTTCTGTTTATTTTAAAGTTGTCCTCTAATTTAAATATTTTAATAAAATACAGCAATAATTATTGTGAAAAAATGTAGCAAGGGATACTTAAAATCAATTTTTAAATAAAAAAAAATTTTTTTTTTAATTTACACATTTGATTGATAAAGACCAAATTCCTTCACCAAATAAATGTCTATATGTTTTGTAAACCGGCCCCTGAACATCATACTCTTTACCATAAATGTAAAACAATGTTGCTTAGTAGAAGGGCTACCAAGTCCTACCGAGTCCTTGGCTGGATGCGATGAGAAGGAGTATCCACAGTGGCTGGGCACGTGGCTCCGTCGGCGCAGAGCTGCGTTTCGGGGCACTCGGGTCGCAGGAATGGCCATGGCTAAGTTCCTGAACTATGGTTTTTAGTAGGCCAGCCGACCAGCCTGACGCTTCCGGGTTGACTTGACGACTTGATGGCTTCCGTTGGCCAGAGGCCAGCGAGTCTCTTTTTTTGGTTGACCCACTGGATTAGTGGATCACGCTGCAAGTGATTTTCCAACAGGGGTTGCTCCCGTTCTCCCGTTTCTCTTCGCCAACTGACCAACTAATGAAACTCTTTTGCAAACGCAGAATCCCAATGCCACCGCCAAGCCTTTGATCCAACAGCCGTTGCAGCAGCAGCAGCAGCAGCAGCAGCAGGCTCCTCCGGTGGCCGTTCATCAGCCACCGGCTCCTCCTGCCCCAGTTGCTCCAGCTCCAGTGGCCGCCTCGCCAGTCCAGCAGCAGCAGCAGCAGAAGAAGCAGCAGCAGCAGCCCGATGCGGCGGCCATTGCAGCCAAGCTGCCAATGCCAATCATTGTCAAGGAGGAGCCGAATGAGGTCGTGGTCGAGGATGCCGCCCAGCCCAACGAGGATCTCGCCATCGACATCAGCGAGGAGAATGGCAGCGGCAGCACCACCGGCAACACCGGGGGCAAGATACCCTTCAAGAAGATCTTCCAGAAGCGCAAGAAGTCGTCTGGTAAGCGGAGATCCGCTATTTAGCTATTTTCAACAGGGTTCGGAATTTAACACAAATGTTAAAAACATGTAAAATTATATTTTACAGTGTGAGCAAAGTTTTTAACATGTGTGTCAAAAACAAAAGTGTTAGTGCCGTTTTATAGTCCGTTTGTTAAATTTAAAGTAAGGTTAAGTCCTTAAAATCGTATGGGAGAACAGAGTTTTAACCCTACTTTAAATTTAACAGCTGTTTTTTACACACTGTGTTTTTAACACAAATGAAAATTACATTTTATGGACATTAACGAATCAAGGGGAAAATGAAGAATCAATATTGGGCCAGGATATCTTAATTGCATATATGCATTTTTTCAACTACAGAAAACTGTGAATTTTTCAGTTCAACATGTATTTCTTACGTTTTAATGTCAAAAACTCATTGTGTGTGTTATTTATGTTTCTAACATATGTAAGCTACAATTTTTTACACACATGTCAATAACTTTTTTCGAACTTAACACTTTGAAATTTAACATGTTAATAAGACAAGTTTTTTACAGAGTGTGTTATTTTCCGAACCCGGATATTCAGTCATAATACTATAATTTCACCGCTTCGCCTTTTTAGAACGCACCCGTGACAAGAAGCTGCGCCAGAATCGCCAGCTGCGCAAATCCATGCTGCCGAAGAACGCCCTAATGGCCCTGAATGAGGTCAAAGGCGTGACCATTAGCGATTTCACCTTTGACAGCAATCCCGACGGAGGATTTACGGCCGTCGTCACCGTTAACTCGAATCAGTACGAGGGCAAGGGTCTCTCGAAGATGTCCGCGAAGAATGCGGCTTGCGAGAAAGCCTGGCGTGACTTTATCATTGCCAAGATGACCCCCAAGCCGGCCAGACTGCAGCCGAATAACGCGGAGAACGGTTCAGAGCCCATGGACACCAACGAGGATGAGGGTGATGCCCCGGAGGATGACTTGCCGATGCTTAATCTGGCCTCGTTTGCCATTTACAAGCTCTTCGCCGAGTGGGAGCGCGAGGGCTATGTGGTGCCCGAGATGCACCCGTCGGCCAATGCGGCTGCACCGGCCGGCGGTGAAGCAGCACCGCCTGTTCCCGCGGTGCCCAAGGAGCCAAAGAAGCCGCCAGTGCGCACCGAGCTGCCCTCGGGCTGGGAGACCATGCATCCGGCCACCATTCTTTGCATTGTAATAACACTGTTCTTTTTTTCTGTATAGTGTGTGTGCTTATTAATCAATCGATCCCCTTGCAGATGCGTCCGGGACTCATTTACGTGGACTACGGAGCCTCGGGCGACAAGCCCAATGTGCTGCAGCATCTGGGCATTATGGTGGACAACCAGGAGTTCACAGCCAGCGGAAGGTCCAAGAAGATTGCACGCCGCAACGTGGCCGTTGAAGTGTGCAACACTCTGTTCGGCACAAACTTCTCGTACAGCGACACCTCTTCTTAAGACATTTATCACCTATGCCCCGCTTAACGGCCTCATTTCCAAAAAAAAACTTGAGCCGTAAAGTCCAGTGCGCAACTATTTCTTGACTACAAAAACAGAACGGCTACCAAATGATGCACATATTATACTTTCTTTAATTATATTTGCATTTGGTAATCTACTTATAACATTGTGTTACCTAATTTGACTTAAACTTTTCTAAATTCTTGCGTTACACAGTGTTATTACACATATGAAATCATCTTTGAATATCCCTCAAGTAGAAATGATTTTAGGCTGTAAATTAAGAAATCATTTTTTTCGTTAACTAGATTTAGAAACCTTATTTTAAAGACTTATTATATTATTGCTGGGTATAATTACCCAATAACTTAGGATTAAAAAAAGGGCAGCCGTTAAGCGAGGGTATGGTAATATTATATTAAAGACATTAATAAAATTATTAAATCGGTAAAAGCAACTTTGTTTGATTTTTTCTAACAAATTAAAGTTATAAATTTATTTAATTGAAATGCTTACATTCAAATAGGAAATTAAAGGAATACCCTTATGGTAAATGGTCGGCGTGGAAGGTGTGAGTCTGTGCTAGCCGTATATCCAAGTTTTCCACCACTGTAAACAGCGTTGCCACACGGCAGACTGCCAGCTGATTTTTCGTTAGTTTTTTTTATTATCAAACGCAAGAGCGAAAAGAATGTCGAAATTTCTGTCGCAAACGGCTTTAAATACGCTTCGTAAGACGCGTTTTGGTACGCCGCAGCTGTGAGTACTCCATGGGTTACTTTTAAGGCCACCGGTTTGATCCAGTTTCCTCTGTTTTTGCAGGCTGCGCAGCTTTGCGGCTATCGGCTCCTCCACGCGTAACAACGCGGAACCGGCAACATCGGGAAATCCGGGATATGGACAGACCCAAGGACGCGGCCTCCTGCAAATGCAGCTACCGCTGTCGCCTAGGAGAAGCATGTTCATCCAGACGCAGGACACTCCGAATCCCGACAGCCTGAAGTTCCTGCCCGGCGTGGATGTCCTGGGCAAGGGCAACACCTACGACTTCCCCAACGGAACCACCGCCCACAGCAGTCCTTTGGGTGAGTGGAGATCCCTCCTTTGGGGTTTCTATAAAGAAAATACTATGATTTTGAAACCTATCATTAATTTTCCTATTGAATTGAAAATTATATGCCGATTGATCAATTAATACTACCTTTATATGCTCCTAAAAAATCTATAAAACTTGAAGCACTACACTATATATAACATATATATTATACATTTATGTATCAGAATCTACATTGACATACATAATATATATGTCCTTCTTAAGATCATCAAAATCAATTTTCCTGGAATTCAATTTCTATGGGACCTCTGATAACTAACACTTTTATTTTAAGATCTCTGCGTTGCGCAATGTTCTTAGTTTTTCTTATTTATTTATTTATTTCTTTCTTATTTCCTGGTACTACAAGTCACTAGTCACATAAACAATATTAAGAATAATGAAAATATGTAGGTCCCTACTTATATTAGAGTTTTACACTTATATCTAACATTTAATACAATTTAATACAATTAACAATTAAAACTGACGCTTTAAATTATTGTTGAAAATTCAAATTTAATTAAATAACAGAACATTTAATTTTAATTTTAAATTTAATTGGTACTTTGCGATTTTAAAAATGTAAATAAAAAAATAAATATTAATAAAGAGAGGTCATATTTTAAGAATTTAACTTAGAATCATAATCCCACATTTGGAATTATTTCTTAGATTTGTTCTCTATCTTTTAATAACCTCACAAAAATTCATATACCTATACAGTTGAATTATTCCAAAATGAAGTCTTTATAAATCCAAGTTCCCCAAATGTCTTCTGTCTCGCTCTAATAACTGTGCAAATGAAAAATCGATACGAAACTAACTAATTAATTTATAAATTAAAAGTACAAATGTTTAAAAGTATCGAAATATTCCTTGAAGTGCCATTTTTAATATGATAATAAATATTTTAATCAAATAATAGCTAAGCTAATCCAAACCACAATTCCTCACTTTCTTTTCTAATTATTAATTAATATCATACCACTTTAATACAAATAATTTTATTATGTTATGATGATAAATAATTAATTAATCCATTCCCAGCCAAATTGCTGTTCCGCGTGGAGGGCGTGCGAGGCGTGTTCTTTGGCTCCGACTTCGTGACCATCTCGAAACAGGAGGGCGCCGAGTGGAGCCTAATTAAGCCCGAGGTGTTTGCGGTCATCATGGACTTCTTTGCCAGCGGCCTGCCCGTTTTGCACGACGCCCAGCCCAATGCCGACACGGAGATACTCGAGGACGACGACGAGACGGTGATGATGATCAAGGAGCTGCTCGACACGCGCATCCGGCCCACCGTCCAGGAGGATGGCGGCGACATCGTCTTTATGGGCTACGAGAACGGCGTGGTCAAGCTGAAGATGCAGGGCTCCTGCTCCTCCTGTCCCAGCTCCATTGTCACGCTGAAGAACGGCGTGCAGAATATGCTGCAGTTCTACATCCCGGAGGTGGAGTCCGTGGAGCAGGTCTTCGACGATGCGGACCGGATGGCGGACAGCGAGTTCGAGCGCTTCGAGAAGAATCTAAAGACGCTCAAACAGCAGGAGCCAAGTGGCGGTGGTTCTAATTAAACTACCCCATCCTCTTTTATCCCATTTGCGTTGTTAATTCTCTAGTGAAACGAATAGTTGTATACATAATGTACATGTAGTTGATTGTTTAAATAAATTTACGGCTTTAAGCTTAAGTTGTAATGCATCAAATGGTCAGGCATAATTATTTCCGCACTGAGCAAGGTCAATAACTGAGCAATAATTCAACTGCAGTGCGACCCAGTTTGTTTCATTGGCAAGTGGGTCAATAAACCCGTGTCATTGCCATTGATTTCACAAATCGCTAAAGGAAAACCATTGCCAAGCGATTCCGCTGCCAGGTAACCGAGTTTATTCAATAATAAACCCGTTCGAGAAGCGACAAAGGTTCAGGCCACTCTAGCTGCAGTCGCAGGACCGAACGGAACCAAAAGTGAACAAAGTTGCAAGGCAGTCAGTTCGGTAATATATATACTAACCATCCATCGACCAATGCTCTGCTGGGCCAACGAGGATCATTATTTGAGCCAACGCTACCCGAATCCGCAGCAAAAGGCGCCCGAAACGCTGAAGAACCTTCTGTTGCGATCCAGTGTACCGATAGTGAGTGCGAATCCGAATCAGAATCAGAATCCGAATCCCCAGAGGGACCACCCATCCGCCGGCACCATGGCACCGCTCAAAGGGCAGGAGGTGCTCAAGTTCCACAAGCACTCATATCTCGAGAACCGCCTCTTCGATCACCGCCTGGTCAAGGACAACCTGTTGGACAAGTGGCCCACCGCCGATATGAACGAGTACAACGAGCGCAAGGACCACCGCAACCTCATGGAATCCTATGTACCGGCCACAGTCCATTTCATTACACCCATTACTTCATGCCTTACCATTCTTTAGCGTTTTGTTTCACAGCACCTTTCACTTATAAGCTTTGTCGTAATCACCTATCCAAAACTATGAGAATTAATATTATAATATCTATCATGCGCGGATCCACGGGGGGTGATATGGGTGATATATCATCCCCCACTCGGGTGAAAAATGAAAAGAATTTTGGTATTCCAAAAGTATGCAACAAAAAAATTGTTCTAATATTACCCCCCCCCACAACAAAATCCTAGATCCGCCACTGATATCTATAATTATAGGATTTGTTCAATTAATATGTATTTGTAGAGTATATATGTATATAGTATTTGCTAATAGAATTACCACAAGTCTGAAACTTTAAAATCCAGACTTCTTAGGGAATTTGGAAAAATCGGATCACTTTAATTAAAGTTCTTATAAATAGGTGCTTTTTGATGAAAACACTTTTAAAACATAAATTTCGACATTATTTATATTATATTATATATTACATACACAGAGAAAAAAATACCAAAAATAATCATCCATCGGGTATTTTTTATATCAATTTCGGTCCATCTGTTTTCATATCAAACCGATATTTCCGAACATATGATTTTGTACCATATTGATATGAAATCATACCATTTTGTTATGGAAAAATTGATATGAAACAATATCAGTTCCATATTGTTCCGTTTTTTTCTCTGTGTATGTATATCACCATATGATATAATTGTATCCATTTTGTACATAGACCGCACAAGTTGGTATCATATCAAATCATTTATTATAATATGCGGTTATGTCACGGGAATCTCTTCAAATTAAAGAGGGTTGGAACTCTAAACAAATTTGTTTGGAATATATTTATTCAGTATGAATTAATATTCTTACAGTTTCCTGTGCCAAAAATCTAGTTACTTGTTTAAAAATGTATCCACTTCCATATTTTTTTGTGCAATCAGAGCAGGCTCTATTGGAATTTCGAGACCTGTCACCTATCTCTGAACAGAAATCAGTTTAGTTTTTGTTTGCTCCTCGAACGGGAACATATCTAAGTGTAGCTGTGATTTTTTTTTATATATTTTGAGATATAAATTCCCAGCATACAGTCTAAATTCCAAGTGGCACAAATTACTAGTTTCACGCTTTAGACGACAGTACACCAAGTCCACACACTGCACTACCAAATCCTCCGACCACGATGAGTCAGCATGGAGGAGGTGGTGGATCCGGAGGATCTGGAATTCCGCAAACCACCGTCATGTACTCCCAATTGCAGCCATGGAGCCAGGCGGGCGCTCCGCCCTGCATGGAGCCCGTCATGGGACCCTCGATCCCGCCCAGAGTTGGCGCCGCCTACGAGACGCCCACGAAGCATCCGTGGCGACCGGCGATGGCCTATGAGCTCATCCAGGTGAAGCACCTGCCCGAGCAGCCGGTGACCAACCAGCTGACCAAGCAGTGCTTCCTGCCCAAGGGCATGAAGACGGACGGCATGATCTTCCCCAATCTGGTCACCGGATTCGATCGCAATCCCCAGCACGCCGCCCGGGCGGCCCTCTATACGCGTTACACCAGCAACGAGTGGTACAACAACAACATGACCAAGTACTCCGAGTCCAACATGAACCGGTGAGTCGAACTCTTAACCATATTCTCTCATCGATTCTTTGCCCTGTGATGGTAGGCATTTTTACCTATTTCATCACACAGAAAAAAATATATATGAAATAGGGTAATTTCTACCTTATTTCATATCAATAAAAAGCCGATATGATTAATATCAAATTTATGATTCTAACATATCAACTTGATATTTTTTCATATCATAAAAGTTATAAAAATACTGACTTAAAGTACCAAATTTGGTATGTATGTTTTGAGCAAATATTGTATGATAATATATAATTCATTACATATATAATCTTTTTTCATGTGAAAATGATATGAATAACATTACCTTTAAAAAATATAAAATTAACCTGCGCTAATCTGATCTTTTGTCAATTTTTTTTTTTGTGTAAGATCATATCGTTATTTCATGAGTATATATTTATTTTAAAGATTCTAAAAATATAAGTTATGATTTTCTTAGGTACAATTTCTTGTATGGGATCTTGGATAAAATCTTTTGGAAAGATATTTAAAAGTAAAATATTTCAACTTGGCAAAGTATCGTAGAAATTATTATTTTAAATGTTTAGTTTTAAATTATTGTTATTTTCAAATGTAGGTTTTTTTTTCAATCGGATTTAATTGCCGTTTTTTTGTGGGATTCCCTTATTAATCCAAATTATTAGGTATTATGATTATTTTAATAAAACTGTAGATATTATTTGGCTGATTTCCTGATGCTGCTACATTTTTCCCTGGCTAAATATTCGAAATATTTTGTATTTCTCCTCCTCTAGAAACTTGTCCGAGCGCATGCGCAATGACGCAGTGCGTCTGATGCGGGAGGCGGACGAGAAGGCGACCTCGGGCCAAAGGGACGCCGGTCGGCGGCTGGGCGAGCGGATCACCGACCTGACCTTCTGGCGCAACGAGCTGAACGCCGAGCTGGAGAAGCTCATCGCCGAGATGTCGGACATCAACGAGCTGCAGCGGCAGTGCGGCAAGGCGCTCCTCGACCTGGAGATCCCCCTGCACATCGCCCAGGAGTGCCTCTTCCATCGCGAGTCGCGCCAGGGCACCGAGAAGGTGCACGACATCGTCGAGAAGGCGCTGCTCGTGGAGATCAACAATCTGAGGAATTCGCGCGACCGACTGGGCGGCCTCCATGAGAAGATCTCGAAGCAGGCGCTCGACTGCCGCGGCGCCCAGCATCTGCTCGAGGACGACGTGGCCCACAAGGAGTCCTCGCTGGGCATCGACTCGATGTGCCACCAGCTGAACAACCACAGCCGCGGCATCACCTACTACGGCGGCATCGAGAAGTTCGATCCCTCGGTCAGCACCCAGGAGTCGTGGGCCCAGGCCAGCAGCGAGCACGTTCGCCGGTGAGTCCTCTTAAATGTGCTTCTTTATATATAGAAATAATAGTTTAGGGTCGCTTATTTTTTATAAAAGGATAGCAACAATTTTATTTGATAGATAGCTTTTTTTTAATTTTTGACAGCTATAAAAAAAATCCTAATCCTAATTTGACATTTTCATACAAAAATCATTGATTATAATTATCTGGCGAACTAACAATATTGCCTTATTTTAAGTTTTACAAATTTAAATTACAGAAAAAAAATCTTTAAAATACTTTTTTATTTAAATACAAAATTGTGATAATTTTAAACTGTAAATAATACGCACGTCTAGTCAATTTAAACAATTATTCAAGAAAGAAATATAACAAAAGTGTATTAAAATAAGTTTTAAGATTTTTAGTTTTAAATATTAACTTCGAAAAAGAGAAGAAGAAGCTATGTGACAACTTAAATTAGGTGAGTGAGAGCGAGAAGTACAAACTCTCTCAATTCGAAATAGAGCGGGATAGCGCTTAAAGTTACATGAGTGAGAGGGAGAAACCAATATTCGTTTCGAGCGTATCCAGTCAAAATTGATATCACATAACGTAAAATCGATCATCGTTTCATATCAATTTTTTTGTGGGTGTATTTAGTTCTTTTTTCTTAATATTAAACTGATAAAAACGTTCACAATTCACTTGAAAAACCGGAATATGCTGTATTAATTTTTTAAATTCTATTTTCCTAACTTCACAGTTCCCAGGCGGAGCGGGCGAAGCTCTCCCAGCTGCGCAGCGATGCCCAGAGCGTGGTCAACTCGGTGGCCACCACCGTGTGGGACTTCTGGAGCAACACGAACAACGCCTTCGACCGGCGCTCGCAGGAGATGGCCGAGGCGAAGAACCGGGTGCAGCTGCATCTGCAGAAGGTGCAGCAGGAGCTGTTCGACATGGAGAAGCATCTGTTCCTGCTGCAGAAGGCCATTCAGGACAAGTCGGGCCCACTGAAGGTGGCCCAGACGCGGCTGGAGGCCCGCTCGCATCGCGAGGGCGTCGAGCTGTGCAAGGACCATGCCCAGGATCGGCTCGTCCAGGAGGTGCAGGACATCCAGGGCGCCGTGGAGACGCTGCACCACAAGCTGCAGGAGGCGGAGGCCACGCACCAGGGCCTCCTGAAGACGCGCTGCACCCTGGAGGTCGATCTGCGCAACAAGGTCAACGCGCTCTTCATCGATCGCGAGAAGTGCATGAGCCTGAGGCGCTCCTTCCCGGTCAGCAATCTGATCAAGTACTGATTCAGTTTCGGACTACGGATTCCGAACTCCAGACTCCGAACTCCAGACCCTGATCTCCCAATGCACCGTATCACTCGCTTTTTCCGCCACCCATGTCACGTAGCCTGCGCCACAATAAGTTGGTATCTCCACTCCAGAAAGCTCTGTTATTTTTTTTTAATGGCGAATAAATTATATATTAAAAACTACTAAATTCAATTTTTTTAAAGTTTGTTCCGGCAAACAAATTACAAATAAATATGAATTTAAAATGGGTTTTTTCTTGGCTTGGGGAACTGTACTATTTTTTTTGTGTGTATCCCATTTTGAGTACGTCAGCAAACAGTTTTTGGAGTTCTTTCACTCAGACTTCTTTTCAATTGCCATTTGAAATATGCTTTTTCCATTCTTTTATCCAAATGACAGAAATTTGAAATTAAAGTTAAGTTAATATTGATAAATTCTTGTTGATATCTTATATATATAAAAATATATTTGTAAATAAATAGATTGAATTAACTTTTAAATGGTTGTTTTATTCATCAATATATTCGTAAATTTGAGCATTATCTATAAAAAGTCAAGATAATATGAACTAAAAAGTAGACTTAGATTTATCTACATGCTTGTATGTAAAAAAATGTAAATTGAAGTTGAATTACTTGCCGCCTAGAGGGCGTTAGTGCTAGCCTCTCTGATTTTATAGCAACTTCTAAGCTAAGCTTAAAGTAAGTTAAAAGTTTTGCCGTCGGATGGCGACAGTCAGGAAGGTTTTATAAAATGTTTTTTATATTTTACAAAATATAAAGATACAATTTTATAGTTGTACTTCGTTTACATTTTGTTTACATGCCATAAAATAAGTAAAACTCTTGTAGTGAAATTAATTACATACAATTTTTTACCAAGTTTACATCTACATGGATTAAATCAATTTTGAATTATTAAAAAAATATCTTTACAGTTTTTAAAAACTTTTAAGTTTAACAGAAAAAATTATTGATTTAAATGATACTTTTTCGACTTATTTCTAAATATTTTGATTTTCTGGATTTAAATATATTTTTTTAGTAATTTAAATTGAAATATATTGTAATAAATATTAACCTAATTTACGTTTTGATATTTTAAAACTATTTCAAAGGTGGAAAAATCCCAGATATCCTAGTTGTATTTCTAGGAGTCATAAACTGGTTAAATAATTTTTAGTTTCGGTGATATATGGTCAAACTGAACAATTGGCCGTTGGCATTAGCATTACCATTACCATTAACCCCTTCCGTTGACAACGGCAATAATAACTACACACACATATACACTATTACCCCCTAGCTGCCATTAATCCCCTTTAAAGCTTATCAACCGCATTGCGGATCCGCGATCTGTTTGTTTGTTATTGTTGTATGGCAAATGGTGTGAACAAGTGCCGGTGGGCGTGGCAGAGCGCCCCTTTTGGAGGGGGGTGGGAAAAGGGGGGAGTGGGGTCAGTAGCTGAAACAACAAACGGTTGTGATTATTGTTTATTAGAATAACAATGACCCAAAGCTGACACGTTTATTAATGGCCCCAAAAGTCAAAGCTCACACATTTCGGCCAAGTTCATTCACTCACTTCAATTGCTTTCGAATTTCGAATTTCAAATTGGAATCTGAATCTGCATCGGAATCCGAATTTGAATCCTTGATGGTATTAGCTTCTGCTTATTATTTAATTAATGCAGTCATTGGTTTTTAATGATTTTATTAGCAATTAAGCACCTCCGGCGCTCAAGGGATCACGGGTGTTATAAATCACCGAACACGGCAGGTGTAATACCAAAATTTATATCAATAGATTATGATAAATGAGTCGTGGTGTCGTGATTAATAAGAGTTAAATACTTTTGGGATGAGCAATGCCATTTGGGGGCTTATAAATTCAGCAATTAAGAGCGGAAGTGATCAGTGATGCAAAATCGATTGTATCGAAAATAATCGTTATTTGTAGAATTGGAAAATTTATAATATAATCTTAATATTCTTAATCGATCAAGTTAACTTGAAGAATATACTATCGTTATCCTAAGAAATCCATTCAATTATTCCTTTCAATTAAATTACAATTAACCGCAGCTTTGATTAAGTCCGACCAACAATTGCAATTGACATCGATAACCCCAGCAATGAGTTGAATGCACGGCTGGGTCCTTTCCTTCCCCCCTTCAAAGTCCCCACCTTTGACAGCCTAATCAAAGCCAATCCACCAAAGTAAACAAAGCCGAAAACAATATTAGAGAGCAATGGGAAAAAAAGTAAAATAAAAACACGCATTTCAAAAGCGCAACAACAAAAGCCCAGCTAAACAAAAATATTCCGGCACACAAAAACAGTTTGCAAGCGAGGAGAAAAAACCCAAATACCGAGGGGCTGACGATATATAAGCCCCAGAAATGCGGGTGAGGAGTCCAATGAAGAGGGGGTTGTGTGGTTTTGTCGATATTTTGGCAGGGCGGTAGCAAAAAGCCTTCAACGGCTGACCGATTGAATGAATGACCGATTGACAGACTGCCCATGTCCGCAGCACAGCAAAACACAAGCGGACAAATGGACTAACGGACAGGCGGACAGACGAACATTTACGGACAAAGACACAATTGACGATTAATCGATTAGTTGAAATTTGACACATGAACAATTATCGGTCACGGATGCCACGCAACTGAAACAACAGCACAAATTGTCGGCGATAGGGATAAATTATTGGATGTCCGACGTCAGGTGGCCGCCGTAGGAACTGGAAACCCAATTAGCGATGTCAGGTGTACAACAGAGGTCGAATATTGGCGGGCAATCAAGAAAGCTCATTATTTCAGACCCCAAAACAATGTGGATTGCAATTTAAATTCAATATGCCGAATATATTGATTGCTATTTCTGGCATTCATACTTCTAATCATGAACCACAATTCAGCTGTGTTGAAAGCCCACTTCTAAAGGTAAAGGAAGTTTTAGTTCATGAAAATGTTTTCCAAATAAAAATATAATAAAATAAAAAATAAATTAAATATTGAACTACAAAAAAATTCAATCTTATCTCTAAAAATTTGATTTTATTTATTAAAATCTTTAGATACTGAAAAAGCCATTAAATAGGCCTCATCTGATTTTAATTATTCATCGATTTGGTTTTTATGCCACAGTTTTTATAGACACCCATCTCGCTTTGTTTAATATGGAGATCATAACGAGATTATGACAGTTTTGTGGATCGTTCGCCGCTTTGTTTTACGACGGACCGATACGAAAATTGCCCTTAACGATCGACAATCAACGCCAAGACTGGAGCAACTTTCGATAGATCAGATCAGAATTTAATAATTTAATGGCGAAAGCCTCAAAATAAATTTGCACACTAAATGTAAATATTTGTGTGGCTAGTTTACAAGGGAATTTTTGTGTTTTTTGCTGCCTGGCACCCTGCCACGTTTTTAATGGGCGTAGGTGAACTCGATTTAGTTGGGGTTTTATTGTAAAGGGGTGAAGGCCGAGGGGGTGATGAGGGATGAGGGTGCATTGAACCCTCGTTTTTTGACGGGGGAAACTTTTGTTAGCAGCCGACAAAGAAATAAAAAAAGTTTATAGCCTTTGCAATATTTAAATTTCAATTTATTCCATATTTAATAGTTTAAAATTCTACAATCGCTTTAAAAGTATTTTTCTCATATAGATAGATAACTCTTAATGACCTCTTTCTATATTAAATTTAAATTATTTATTTAATTTAATTTTATTATTTTATATAACTTAATAAATTTGCCATACAAAATTCATCTTGAACCAAGAAAAATCAAATTTCCTTTTGACATTTTTTCTATGTCACTTCCTTTTTGGTGAATAATAATTTTGCAATAAAAAAAGAAATGGTTTTATCTGAGTAATAAATGTCAGCACTTTTACTATCTGCCTATGTGTGTGTGTGCGTTTTCCTCGTATGAGCATGTATTTGTTTGGCCTATTTAAGTAACATTTTGCTGGTAATGTCCACAGGACTTTGAGATGAGAACTTTTGCATAGCTAAATGCCTTACAAACACCCCTAAAAAACCTAAAAAAAAACCAGCATCCTCCTATCTTTTGCCTTATTTTATGTGACAGTTTTATTTATTATTTTCTTTTTCTCTGCATTTGTTTCTGTGCTTTTTCGTTAGCTGTTGTTGTTGTTAGTTTTGGCCTGTCACAAACACACTGGCACAAAACAAATACACATTCACACACACATAGGAAAATAGCAGGAGACAGTGAAAAACCTTTGCATATGTCTGTGTTTATTTTTTTGCTGCTTTTTTTATTTATTCTAGTAGTTCTCTTCTTTTCTTTCTCCCCCCTTCTTCCTTATTTTGAGAGATGCATTTTGCGCTTTTTTGCGGTTCCTTGGCTATGTTAATGACACTTACAAAAAGCAACAACAGAGCCCAAGAAATGTCACACCAACGAGGGGGAGGGGCGGGGTAGGGGAAGGGGGTCAAAAGGGCACCGAGAACTATGCATCTTGCAAATCCCACATCCAACACCTCTTTCAAACCCACACACTCCCCATCCAAAGCACTTTCTAGCCCACTTCAGTTACCCTTTTTCAAATCTGCAGCAGGCACTGTGAAAATCTTGATAATTGTACTTTACTTCACTTTAACTAACCATTTAATAAAACTATATTTCAATAAGCAGAAAAAAATTTAATATTTTGACATTGCAAGAAATCTTTGAAAGTTTGAGTAATAAAACTAATATTACAAATTAATAGAAAAATAATTATCAATAGTTTTGTTTATCATTAGTAGGAAAAAAGAAGAATTTTCTTTTTTAATAATAAAATAAAAAAAATATTAAAAATCACATAGAACCTAGTAAAATTGCTGACTAATTTTTTAAAAAACAATGCAAAAATATATATAAAGAATATATACATTAAGATCATAAATTGGGGTGGTTGTTATTCAACAGATATTTAAAAACTGAAAATAACAAGAAAAACCTAGCAAAATTGCTGACTAATTGCAGGCTCTATGAATATGTAGTTTTATTTCTGTGCACTGTACTTGTCTGTACTTAACATTGGGCAGCTAAGCGCGGCTACAATCTAACCCCCATCCGTCCCCCCCCTCAAGGACTACCCCTGGCCCATCCTACGAAAATTTCACCCATACCACCCCTTTGGGCTCTTCACTTTGCCACTAATGGGACATTTGCAATTAAATTACTCGAATAAAGCATGTAAATTGCCAGTGAATGGAGGCAGCCCTGGCTAACCTGGCCAACCTGGCTATCCAACCCCCCTCCGTCTACGCCCCTGGCAGAGGTGAAAGTGCGGAGCCAACGGTGCGTATGTGTAATGTGCTTGGGCCGGGCTAAGTATGCTAATACTAAGGCAACGCAGAAAAAAAAAAACACAAAAAAGGCACAAAAAAATGTATATAAAATGTACATATACTATATAGAATGTGTAAGAAACCCAAATGATAAATTTCAAGTGAATTAAAAATTAAAGCAGAGATTTTGGACCCCCCCTTTAAAGTTTCTTTTTTTTAGTGGAAATTTAAATTGAAATTTGGGCACGGCATTCCGCTGTTGTTTACCTAATCATTCGTTGGGTGGTGGGAGGAAATAAGCGAGAGAAAAAGAAGGAGGAGGAGAAGTCATGCCGCAGACAAGGACGAAACCGGAATCACAGCCAGGACGAAATCATCGAAATTTGACCAGCTGCCAGAAGTTTCGGCTCAAGGGGAAATTCTCTCTGTCTCTCTCGCAAATTCGCCGGTTTCTCCGGTTTCTCTCAGTCCTGCGCAGTTGGAAAAACTCTCTGGGAGGATTTTGAAAATTTCCCTCGAACAGCTGTGGGGAATTTTCCCCAAAACTGTTATACGAAAATCAAGGCGGGCAATTTGAAACTCAAAAACTCACAGTTCATTGAACCACGGCGCACAGAAAAAGTTGTTATGGGTTTTTAAAGGTATTCTATTCCGTGGTTCGTTCTACCAATTACATTTGGGCCGTGTCGTTATCTAAAGCTTCAAGTCACGATTTCAATTTGCAAGCGAAAAGAGCCCGAAATCGATCTATTGATTTCATATTCAGCACTCAGAGTGGACGACATAAATCAAAATCTGGTTGGGACAGATGGTGACATAAATGAGACGCCGTCAAAGGGTGTTGTTAATGGAGAAATTAAGGGGGATTGTCAGTGGAATTTGTTAGTACACACTGCACAGTAAGAAGACATACCGAAGTCAATCGTCGGTCTTGTATTTTATACATTTTATGGTAATTTAATAGGACCCCCCTTCGCCCGCGGTAGCAACGCCTCTGTTTCTGGTTCTTTTTCGCTCGGGGGGCTTCGCTGAGTCGGCTTACGGAAATAGCTGCGATTCTGAAGTCTAGAAGTCTAGACCCTTGAGATCCAGCCAATTAATCAGCTGATGGCCCGATGGGGTAATTAACTCAAGTAGTGCAGACTTCTCCTTCAACAGGCATTTTGTATTTCTCAAAATTCTGAGGTTTTTTGTAGAGCCTTCAATAAAAAGAAAAAATAAAAAAAAAGAATTTTCATTACTTATTGTGTTAAAATAAAATATAAAGTTAAACTACATAAATTTTCCATGGCAGTAGTTAATATTTTTATAAATTAAACAAAATTAAAAGTTACTTAAAAACCTTTACATATTACAAATTAATTCTTATAAATAATGATTAAGGATTAAACAACAAAGGGTTAACAAAAAGAATCACCGCTGAGGCTTCCTCTGGTTTATTTACCACAATGCAGTTGCATGTTGCAGGTTGCAACTGTGTATCAGCAGCAACATCTGTGGTCCTACTAACAAAAACAAGACCAAAAGCTACAAAGAAATCATAACCGACTGAGCAGCAACAGTAGCCACAGCAAGGAGCAACATCAACTGCTAGCAGCAACATCGACGACAGCAGCAACATCCACTGCTAGCAGCAACACCAACGCATTACGCATGCGCAGCAGCAGCAGCGACGTCGACGTCGACGCTACGCTGCGTGGCCAATATTAAAATAAAAGCGATATAGGAAGTTAGCTTCAGGAGGCCGAAGTTTAAACACCCTTAAGGCAACCATACATCAATTAGAATTAAATTTTAAAAAAATATATAATTTATTTCTATCGTTTTAAAGTAAACAAAATATAAATATAAGTTAATATATTTGTTTTGCAGTTTATACTAAAACTAAAAAATGACTATAACCTGTTAAATTAATTTTTGAATATTATTTTTATGATATTGTCATCAAAAATTAGAGCATCTTCATTATTTCTGCACATTAAAAACCTAAAATACCTCTTGAAAAGGTGTGGTTTTTATAAGACGGGACTCGGAAGCGTATGTGTCTTTTGTATTTGTTTTTGCCTTAATGTTGCCGATGTTGTTGTTGTTGCTGACGCCTCTGCCGCGTCGCTGCTTAACTTCTGCCGCCGTACCGCGTACTAAAAAGACGTTGAAATTCGATCGGCGAGCGACAATCGAACTCAGAACGTTGCCGCTGCGCAAACGCAAAGCACGCGCCCCAAAAACTCACACACACACACAGTCGCACCAGCCACGCCCCCGCCGCCCAACCGCCCACTGCAAGCCGGCTTGCAGGAATTTTTGGAAAAAACATTTTCGAAATCACTGGCAGAAATTTCCAATTCTCTGGAATTTTGTGAACTCAAATTAACATTTCGATACCTCGACGCATTTTTTTTTCGAGTTTTCCCTTTTGTATTTTGTGCATTTTGTGTGTGCGTGAACAATTTTAAGTGCCAACAATTTTTGCGGAGTACTGCGTAAATTACACGAAAATATTCAGGTAATTTACTCAAGTTCAAGTTTATGGTCAACAATATATAAGTGGAAACTATTTTTTAAGTGGCTCTTTTTGACCGTTGGTTTTTATTTAACGATTTTAAAAACGAAACAATTAAGCAAGGACAAGTGAAATAAATAAATAAAGCTCAGAAAAGGAGGACAAGATAATATTATTAAAATAAATCTGAAAAGTATTCAATAATTTGAGAAAAGCTTTAATTACTTTGTAAATCAATAAAAATTTCTTATTTATATGTTTTAAACTTTAATTGAATTCGTAGAAAAAATAAGCATACGTTTTAAACTAAATTTAATTGGCAAAAAAATAAGCAAATAAATATGCAATATTAATTATCCAAACTTCGATAAACAAAGTTTATAAGGCTTTTATAAGGAATAAAATGCCTAATAAGTTGACAATCCCTACGCCTGGCTGCATTTAAATTCAGGGGCATAAGAAAATTAATAATAAAAGTAAACAAAAGGCGTTTTTATACTCAAAATAATACCACATAAAAGTAAACAGAAAGCGTTTCATAAAAATGCCTCTGAATAAATATTAGGAGTTCAGCGACACTTGCCAGCGAAATTCCGATTGCACCTGTTCGAGAATCTCGAGAGCTCGAACTCCTTTCCTTCGCTCAGCTCAGCTGTCATTCAAATAATCGAATTAGCCCCGAATCTCCCGAGAAACCCACAATTCCAACTGAAAAGCGGACAAATACCTGATCGGCATGCCAAAATAGGGACCAAGTGCAGTTAATGCCATAGAACCCGCTATGAAAAGCGGGACGAAGGGGCCTTGAGTTTTATGTGTGCATTTCAATGAGCTCCGAGCTCTGAGTAATCGAAGAGCCCGAAACAAAAGACCACCGAAAACTCTCAGCAATGACTCAAATTTTCAGTGTTTTTATTTTTTTTTTTCGTCTTTTCCAGCCTATATAGCATATAGACAAGCCCAATATCATGGGCCTCACGTTGGTGGCTCTCCGTTTTTGGAGTTCGATAGAAAGCAAAAGTATAATTATTTCGTTTGTTGCGCAAGACAATTTCGTTTTCATTGCAACTTTCTACCAAAAAGGAGGGTTATTTAATTAGCTGTACTTTCATTAATGCAATTGGTAAAATATCTACAAGGTGCAACTATGAATTATTCATTTTCAGATCTAATTTAAAATAATTAGTTTAGAATTGATTTTAAATTTAACTATTATATTTGTTGAAGCCAAATTAACTGGAAAATAAAATGGTACGGTTTAAAATTATAGATAAGAGTTTAACATTTTCACAGCAAAATATGGTCTTCGCTACAAACATTTCATTTCTCTAAAAATTCACTATATTATTTTTACCAAATCCGACAGCAACTTTTAGTTTAATTTAAATTGTCTAAATTTCCAGAACTTTTCAGAATATGAATAATTTTTGAAGGGTATGGTTTCATTACCTAATTCTTAAATAAACCGAATATGATACGATTTTTATGATATATGAATATGAATAATTTTAGAAGGATATGATTTCTTTACTTAATTCTAAAATATACCGAATATGATATGATTTTCTTACAGTACAACATGTAGGATATCTTGATAGCCATCAACCGATGATTCGGCCATTCAAAAACTGACCTTCGTTGGGGCCTCCGTTACGACGTTTACTGACCCCCGGTTTCGCTTTCGATTAACACTTTTTAAATACCAAAAGTGGTAAGGATGCGCAGCAAGCCAGCCAGTTCCAGTTACCAGATTCTTTTATTTTTTTTTACCCCGACTCAAAAAAGAGATTGGCACGCTTGTTCTCACGCCTGTCAGTTGGCCATAAATTTAATGGCGATCGCCGCTAACAAAAGAAATTTTGAAAACGGAAATATCTGTGCGATGCCTCAAACCAAACTGGATAATTCAATAATTTACCTAACTATTTGTGGGGTCTTTTTGTGTATTCTAAGCCATTAATTGGGCCATTTGTTTTCGGCCATCGGTGCCAAGTCGTTTGATTCATTTGCGGTTTATTTCTGGACAACTCCAATCCAATTGACACAATGACACATTTTTCTTGCCTTGAAGGCGGCTATATAGCTTGGGTATATGTAGCATATAGCATTGGTTCGAACCGAACCGATCAGCGATCAACGATCACCGATCGATTGAAGCCCTGTCTTGATTATACAATTTACGCATGTTTGATGCTCCATGCTTTGCTTTGCATGTTGGCTTACGTGATTGAAATTCGTGAAGAGTCCAGGCCATTGAATTGGACACCCAATAAACCACATCAAAGAAAAAAAAAGATCACCTCGATCTATCAGTAAAATCAAACACAAAGAAGAAAATTAAATCAGTTAATAGGGAAGGGTACTTGGAGAGTAAGGGGGATCTAAAAGAAAACTGTATCTTTAATCATAACTCTTAGAAAATATATTATTTTGTCGGAAACGTGTAAAAACTCTATAATTTTAACTTTGTTTTAAGGAAGATCCAAAAGAAAACTAAATTTTTAATCTTAACTCTTAAATAATATAATACCAAGTCGGAAACCTTTGAAACTATTATTTTTACCTTAAATTGACTTGTTTTCATGCCGTTTTGTTGACATACACTAACAGGTGTGCTTTATTTATCTATCGACTTATAAGGTATAGCCATCACAGGGCCATTAGTCCGAACAAGAAATGCGCTGTAAACACAGTTTGTATTCAAAATAGTCTGCTCATCGCGATAGATTTATTTCTTTGTGCCAATTCCAAAACGTATCGCTCCCCCGAACCAATTAGTGTTTTTTCGGAAAGCAATTAAGAGGGAGAAATGCTAGAAAAAAAGACAGATTTTATAAACCGATTTACATTCGACAGTTCCAGTTTGCAAATCAGTTGAATATATTCTTTTTTTTTTGGTTTGTCAACGTGCGACCTCCAAAAGGGGTCTTAAGAATGGGGAATACGGTGCTAAAAAAGGGGAGGCGGAGGAAGATCAATTTGTCATGCCGCTTACAGAATCGTGACTTGTACGAAAAAATATTGATGATGATGGTGATTATTATTATGCGTATCGATATCATTATCTCTGATTTATTTATGTCGCCCATTCGTCGGGTTCTTCCTTTGTGTGGGTTTTTTCTCTAAAATTCGATTACTCATTCTTGTCCGGCGCCATATTAATAGAGTACCTTTAAAAATCGAATTGTTTAATTTGGCAAACGGAAGAGATAATTGAAAAAAGATTTAAGCTTCCTTTTGGTTTTATATTCGATGTGGCTATGTGATTGTAATATTAATTTTGCATTGTTTTGGATTCGAGGTTTAAAAATATATTATTTTTAATTACATTTTATATCCAACATTTTCCTTAATTTAAAGACCCCTTTATCCCTTTTATTTCCTAACTTTTGACACTTTGTGAGGATGGCCATCTGACAACTTTATTACTTGGCTCTTTTTTCTTTTTTTGGCCCCTGTCACGCCCCTAAAACCTGAGGCTCCGAAAAGTACAAGACATCGATTGCATAAGGTGATATATAGTACATTAAATTCATTCCTTTTTTTGCACTTCATTCGAGTGATTTTTTTTGTTTTTTCGAGGGGGTAAATGTTTATGTCGGGACCCTGTGTTCGATTGCATAATGAAAGCACACGCAATGTAAATAAAACAACAAACAAACAACAGGCAATGTTGGTGGGCCCTTGCTCACTTGGCTTCTTTTTTTTTGGGCTGTGCAATTTGGTTAATTTACAACTTAATTTCTGCCATGGTTTTCAATTTATCGTCGCCCGGCTGAAAATTTCGTACATTTTAATTTGGCCATCAGCGTTGGCCTGACAATTATGATAAACGTTGTTGCTGTTGTTGTTGCCCATTGGTTATTGCAAGGACGCTTTTTGCTTACCCAGCTTTCCTGACTCCTTTTTGTGGTAGACGATTAATAGCTCTGCTCTTGCCTCCACGATTTTCACTTTGTCGTGCAACACGCTCATTTAACGCCAAGGAGTTTCCACCTGGCAGCTTATTGATTTCGGCGATCCAATTAAAAATCAAGCACTCATGCCTAATTACATCGTCGGCAAAAATCGGGCGGTTGGGGGTTAATCAATAAACCCGGCTTTAACCCGTCATTTGTCTGTGGTGCAGATTTTTTGTATTTTATCCTAGACAATTTACGATATTCTTTAGCAACTTATAAAACAATTTACCATTTTATTTTGACTTCGTTTTATCATTTAATTTATTAAACATAAAAAACCAAGACCATGGGAAGCGCTACAGAAATTGCTTTGTTTTTTTAAATATGTGTCTAAAAGTATGCAGTGAATAAGGGATGTTCGTCCTCCTGTATAAATTCAAATCACTTTAGGGCTAAAAGTATATTGTTGCATACTTTTAGACACCTATTTTGATATTTTTTGTTTCTGTGTATTTTTATATTTTTTATACAACTTGTTTGTATAATTTAAAGGGTTTTTAGCATCACATTTTCCATAATCAATATTAGTTTTCACTTTGAGACCTCCCACTTGGGGTTAATGAAATAAGGAGGTGCCATTTTCTGACTTAGAGCCACGTCTAATTAACCGCTTGGCTTCCAATCGAGGGCTTAGTCATCGAATAATAAGTCACCGTAAGGTTTTATTTACTCTTTTTCGATGTTTTGCGTTGACAACTGCTCATTAAAATGTGATAAAATCACAAAAAAATCAATATATTATTAATAAATTTATGAGTTATAAAATCACATTTACAGCCAATTTCCTTATGCCCCCGAAACACCCTGTAAAAATTATAATTGCGTCTCGTTAAATAACCAAGTTTACTGCCGCACAGAGTCAATGGCCAAAAGGCTAAAAACAACAACGGCAAAAAGCAAAATATTTACTAAAATATTTCGGAATATATTGAGATTCCTCGACGTCTTCTTCTTCCATGTTTTGGTCTTTCGCCGATGGACAAATCAATTTGCTTATAAGCCATATATATATCGAGGAATGGCTTGATGAGGCTAGAATGTCAGGCATTAAGATAAATAAGAGCACACTGGAAAAAAAGCTGGGACATTTATATAAACTAAATACAATTTTGAATATTGCAAAAAAAAATGTGTTTACCTATTTCAATTTATTTTTATATTTTTTAGGATTTTTATAGACTTTTTATGAATGAATTTTCGGTTTTACAATATCAATCAGTCTTCGATCTCACCCAAACATCCCTTCAAAATACCTTTCGTTCAATCTGCCTTTAAAATACCTTTTTTGCCAGTGAACTCTTGGTTTTTAATGAGAATCGAACTCGAACATCTGCATATATATTTTTAGCCCAGAAATCTTCGCTCGCTTTTCGCATTTAATATTTTGATTTTGTTGGGGGCCGGACCAAGTTCAAGTGCCCGGCGTAAACCCGTTTATGCAGCCGATTTCGATTCCCTTCCCCTTGGCGACCCCTCGAATGTGCGTAAACTAGATGATGCCATTAAAAGTAATGTTCGAAATTGAAAAAACCTAAAATGAAAAAATTAACCAGGGGCCATTGACAGTTGGTTTTGCCTTATTTTCTTGGTTTTTTTAACGCCTTGACAGGCCAGCAAACATGTTTAACATAAAAGATAAGCCTCAAAGGGAACGAGAGAGCAGGGCAACAAAAAACGAAGTTATTTAAACAAAAAGTGGCAAATATACTTGCATTTATCCCCGTCTGTCTGGGTCTCCTCGAAAAGCGACTGTGTGCGTCCGTGTGTGGGCATGAATTTATTTATAAAGGGCACCGGCCATAAAGTCGAAAAGCGGATCAGGTGGACGTCCTTGCAATCTGTAGTTAATGCACCAAGTACTGCCCACAGTGGTGGCAAATTGGGAAAAAAGGATTTGCAAATATGAAATATAATATAAATTATCTACATATTATCTACATATTATCTACACATTATCTACATACAATTTTAGAAGTAAAATGTAGCAACTAAACCAATAAAGCTTAAGTAACCATATTTTTAACAAAAGTTCGTATTATAATTTAGGTGTTTTAACTGAAGAACTAAATAAATTATATTATATAAATTAATTTAAATATAGATCTGTAATTATTTACTAAGTTCCACTGTTTGGGGGGCCCAAAAACCCGTTTGCTGATAACACGCATTCAATTTTAAGCCCTCTGCCTGGTGCACTATATCATGTTGCATGTCTGCTTTCTAGGCATCTGGGAATCCTGAAATCTGGAATTCTGGAATGGGGATGCGACACTTGACAGCCGCCACAAAAATGGGCGTTTCGCCAGTGGGTGTGGTAAGTAGTCAACGCGCGGAGGTCAGGCACCGCGAATACTTAATATCTTTTTCATATCTTTTCCAGCTGGGCTTTATGCTCCTCCAACTGGTGATTTCGGTGCGGGGACATGGTCGGCTGATGGATCCACCGGCTAGGAATGCGATGTGGCGATTTGGCTATCCGAATCCCGTAAATTACAATGATAACGAGCTCTTTTGCGGCGGCTATGCGGTTCAGTGGGAGAAGAACAGTGGTCGCTGTGGTGTCTGCGGCGATGCCTATCACGTCAAGTCGCCGCGGCCCCACGAAGCTGGCGGGGAATACGCCAAGGGCATCATCTCGCGCTACTATACCTCTGGCCAGGAGATCGACGTGGAGGTGGAACTGACGGCCAATCATTATGGCCGTTTCGAGATGTTCCTCTGCCCGAACAACAATCCGCGACAGGAGGCCACCCAGGCCTGCTTCGATCGGTTCCCGCTGCTGATTTCGGGCAGTCGGGAGCATCGATACCTCATTCCGCGCGATGCCAAGAAGAAGGATATATTCCGCTATCGGGTGCGACTGCCGCCCTATGTCACCTGCACGCAGTGCGTCCTGCAGTGGACCTACTATACCGCCAATATGTGGGGCACCTGCGCCAATGGAACCGAGGCCGTGGGATGCGGCAAGGCAGGTGAGCATATCTGGGAGATGAAAAAATATTAATTTTAATTTTATTAATATTTATAAACATTTCTTCAAAAGAAACCATTTAAATACTTAACCATTTTGAAGATATTTCGTAGTTAGTAATTATAAAATATAAATTCAACGGCCATTTCCAGAAACCTTCCGGAATTGTGCAGATATAGCGATTATCTCAAACACCGGTGGTGGTGTTCCGCCGATTTTCGTGAACAATAAGTCACCATATCTGCTCTATTATCGCGACTATCGGGCACCGGCGGAGAACAACATCTTTCCCCTTATTGTGCGGTAAGTAATAGAATGGTTATCTGGAAATCTAAATACTATTCCGAAAAGGTTCTTAAGTTTTCTGGTTCACACTATAATGGTCATTCTTCTTCACGGATTTCATTAATCATTTTCTTCTAACACACACGATTTATTAGGCTATATTTTGATCTTTTTAGTTGTTTTGTATTGAAATTCTCTTTTTATTTATTTTTTTCTTCGAATTACTTTACTTTTCCCTTTCAATCCTCAAATAACTGCTTCCGCTTTAATTTAACCAATGTCAATGTTCTTTCTTTAACAAAATACATTTGTTTTGTAAAGAGATCAGTGAGCACAATTTAAACTCTTGCTTTGGTTTTTAGCAATGCCACGCGGCATGCACGCAAGCGCAGCAAGGCTAAACCGCTTACCCGCTAATCAGCTTACCCGAATCCGCCTATAAACCGCTTACCCGCTACCCGCTCGAAAACGTTTTTCTAGCCTAGTCAAAACTGCTAATAAAAACAAACACTCATTCGGCTGGATTCCCGCCCAAATCGGGTCAGAGTTCAAAACGAAACGGGTAAAGGTAAATTTTTCGATCGCTACACTTAAGATTTTAAACGGTTATGGTCAACACACATGCAGACACACACACACAAACACTGCTGTATATAAAGAAATGCTTAAATAAACTTATAACCCACACAAATGCATTTATATTGCTTGGCTTAACCGATACGGAACCGAATCGAAACGAATCGGTTATGCTGCTGGGGCACAAACGGTTCACATTGCACATAAAATTTTATTAACATTGATCGACTTGGCACCGCTGCGACCGAGTAAGAAAACAAAAAATTCGAAAATCTAAGTGTGAACTCGAACACCGAATCGGTTATGGGGGCATCTTTTGCTTTTCCCGCTACTTGCTTTTATAACCACTACTCTTCTCTATGGCAAATCCTTTGTTTCGGTTCATTTTGAACAATTTTGGAAAGCGTGGGGGTTTTTTCTCCTTGCTGACAGATAGATGCGTAATATTAAGAGGTGTGTAGGGGGTTCAGCAGCTCACATCGGGGTAGGTGAAGGCCATGATGAGAACCAAAATAACAGCAACTTGGACCATTCCGACCAGCACGGTTTTGAGCAACTGCATCCGCACCTTGGGCTCGACGCGACTTTGAATGGGCGGCTCCGGAGCCACTCGACGAATGATAATCCGGGTCTTCTTGGGCTTGGGATCATCGGGTTTCCTAGTCTCCTGGGACTTCGCCTCAAGTTCCAGTTTCTTTCGCTTGATTAGCCTGGGACTGGGATTCGGTGAATAATCGGGGGAACTGATCTCTGTTTCCGGTTCGGCGATCTTCATTTTCCTGGGCGATTCCAGGTCTGTTTGCGTGGTATTATGAACTTGACTGGGCACCTGATCACCCTGATCTGCTGCCGATGATCTTGCCACCGAGAGGCGTGAATAATAATGGGCAATGGATGCGCCACCACCTCCCGCCTCTCGTGTGGCCACTTCGAGTGGTTCCAAGGCCAGGCTATTGAAGAACATGGTGTCCTGATCCAACAGATTGAAGGGTCTTCCGCTTCCGGCTATCAGCGGTCTCAGCTGCTGCAGCAGTATGCTTGGGTTCTCCCTCAGTTTCCGGAAATTGGTGCGCTGCAGCGGATCGGCTTCCTTGGCGGCGGGCAAGTAAAAGCATTGCGAATCATCCGCCGTCTTCAGTTCGTTCAGGGTCTTGGTCTCAATGCGGAACTCCTGGACCAAACCGAAGTGATGGGCCTTGGCAATGATGCGAGTTCTTTGTGTGACCACCGGAATCTGTTCGATGCTCAGACAACACAGCTTGGTGATGGGCAGTTCCAGTTCCAATTGATAGGGACTCGAACGGGGCGTGTAGAATCGAGTGTTGGACTCCTGACTTGTATCATTATTGTAGCTCCTTTTCTTGGGCGTCAGTGGTTTGGGTATATACGAAACCCTCATTGTGGCCTCCAGCTTATCGCTCAGCTGCTGAAGCATCCGTATTTCGTGCTGCAGAGTGGGCAGATTCTGGCATAGCTGGCGCTGCTCCTGGTGGCGCTGCTCCTGCTCCAGCTGGAGCAACTGCCGCTGCCTCTGGCGAACTTCGAGCAGGCGGTTGCGCAAACGCTCCTGGCTGCTCACCGCCTGGGCCTCGAATTGCTGCTGCCGCTGCTCCATGGCCTCCAAGGTGGGGCTATCCAGCTGGCTGGTGGAGCTCGATGATTGCGTCAGCCCCTCAATGGGGGCCAGAGTATAGCCGCCCTTGCTGCGCAGTGCCTCCTCGGAAATAGTCTGCTTCTTTGGCGACTCCAGCTCCTCCAAGAAGAAATCCCCTTCTTCTTCTTCGTCTGCTTCCTGGGCATCCCCTTCCAGGTGCTCGCAACTATGACGCAATCTCCTGGCCGTCAGCAACTCCTTGACCTTCTTCACCGGCTTGCACAGATAGACGAAGCTCTTGTTCTGGTCATCCGGCAATCGAATGGCCTTGGCCAACTTGATCTTGTGGCGCTCCGAGGAGCCACCACTGTCGCTTATGAAATGATCGCTCTGGCTGTCCTCGGGTGAATTCACCAAGTGCATGGTCTTGTGACTGCCAACGGGGATTTGTGACTGCTCCACTTTCGTCTCAGTCTCGCGAGGACCCAAGCGATTCTGCAACTGCATCTGCATCCTATTGGGCGATCTGTCCGACTTGGCTGGTAATCTGGCCACGCGGGGCAGAAAACTTCTAGTGCTCTTATTGGTGGCATTGGTGCTTTGGACCAACGGAGTGGCCGGGATGACAGCCTTCGGTGGTTGTGAATAGTTTCGTTGTTTCGGTGATAGTTGGTTGGCCCAATCCTGTCCAGCCGGGCGGCGGTTTTGAGCTGAAAGCAAAGGAAATCATATATTTTATTTATTTCATCCAGTGGTGAAAGAAGCCATCTGCTTTACAGCGTACGTGTGCGTCGAAACGCTAGCAGCGCAGCGGCAGAGACACCACTGATTTAATCAGATCTTTAGAGATTTTTATGTAAAAAAGTAAATGAAATTCAACGAAAAAGTGCAGACAGCGACACAAAGAAGAATGGCCGTGTGCCCAATGCAAGATGGGCTTAAAACTCACCAGTGGGCAGGCCACGTGACAGCATCTCCGTCCGGGTGTAAGTCGTCTTGCGGCGCACGGTCTGTGTGGCCGGATTCTGTCCTCCATCGTGACCCTGCTGATTCAGATTCTGATTCTGGGCGCCTGGACAGGGAGCCGCCTGCATTTGGATGACCTGCTGCAGGCCCTCGTTGCCCCGATCCATTTGACGCATCTGGTTGAGGCGATTGCGATTCATATTCATGGCTGCTGCTGCTGTGACATCTGCGAGATCTTGGGCGTTTGGAAATGTGCAGTCTTTGGAGGCTTAGGCTTTGAATGTTGGTGCGATGTTAGTGGAATGGAGTGGAATAGTTGACTGGTAAATTAGACAACATGTAGACAGGAGCACAGATGACGTCCATGCTGGGAATAAAATCAGACTGACAGCTAAAAGAAAGGTGATTAGAAAAGGTAAACCCGACCTGCACTTCTAAAGTAAAAAATGGGTTCTAGAAAGGCGAAAGGTGAAAACTGCACTTTTACAATTGTGATTTAGTTGTAAATAGTAAAATCGTTCTATTAGATTAGAAAAGGTGACCCAAACCTTCAGTTCATAAATTCAAAATGGAACCTAGAAAGGTGAACGGTGAAACTGCACTTCTAGAATCAGAAAATCAACTATACAATTACTGCTTTAGTGTTAAAAAGTAAAACGGTTCTATATTATTAGATTAGAAAAGGTGACCCCAATCTGCACTTCTTATGTCGAAAATGGGTTATACAAAGAAGGGCGGTGAAAACTGCACTTATAGAGTCATAAACTATAGAATTTGTGCTTTAGTGTTAAAAAGTAAAATGGTTCTATATTATTAAATTAGAAAAGGTGACCCCAATCTGCACTTCTTAGATCAAAAATGTATTCCAGAAAGGTGGACGGGGAAAACTGCACTTCCGGAGTTAGAAAATAAACTATAGAATTTCTGCTTCAGCGTGAAAAAGTAAAATGGTTCTATATTTATCGCTACATTAATCACTACTGGTTAATCAAATCGCTTTCACTGAGGAATTCGGCCAACAGGGAGTTGGCCAAAGCATGCTTCTGCAGCATTTCGTACTGCCGAACATTAGTGTCCCCCAGCGAGTCCTTCTTCACTGGCCTCTGCATCCCAGTTCTTTTTCGGGGATCCCTCGATGAGGAGGGTGGCGTGGTTTGCGGACTGCTCAATTGCCAACTGTAGGCATTGCTGGTGGCCAAATAGACTGGCGATTCAGCACCACCACGTCGACCCGCCACCCCACCAGTTGGCTGGCCAGGATTACCGAACTGGGAACGCTGGGGGGACTGCTGAGCCGCATGGATGCGCTTGTTGCTGTCGGAGATGGCATTGCCGTAGCTAATCCGCAGTGCCGCCAAATATCGGCGGTACGCGGCCCGGCGACGGTCCTCCTCGAACATCAGCATCCTCTGCCTCCTCCTTCCTAGCTGGGTCTCCTGATCCTGGTCCAAACTGCGAATTTTATCGAGAGAAAAGTAAAAGCTGAGGGTACAAATAATGTTTAGATTACTGTTGTGTCTATCTGTCTGTCTGTTTGGGGGAATGGGCAGTTGTCGGTAAGTTTGCTAAGTTTTAAAATAAATAAATAAAATAAATAAAATAAATAAAATAAATAAAATAAATAAAATAAATAAAATAAATAAAATAAATAAAATAAATAAAATAAATAAAATAAATAAAATAAATAAAATAAATAAAATAAATAAAATAAATAAAATAAATAAAATAAATAAAATAAATAAAATAAATAAAATAAATAAAATAAATAAAATAAATAAAATAAATAAAATAAATAAAATAAATAAAATAAATAAAATAAATAAAATAAATAAAATAAATAAAATAAATAAAATAAATAAAATAAATAAAATAAATAAAATAAATAAAATAAATAAAATAAATAAAATAAATAAAATAAATAAAATAAATAAAATAAATAAAATAAATAAAATAAATAAAATAAATAAAATAAATAAAATAAATAAAATAAATAAAATAAATAAAATAAATAAAATAAATAAAATAAATAAAATAAATAAAATAAATAAAATAAATAAAATAAATAAAATAAATAAAATAAATAAAATAAATAAAATAAATAAAATAAATAAAATAAATAAAATAAATAAAATAAATAAAATAAATAAAATAAATAAAATAAATAAAATAAATAAAATAAATAAAATAAATAAAATAAATAAAATAAATAAAATAAATAAAATAAATAAAATAAATAAAATAAATAAAATAAATAAAATAAATAAAATAAATAAAATAAATAAAATAAATAAAATAAATAAAATAAATAAAATAAATAAAATAAATAAAATAAATAAAATAAATAAAATAAATAAAATAAATAAAATAAATAAAATAAATAAAATAAAATAAATTAGATTTATAATCGAACCCGAAGAAGAACCTAGGATCAAATGTTTTTTAGAACCAAGAACTCTTTGTTATTGAGTGTTCTTCTTTATACTTTTAGTGACCAGAAGTGCATAGGTGCCCCAGCCTTCCGAACTTTGCCCGGCATCGACAACTGGTGCGAGATTAACTGCCTGCGTTATCCGCCCAATTGTCCGGAGGACGCCTGCCAGTGTCCGTAAGTAGATCACATTAATCTATATAATATATAATCTATTAACAATCAACTTTAATATCAACTTATAGCCAGGACTGCGTGGCCATTGGCGAGTTGGCTGGCCAGGAGGGAGCCGATACCTACTGCATGGACAAGTGCCTCAACTACCAATCGGAGTGTCCACGCGACAGGTGCCGCTGCTACTAGTCCGGATCGTTGGATTGCCGGAGCCACAGCTGTGCTGCCCACCCATTGCCCATGAGATACAGATACAGATGTAACCATCATCTACGAGATGCAATTTCCAATGAATTTCCAATTTAATTGACAACAAATGAGCTGAATATCTCTTTGAATTTCAATGGTTTGGGATGGGGTCAGAAGAGGTTTACTCGCGTTTGTAGGCCTCGTATAGGAAGGGTCTGGTGAAGACCTCGAGCAGTTCGCGCTGCTCCCGCAGTCGTCGGGTCTGCGCCACCGGACTCTCCAAGCTGTTGATGTGCCGACGAGCACGGAACAGGGCAGAAACCGTGCTGCCCAGCTGTTGCCAACGATCGAAGGCCCGGGATTCGACCGGCAATGGATCGGGCATTATTTTGGATAACTTGAACGGGGAACTGGGCTCTGAAAGGGTTTCGTTTGAAGGCTTCGCCGAAATAACTTCCTGCTCCTTCGGGCTCCAGTCAACTGGCATCTCAACTGGGTCATCTGGCGACGCCTCTGGTGGCAATGGCATTGTCTGACTGCTAATAAGCACCTCGGCTCGCTCCTCGCGAGCATCATCCTCGCTGTCCTCCGGCGGCAGGGCGGCACAACTGCCATTGACCAAATCCCGGACATGGGCAAAACTCGAGGCAATCCGTCGCAGCGATTCATCCTTATCCTTTGGCGGCGCTTCCACTGGCACATTCTTGTAGGTCCCAACCGAATTGCTGCTGGCACTCTGCTTCTGCCGCATCCTGTTCAGATTTATGCTGGAGAACTTGTTGCCATAACTACGACGCATCTCGGCGCGCTTGCGACGCGCCTCCTCCTGCGAAACGGCCGCCAATTGGTCCCTGGCCATCAGTTGCTGCGCCTTCGACATGGTCTCCTCTCAACTGGGATTCCGATACGGATATTCTTGAGCTAAAGAAACAAAAACGCTGACCGAAAAGTGCACGGAGAATTTTGGGTTTCTAATGTGCTTCGACTGACGGTTGGGAATCGGTTGCTAAAAGTATCTACATTTGTGCACGGACTACTGAGATTTTTATATTATATATTTCCTCTCAAGAACAATTCATTTAACTTTGCTTCGAATCACATCTTTAATATATCATCTCCATCTTAAATCCTAACTTACTCATATAGGCTTTTTTAACTGCCCAACTCACTTTGAAAAACAAAAAAAGAGGTAAGGTGAATTAAGAAAAGGTTTGCAAGTCAGTTACAGATTATAACAATGCAAAGTAAGGTGTTTTTTAGGCTACTCATTTGCAAGAACTCTTCAAATGAGTGAAATATTTTATCACTATCACTCCATTCACAATTGGTAAATTAGAGTAGAGATTTTATGGGAGCGAAACTTGAGAAATTTGAGATATTTAAGATATAATAGAAAATCTGTGACTTGTTTCTTTGTTTCCTTTTCTAATAGGTAAATTGTATAAATTATTTTCCAAAGGATCGTACAAAAGAAAACCTTGAGAACTCCTTTCTTAAACAGTAGTTGTACAAATATTTAAGATATAGTACAAAATGTCTGACAACCGATTTGTTTTGACAATGCAATGCACTGCAAATGATCGATACCTTAAGTGTGTGTTTGTGCTAGAACTGCAGCCGCTTCTTCTGGGCCAATCCATTGCCCCTAACCGTGGTCTCCACCAGCTTCCGCTTCAGCGCGGGCTTCTCCTCGCCGGCCTGCGGATTGGCGCCCTCCTTGGCGGCCAAAATGGCCGAGGGCATGGGCAATTTGGGGCCCACAGTGGGAGCGGGCTTATTGCCAAAGTACGGCATACTGAGGGCCTCCTGGCAGGAGACTCGCCTCAAAGGATTCATGGCGAACAGGCGACGCATCAGGTGGATCAAATCATTGCCAGCGGCTGTGAAGATATTCTCGAGCGGGGTTCCCGGAAAGTTCCTAAACTGCAAATAATCATGCAGCTTGCCCAGATGCGGCCATTCCGCATCCGACGGGGTGCCCAGGGTGGCAAAGATCCGGGTCAGCTGGTCCAGATCCGAGTCGCCCGGCATGAAGGGCACCCGCAACATGAGCTCCGCCAGAATGCAGCCCACCGCCCACATATCCACGCCGGTGCCATATTGCCGGGCGCCGAAGAGCAGTTCCGGCGAACGATACCAGCGGGTGACCACGTGGTGGGTGTAGATGCGATTCGGCGAGCCAAACGACTTGGCCAGACCGAAATCACCGATCTTCAGCACTCCATCGCTGTTCACCAGCAAATTGTTGGGCTTCAGATCGCGATGGAGGATCCAGTTGAGATGCAGATACTCCAGGCCCTTCAGCGTCATTATGGCATAGGCCTTGATGTTCGCCTGGGTGAGGATGATCTTCGTGTCCTTGATGATCACCTCCAGATCGGTGTCCATGAAGTCGAAGACCAGCGAGACATTCGAAAGCTGGCCAAAGACATCGACCAGGCCAATGATGTTCTCGTGCTGCAGCTCCTGCAGGATCTTGATCTCCCGCAGAGCAGTCCGGTTGATGCCATCGCGTGCGTCCTCGCGGGATCCCTTCTTGATCTTCTTCACGGCCACAATCTGGCTGGTCACCGTGTCGCGGGCCTTATAGACGATGGCGAACTGCAGCCGGTAAGTAGAACGTTAGATTTTGGCCTCTTTTCCTCGAACAGAACTCACCTGACCCTCGCCCAGGAAGGACAATTTGGCATAGCGATCCTTCTTGTCGTTGGGATTGGGCAGCATCGTGGGGAAGCCTCATAAATAACACAAAAAACAAAGAAATGCCAAAACAATTCAATTTCGCACACGCTATCGATAACCGATAGGTGCCGGCATTTGGTATCGCGGAGTAGAGGTGCCACTCATGGCCGCTTTCAAGCCAAAACGTGTTGGCTAGAAAATATTATAATTATTTTTATTAACAAATAGTTTGAAATTCTTAAACATTATTTTTATAATAGATAAAACTTGTAGATAATCTCAAAATTTAGAGTAGTTAGATTAAAGTTGATGATGATTGAATAAATATAATACCACTAAATGCCTTTTTTATTTTTGGTTTTGGTGTCAGGCCAAACATTTTTCATTACAACAATTAATTACATTTAATAATAATATTTTTATATTGTATTAATCTAAAGATAGCTTTTAATGAATCAATGTTACTTCTAGTTTTTGTGAAGAATTATAATTATAATGAAAATCCACATACTTTTAGCTAGTTTCTACCGCTAGCTACTACCACTACCAAATACCGGTTATAGTTTACTTAATATCGTTTATATTATTTTTTCTATGACTGTATTGTAAGATATATTTATTTATAGGGGGATTCCCTAAACTGTTGAATTGCTGAATTGTTGAAAATTCAACAAAAAATTTCAGCAATTATGGAAACGACCCAAAATGGTTCCTATTGAATTTTAAAACAGCTGTTATTTGTTGAAAAATTTTACGGAACTTTAAGCATGTAAAATTAGATTAATTATTGCTAGTTACTGTCTAAAAGTGTTATAAAGGTAAAAAGAACCACAAATATGCTTTCTAAGTTGATTTTAAAATAAATAATTCGTACTGGTGAAACTAAAATGTTACAGAGTTGCCACGACTTTTAAAAAAAGGTGACAACTCTGGCTTTTCAGCAATTCAAGAAAATTTTCAACAGCCCCGAGGCTGTTGAATTGCTGAAATTTCTGAAAGTTGACTTTGTATGGAACAGCTGATTAACAGCTGACCAAAATTCAACAATTCAGCAATTCAACAGTTTAGGGAATCCCCCTTATATTAAATAAAAAAGGATTAAAAATTATAAAATGTCAAGATATCTTCACGCTATTTCCGATACCGGCGAAACATCGATGGAGCAAGCGATAGTGCCATCGATAGTTTGCCATCCCTAGCTAGAAAGCATTTTTTTTTACTCGAAAAAAACTATAAAACTTGCTTGTTTTTGTGGATTTAATTGATTAAAAGGACGGCAGGATGGACGTGCGACCCAACCAGACGATATATATCAACAACCTGAATGAGAAGATCAAGAAGGAGGAGCTGAAGAAGTCGCTCTACGCGATTTTCTCGCAGTTCGGCCAAATCCTGGACATTGTGGCACTGAAGACCCTGAAAATGCGCGGCCAGGCATTTGTGATCTTCAAGGAAATCGGTAGCGCCTCGAATGCCCTGCGCACCATGCAGGGATTCCCCTTCTACGACAAGCCCATGCAGATAGCCTACTCCAAGTCGGACTCGGATATTGTGGCCAAGCTGAAGGGAACCTTCAAGGAGCGCCCCAAGAAGATCAAGCCACCGAAACCGGCGCCAGGTGCCGAGGAAAAGAAGTGAGTATCCCATTTTAATCCGCGAATTTATTGCCCTGTCATGGCGCTCCAATGTGTCAGGTCTATAAGGTTTGCTTTTCCAAAAATTATAGAGTTGCCTCCCTTGCAATGTAGACTGTAATAACAAAAAAAAGGTCTAACATCTTCCCGTTTAAGCCGTTTAATCCATTTTGATGTTAAATTCCACTTTACAGACCTATATTTTGAGTATTCATGCTATTTTTTTACAATGTGGCTTTATTTTTGACAAGTTTTTATACTATTACTATTAGTATTACTATTCCCATCTGGGTTATTTAATATTATAGTCCTTTCAATTCAGGAATTTATTGCCATTTGTCCATTTTTATGTTAAATTCCATTTTACAGACCTACATTTTGAGTATTCATGCTATTTTTCTACAATGTGGCTTTATTTTTTAAAATTTTGTATACTATTACTATTCTATTACTATTAGTATTGCTATTCCCATCTGGGTTATTTAATATTATAGTCCTTTCAATCCAGGAATATATTGTCAAGTCTATAAGGACTTTGTTTCCAAAGATTATAGAGTTGTCTCCCTTATAATTTCAGTCCCTAGAACCTACATAAATGTTTTAGAAAGCAAGAATAAGAAAAAAAGAAATAACATCTTTCATTTTCTAAAAAAAATCTTAACTTATCCCGCCGTTTAATCCATTTTGTTGTTAAATTCCATATTACAGACTTTAGTTTTTCAATATTCATGCAATTTTTCTACAATATAGCTTGTTTTGGACCATTTTTAATACTTTTACCATGTTCCACCTTCGCAGGGACAAGAAAAAGAAGCCGACCAGCGCGGAGAACTCGAACCCGAACACACAAACGGAGCAGCCGCCCAACCAGATCCTCTTCCTCACCAATCTGCCCGAGGAGACCAACGAGATGATGCTGTCCATGCTGTTCAACCAGTTCCCCGGCTTCAAGGAGGTGCGTCTCGTGCCGAATCGCCACGACATCGCCTTCGTGGAGTTCACCACGGAGCTGCAAAGTAATGCCGCCAAGGAGGCGCTGCAGGGCTTCAAGATCACGCCGACGCACGCCATGAAGATCACCTTCGCCAAGAAGTGAGCCCAGCGCCTACACGGACTCTAGGTGTAAACGTCGCTGGCTGGAGGTTCAAGCCACTCCATTTATAATTTAAAGTATAGAATAAATCAATATATACATACAGAGATAAGATTCGATGTTCTATTGGATTTCTTTAATTCGTTTAAGTTTGGCAAAGTTAAAGACTAAACTATTCCCTTCCCCCTCTGATTTGTGAGGCAATCAAGTAAAATCTTCTATTTTCAGTTTTCAGACCCTTTATTCCATTTTTCCATTTTTTACTGGTAAATATTTGTTCTTGTCTTTGTGTTCGGCAACAATATCATCATTTGTTTGTGTAGTGTTAACAAGAAACCAGCAATGTTTTGAAAATTGAGCAGCTATGTCGGTCGTACATATTTCAAATTAGTTTAGATTGAGATAGCATGTAGAATATTTAAGGATAATTCGTGTGCGCAGCATATTGTCAATGTTATAAGATTACAATGATGGCGACCACTTGGAAGTATTTGGATGTGTAGTGTTGACGAGGAGTTTTGCTTGAGGAAGGTCCCAGGTCCTCCATGACATCAATCTTATAACATTTACAAGCATCATCATCAGTAGGGTGTGTTTTTCTCTCGGGATATCGGGTGTTGTGTTGGCTTGTTTGTAACAGGAACTCGAAGCTATGAGGCTATTTTGAACGGCATCTGAGGGCAAGGATAATCAGTTATCTATTGCGATCCCTTACCATTGAGGAAAACTACTTACTATTTCGGTATTAGTGGTCCAAGACGGCCTCCTGGTCGTGCTCCTCCAGCTCGCTGATGACCACATCGTTGACACTGCCACTGGAGGAGGCACTTGGCCCGGCACTGCACGCATCCTCGGATCCCGGCAGTCCTCGCTGCTCGGTGGCCTCCACATCCGCCGCCACATCGTCGACATACTTCTCCATGGACTTGGCCAGCTTATCCGGATTGCCGCCAACGAAGAGCTCCAGGACCTCGCCGGCCTTGATGAAGACAAAGGTCGGCATGCTGGTCACATTGTAGTCCAGCGTGATGTCCTCGTTCTCGTCCACATTCACCTTGAGCACAACCGCCCGGTCCGAATACAGCTCGGCCAGCTCCTCCAGTTTTGGGGCTATAATCTTGCACGGACCGCACCAGTTGGCATAGAAATCGATCACCACCAGCTTGTCCTCGGCGAGGGCCAGCTGCTGGTCGAGATCTTCCTTGTTCCTCACCAGGTACACCATGATTTTAACTAAAATGTATTAAAAAAAAAAGTTACAAAAAAAAATGTCTATGAAAAGTTGTCAAAATTTTTTTTCTATGAAAATTACTTTGGAAATTTGGGAGCGGAACGACTGCTCACAGCGAAATATCAGGCCGAAATGAACGAGCTGGGATCCGTCAATTAATAAGGAAGACAAAATTCATTGGAACAAGCCTACTTGGACCCAAAAACAATTTTTAAATGTCATCCGGGGTGGATTGAGGTGAATAGAGGTGTATTAGTGGGACCACTCGGAAATAACCCCTTTGACTTACAGTGCTGGACAAAATAATAGTGGTGCGCAATTGGAAACTAAACAAAAATAACCACTGTTTAAAAAACACTAACAAGTATTAAGAATTATTATGATTATTCAGTTATGATATTTTAAGCGGTAGATAATAAACTTAGGGAATTTTGAATACACAAAACATATTCAGATATACAAATAAAATGTTCATACATTGAGTACCATTTTTTGTTAGCAAAATGAGGAATAGCAGTTATTCTTTTTCATTTCTAATTATTCGGATATCAAATATTCAGGCAATTTTTTATGAGGAATAGCAGTTATCCCTTTTTATTTATAATTATTAGTATATTAAATATTCAAGCAATTTTTCAACTGTTGATTTTATTTTTTCAGATGATTGAAAAATGTTTTCTTAGAAAGTGCACTATTTTTTTTATATAAATAATTTGATAAAGTTGCGATAGTTTTTGTGTGGTGAAATAGTGTGGCCCCTCGCTGCCAGCTTTTCGATGCTTTCCCAACCAGCTGGCAGCCCTGTCGCGGCGGCCATTTTACCACCGCGAGAGGCGGCCATTTTGTTTTTACCACCGCGAGAGGCGCAAAATTGCGAATTCAGCAGGCAAATTGGCGGGAACTCCAGTCTCCAATCGCGATTTGGGCCCCTATAAAAGCCCCCCAGCGCCGCGTGTGCCTCCAGTTCAGAATTCGCCACAAAAGGGTTACCACCTAGCCAGCAAAAAAAAAAGCTTTTTAAATTACCACCTTAAAACCCGTAATCTTCAGCAAATCCGTGAAAATGGCTTCTGTCCGCACCATGAACGACTATCACAAGAGAATCGAGGCGGCCGACGACAAGCTGATTGTCCTCGACTTCTACGCCCAGTGGTGCGGACCCTGCAAGGATATGGAGAGCACGGTGAAATCGCTGGCCAGGAAGTACTCATCCAAGGCCGTCGTCCTCAAGATCGATGTGGACAAGTTCGAGGAGCTGACGGAGCGCTACAAGGTGCGCAGCATGCCGACCTTCGTCTTCCTCAAGAACAATCGTCGCGTGGCCGCATTTTCCGGCGCGGATGAGCACAAGCTGACCAACATGATGGCCAAGCTGGTAAAGGCCTAGAAAAATCGAAATCGACATCGAAATCATCGTTCGGAGCCGGGCTCCACCACCACTACCTATAGATTATGGATTTTAACCCATGTTCAAAGTGTTCCTTTTGTAATCGTCTTAACTCAACTATTATTAATGTATGTATGATGTATAGCTCGTAAGCGATGTGGGAGTAGGAGATGCGCGTGTGGTCATAAAAAGCAGAAACTAACTAGAAATCAGGAGTGAAAAGACCCAAAAATGTGAAAGGTGAAAAAAAAACCTAACCTCAATCATGATATGTATGTTTTAGTGCGTGGAGGCGTGTCTGCGACATAACCTCTTAAGTCTGAGAATTGTATTCTGTTTAATCAAAAAATCAACTCGAAATGCCATTTTGGACAAAGAAATTAGCTTTAAGGTTAGGCACTTAGCAATTCGATCAATAAATTGTAACCACTCTGACTATAATTTACCATTACTGCTTTCTTTTTGGTTTTGGGCTTCTTTTTTCAGCTTTAAACTATCAGCTAAATATATTGGGTTTCCATGATAACTCAATACCATGTGATTCAAAAAATGGTTTCCTGTACTAAAATAAATAAAATATCATAATTATAGGACTTGTAATAGCTAAGAATGTCTATTTAAGTACGGATTCTCATCACTTTTAAAAGTTTATAAGAAATGTAGAAGATTCCAGAATGAAAACTTAGGAGGCCATGATTCTCCTTTAATACCAATTGATACCGCTCGATTTTCTTAATAGTCAGTAGGCTTCGGGTTGTCGTGTCAAAAGGTTAACACATTCCAGCTGGCATTAGCTAACAAAACTTAAAATCACACACATGAAAAAATCCCTTTCGTTAGCCAATATTCCGAAAAAATCAAACCTTTGGAAAGTTGCAAAATTGCCAAGTGCCATTGATATCCCGATTTCCACATAGAACCCATAGTCAGTAAAGGTAGAGATCCCAGGAAGGGGAGATCCCAATCCAGACATATATAGACCATGTCGTATCAGATCAAATCGACGCCGTATTTCCGGCGGATGTTCAACAACAGCAAGAAGAATGGCCAATTGCAGAGATTGAGGGATGAGTACGAGCGGATCCAGGAGTTCAATGACCGCACCATCGAGCTGAAGATGCGTCAGGTGCGTTTGAAGCGTCTCTTCCGGGAGATCGAGGAGCTCAAGGCGGGATCAGCTAGTGAAAATGCCACTGGCGGTGCTCCGCCAAGTAATCCGAAGAGATCCCTTGGGGGCTCCAATCTGCGGCGCCGGAATCATTATGTCCGCTTGACAAACACCACGCCGGAGCAGAAGATCCATGAGCAGCGTATAGAGACCTTGGCCAGGGCCCGGGAATTGGGCAAGGAGATATCGCGGCGAAACGCCCAAATGGCCGAAGCCGGAACTGGTGGCTTCCTGAGGAGCGAACTCCGGCTGACGGCCAAGATGCAGGCGGTGGAAGATGCCCGCAAGGATGCCGTGGAGCGCAGGGAACGCGCCGCCAAACGGATCTCGTATGGCAACGATCAGTCCCGCCAGAATCTCCAGCGATTGCTCCTGGTGCGCCAGCGAAAGATGTGCGCTGGAAATCGGTCGCATCCTCAACCGCATCCGCAGCCCAATTGCCAGGCTGTGGTTCCGCTTCCCATAACCACCCAACAGCTTCCAAGGATGCAGATAAGGTATCATATTAGGTCTTTAACAGAGATATAATTATATATGTTTATATGAAATATGTAATCAAAAAACAATCAATTTAAATTTTAGGATCAAGTGATCTACTTATTTAAATTTTATGATCAAGAAGATCTCTTGTTCTTGATCCTAAAATTTACATTGATTGGTATTTAATTACATATTTTATATACATATGACATATATCATTGTATCTATGTATATCTATATACATATCTATATCAAATACCAATCAATTTAAATTACATATTTTATATACATATGACATATATCATTGTATCTATGTATATATATATACATATCTATATCAAATACCAATCAATTTAAATTTTAGGATCAAGATAATCACTTGTTCTTGATCCTAAAATTTAAATTTAAGATAACTTATCCCTGAACCTAAAATTTAAATTTAAGATCACTTATTCTTGAACCTACAATTTAAATTTAAAATCACTTGTTCCTGATCCTAAAATTTAAATTTAAGATCACTTATTCTTGAACCTACAATTTAAATTTAAAATCACTTATTCTTGATTCTAAAATTTTAATTGAATTGAATTGTATTGAATTTTGTAGTTCAAATAACATAATAGTTTCATATTTAAATGTAACTACATTTCAAATTATTCTGACATAAAAATATTATTTACATTTAATGTTAAGAAATGAAGTAGTGTTCTTTTATAGGAAGTTCTTAAATCCTTTTATAAATATATAAACATGTACATATATAGTTTTGTAGTTCAAATAATATTATTATTTTTTTCATATTATTTTTTGGCATAAAAATATTATATTTTCACATTTAATATTAAGAAATTAAGTAGTGTTCTTTTATAGGAAGTTCTCAAATCCTTTTAGAAATATATAAACATTATTCCTATTTTACATCCCAATAAATCTCCCTTTTGCAGGCCAAGTCATCTGTATCCGGACTACCGCCAACTGACCGCCAGTCAGCTGCAACTCCTGGCGGTTGAGGACGAGCGGTCGGCGGAGCAGCAGCGCATGCGTCGCGACCAGGAGGAGGATGAGCGCCAGCTGAAGGAGGAGCAACTCAGGCAGCAGGAGGATCAGGAGGATCAGGAGGACTCTTCCGTGGAGCGTTTTCGTCGACAGGACTCGTCAATGCCATCGCAGGAGATTGACGATGAGGACGAGGACAGCGAGGAGCAGCGGATTATTCAGCTAAGGCTTCAAAATCCCGAATTGGCCGACGAGCTAGAGCGGCGGCGGCGACGACAGCAGGAGGACGAGGAGGAGGAGGAGCAGCTGCAGAGGCGGCTGCGGCATCTCCACGACGAGACTTCGCCCCTGCGGCTGGCCCGCATTTCGCTCAGCTCGACCGTGACGGAGGGCACCAATGCCACCAATGTGACTGTGGAAACAGCAGCCACATCCCCGTATCAAGGGGACTCCGTTTCCGAGTTGGAGGAGGAGGTGCACACTGCTCCGCTGGCCAACACAGTCGAGGATCCCTTGGCCCTGGGCCAATCCAGCTCCGCTTTGATATCCTTTCATCAACCCACTCGACGAGTTCCGTTTCAACCGGGCTACGATTCTCCCATGAATTCCATGTGCGCCTCCAGCAAGTGGCGCCAGATTTCGCTGATGATGCCCTGGTTCAAGGCCTTTCCCGACCTCAAATCCGAGCGAGAAACGATGACGCCAGCACCGGCCTCCAATCAGGCCACCTACACGTTCAGCCACGTGGCCACGCAGGCGGAGGAGGAGCCGTTTCCGCCTCCGCCCTGCGAGTTCCTGCTCTCCACCTTTGATTTCATTGGCACCGCTGAACGTTAGGCGGCTGTAGAGGATCCAAGTGCATATTTCCCAATCGAATTCCAATCCCAGAGGAATGCGGTGTGTGCTGAAATATACAAGTTACACGCGTTAATAAAAGTTTAGAGTTATTTGGAAAAAAAAACTGTGGCCATTATTTTAGAATTTATTTGGTTAAGCTTAAAAATTTTTAAGATCTTTTTAAGATATATATTTTGGATGATCATTAAGTTAAGAAAAGTCATTCCTATGTGGTTTACCGGAACTTAAATATAATTTTGCATACTAAAATTACCTTCGATGCGATTCCGTTGGGTTAATGAAAAGATTTATTTTGTAAAAAGATTCCCTCGCTTTTTCCGAGACAAATCGGGCCACAAATATTACATTGTTTTGTAACTTTTTTGATAAATAAAATTGTAAGTAGAATATGTTGTATTTAACATTTAATTGGTTCGAAAGTAAATACATATTCGTTTAAAAAACTAAAAAAAAAATATGACTGATATTGAATACAAAAAATTATACTTTGTATGTCATAAAATAACATAAAGAAAAGTGTCTTGAAATTAATGTTCATAGTCTGTAATAAGGATTCAAAACAAATATATGGGTTGTTGAAAAAAAAGTAGTTATTGTCAAGTTAAATTTTTGGTTAGGTTAAGATGAAATACAGGAGCGTAGTGGCATTTTAAAAGTATGCGATTTTAGGGATCCCTCCACAAGTAGCATGCGTTAAAGTTCAACGGAAGACAATGGATTTGGAAGGCCATCTTTAATCTATTGGTCCTTTTTTTGATCTTCTGGATCCTCTTCGTCAGCTGCCTTCTTTGACTCTACATCCTTTTGTTTCTCTTTTGGATTTATTTGGTCTTTATCCACCATTGACTCTACATCCTCTTGATGAGCTTCTTCAAGATCCTTTCGGTCTTCATCCATTTGATTTCGCACCTTTGGCTCTGTCTTCTTTTTCTCTTCACAATCCTTTAGTTTCCCTTTCTCCTCTGAATTTATTTGCTCCATTTTCTCTGCTGGATCTTTAAGATCTTCTTGTTGTTGCTTTACTTCTTCTACCTTTCGTGCCTCTTCTTCAGCAATCTCCTTTTCCAGCTCCTCAGCAGCTAGCTTCTTCCTGGCCAAAACTTCCTCCCTTAGCTTTTGATCGGCCACTTCGAAATCTGCGCACAAGAGCTCCTGCTCCTTTCGATAGGCGGGCATCCAAGCGTCCAGCGCTTCCAGGAGGGCCGAACGAAAGGGATTCTGCAGCTCCGGGACCTGGAAGTCCCTGAAGAAGGAGGGCGAATAGATGATGTCATCGAACTCCGACTCGAACTCTTCGTCCTTCAGCGGGATCAACCGAGACTCCAGAATTTCAAAGCTATTAAATATTCTGTTAGTAAAGTATATATAATATAATAAATCCAATTCCCACCTGGGCAATCGCTCTCGCAGGTAGCGAACTCTCCTGCCGCAATTATACTCAATGTACTGGCGCGTGTAGTGCATGCTTCTCCCTGCCAACTTGGCATTGACCAGCTTCTTATTGATCGACGGATCAAAGTCCTTGTTCTGCGAGACTCGCAGGAAGAGTATGCCCGCCTCGGCGTCCATTTCGACGACATGGGCGTGCAGCTGCCGGTTGAGCACGGAGCGCCGGAAGAGGCGCGTGCTATCCGGTGGCCAGTGGAGGCCCAGCGGATGGATGTGCGACAGAGTGCCGCGGGCAGCCAGTGCCGGCATATCGGTGAACCAATCGGGCAGGAATCGCAGATCATTCGGCGACATTTCGGCTGCCGAGGCATAGTCCACGTAGTAGATGGACACCCAATCGGCATCCTTTGGCGGAGTGACCAATATTCTGGCTCGTCGCCAGCCTGTCCGGTGTTTTGCAGCGCAAATGTAACCGGCTTTTAGGTAGTAACTTGATACGGGCAACCTGTACTTGGGATCTGCATCGTGGTTATAAAAGGAGCTGGCAAAGGAGATATTTGATTTAGCAGCTGGGCTTTTCCCTATGCATCCACTCACTTGATGTTGGTGTGCATATCTTGCAGCGAATCGGTACCGTGCACCTGGTCCACGAATTGAAACCAAAACTGAAAGGGACTGTAGACCTTGCACACGGATATCTGGATGTAGTCATCCTCCTGGCAGATGTCCTGCAGGCGCATGGCAGGCAGCTTCTTGTCCAGGGCGACGGCATCTCGGGGTCTGTCCACCATGAAAATGGCATCCGTCTGTTTGTTACAGAATTAGAAAACTTGAATAATTGTAATAATTCCAGGAACCGTAATCATTATAGGTGATATAATAGAAATCAATATTTAATAATTATTTATTGATTTTTTTACATTTTACTCCATTTTAATAATTACTTGTTGAGCTTTTTTCAATCGCTTAAAGAATAATTATTATAATTGCGAAAAAAATGTTGATCAAAAAATAATTCTTTTTTGAGCATTATTTTTTTGCTCAAAATATCGCAAAATATCTTCTTCCTCAGAGGTTTCTTTGGAAAAATGTTTACGCAACCTCGACGAACCCAAAAAACCAATTTTTAGATTTAAAAAAAAAGGTTAAAAAATAATGTTTTATATATATGGGAAATATTGCACTTTGAGCGATATTTTGAGCGACAAATAACGCTTAATAAATAATCATTATTTTTTGATTGACATTTTTTTTTGCCCACAATTATAATAATTATTCTTCGAGCGATTGAAAAAAAAACTCCACAAATAATTATTAAAATGGAGTAAAATGTATAAAAATCAAGAAGTAAAAAATCAATGCGCATACAAATTGGTATAATTCGTTTGTTCATAAGCTTTTCCAAGTGGATGATTTTTTTGTTTGCAAAATACATCGATAACACAGGCCAACAGTGTTTTTGGTGCAGCCCTATGGGCATTAAATTGTGTTAATATAGACGGATATAAGCATATCTGCATACTTAGTTTTCGAGTTTAACGGGTGGTATTTGTGCAATCGCGGTTTGAAAAAAGTAGCAACATTTTATATTTTCATTTAAGATATCTTCGAGGGTCTGTGCTCAGTTGTAATAAAACCTATGCCAAAAAATTGCTTAGATGCCCTTCTACATAATTGCATTTAAGGTTCCATCATTATTTGAGTTAATAAAAGCCTAAGAGCCATTGAAGTAATTTGTTCACCTCTATTTACAACCAACTTGATGCGGTGAACAGGCTTAAAAAATACAAGGAAAAATATGTGCCCTAAAATATTTTACATGCATCTAGAGGCGTCTTTTCCCGAATTTTTGAGATAAATCCCACTATTGTACTTCGAAAAATGGAATTTATAGAATTTTTTTCGTAAGAATGGGAAAAGTAACAAGTATTTTAGAGTCACTCTTACGTAACGAGTTTGTCGTGATTTTACACAGTAGGCTTTTTAAAGATAACAGTGGCGTCGCCTTAAAATTGTAGTGGGGATTTTTTTAAGGCATATTAACCCCTTAAAAATATAATTTTTCTATGTTCGGCGCCTACTGCTAACCAAATTGAAAGGCACATTTTTACGAATGTGTCAGATATTTATGTAAAATGGGATTTAAAAATAGTTGTTACTTTTTAAGTTCTTACGAAAAAAATTCTATAAAATCCATCCTTCGACGTACAATGGTCTTATTTGTCTTAAAAATTCGGTGAAAGACGCCTCTAGATCAGCGGTCGGCAGCGTCCTATTAAGTGAGCATAGGGAATTGCTCTGCTCACACGCTGCCCCTCACGGACACTGTAAAACAGCAGTCTGTACACACACATCAATGAGCTGCCCCGTGCAAATTACTCACACAAATATAAAACAAAATGTCATCGTATGTGTGTGCCGACCGCTGCTCTAGATGCCTGTAAAATATTTTAGGGCACATATTTTTCCTTGTATTTTTTTAAGCCTGTTCACCGCATCAAGTTGGTTGGGAATAGAGGTGAACAAATTACTTCAATGGCTCATAGGCTGTGATTGACTCAAATTATGATGGAACCTTAAGTGCAATAATGTAGAAGGGCATCTAAGCAATTTTTTGGCATAGGTATTATTACAACTGAGCACAGACCCTCGAAGATATCTTAAATCAAAAAATTAAATGTTGCTATTTTTTTCAAACCGCGATTGCCCAAATACCACCCGTTAAACGCGAAAACTAAGTATGCAGATATGCTTATATACGTCTATATTAACATGTTTTAATGCCAATAAGCCTGCACCTTTTAATAAAGTCCATTTTGTTGACCTGTGTAATCATTATTTACGGTCCCTGAATAATTCAATTCCCTTTACTAACCACACAGCTGTCTGGAATCGCCACACGGTAGTGCGCCCGTTGTATTAAGTCCATCATTCGCTCATCCGCCTGTCCCTCATCCGAATCCTCAGGATGTCCAGCATCCTGGGCATCTTTGGCATCTTTGACATCGCTTGCAAAGGGATTTTTCCCCACCAAAGCCTCGTCATCGCTATCGGGAAGGTAATCAATGGGCAGCTGCTCGGCGGGTTCCTCGGTCACTGGTTCAGGTTCCTCCCGTATCTGATCCCCAGGCAGACCGACAGTCGTGCTTAGCCATTCCTTCATGTAGTCCTGCTTGCTGTCGGGAATTAGGTTCAGGGTCCAGGTATTCAGCCTGATCTTTGGGCAGGGAATCAGTGGCTCCATGACATGGAATTCTTTATTGCCGGCGGGAAGAAGAAAACCCACTTTTTTGTAATTATCCTGGAATCCTAATAGACTGGAGTGCGAGGATGCAGGACCGGGATCGCTTAGGTGATCCAGCTGAAAAAGGGATTACAATGATTTCGGTGCTTTAGGAAAAATCCTTCTTGCTCTACATACCTGGCTAATGGGTTTATCATCGTCACAAGGCAATTTTTTATTCACTTCCTTGTTATTCTCCTTGGGATCTTGAGTTGTAGGACTTTTAGGATCCATCTGAAAATGGAAATTTACTGGAGAATGTTTCGGTAAACAGTAAACTAGAATTCCCACCTGGTTAGGCGGTTTCTGTTGGTCACATGGCTCCTGCAAAGTTATATTAGCTTTCTCGTTATTTTTCTTAAGATCTTGAGGATCCTCAGGCTCCATCTAAAAGTGGGGAATAGCTGGAAATAGCTTTGTTCAATAGTAAAATGGAATTCCCACCTGGTTAGAGAGTTTCTCTGGGTCAAGTGGCTCCTGCAATGTTATATTAGCTTCCTTGTTATTGTCCTTAAGTTCTTGAGGATCCTTAGAGGCCATCTGAAGTTGGAGATTAATTGAAAAATGTTTCGGTCAACATTAAACTAGATTTCCCACCTGGTTAGTGGGTTTTTCTTGTTCAAATGGCTCCTGCAATGTTATATTAGCTTCCTTGTTATTGTCCTTAAGATTTTGAGGATCCTTAGGATCCATCTGAAAATGCGAATTAGCTGGAGAATGCTTCGGTAAACAGTAATCTAAAATTACCACCTGGTTAAAGAGTTTCTCTGGGTCACATAACTCCCACAAAGATATATTCCCCCTTTTCGGATTGGACATGGAGAATACATGATCCTCAGGAGGCGGTCCCAACTGATAGGGAATATAAAAATTGATGGATACTCAAAATAAGCATGTTCTTAGGATTACACACCTTTTTCGTGGGTTTTCTTATATCAAAAATAGACAGTCTTGACGGTTTCTTGTTATTAGGTTTGGGATCTTGAGAATATGTATTATCTTTGGGATCCATCTGAAAATTGTTGATTAGCTTGAGGATGCTTCCAGTTAAATGGAATTCTCACCTGCTTAATGGGCTTTTTCACATCACATGGCTTTGCCAAATCGGGATTCTTCGTTTCGGGGGTAATCTTAAAGGCCAAATTCTTGGTATTTGTTGGTATAAACTTAATTCCAGCAGACTCACCGGCTTTTTGACCGCATTTTCGTCAACTTTGACACTCAAATCCTTGGAATCCATCTGCAGAGGATGCACTGTGGCGCGTAGAGATGGTTTACTTTGAGTGGCTTTCCCGTGGAGCTCCGGATCCCGCCGCACCATTAAAACTTGCATTTTCAGTCTTTCATTCATGTGGAATATATTTCTGGGAAATTCGGCAAGTTTTGTTCCCGAATTAACTGTAAATTTGAAGCGCCGCTATTTATCAGTCCGGCAGCACTGGCATCAGTGATGGGCCAAGGCACAGGTGTGTGCAAACTGGCGATATATCGATATAAATAAGTTCGTCTATCGGCTGCGTTTGTTTACGCACGTGTTGCCGTTTTTTTTTAGTTTTATTTAATTATTTAAGAAAAAAGGCATATATTCCGGCCAGAAAATGGACAGCGAGGGCGACGACTACGAGCTGACCGGCTCCGAGCAGGAGTACGATGCGGAGGAGCGCGAGATTCTGGAGGATCTGCGCAAGCAGCGCAAGAAGCGCCAGCAGCAGGATCCCGTCCAGGAAGTCCTGGCCTTCAGCGATGATGAGGATGAGGAGGATGACGACCAGGAGAAGGACGACGATGTGGCGGATCTGATGCGGGACAGCGACATCGAGGGAGCCGAGGACGACGACCGGGATCTGCCCAACACAATGGACTGGGGCAGCAAGCGGAGCACCTACTACAACACGGACTTCGTGGACCAGGACTACAGCAGCTACAATGCCCAGGAGGAGGAGGAGGCGCGCGCCGAGGAGGAGGAGGCCAAGAAGATCCAGTTGCGGCTGGCCAAGCGGCTCAGCGAGGCGGATTTCCAGCTGGACGATGTCGAGGCGGCGGCAGAAGGCAGCGATGATGAAAAGGATAAGGATAAGGAGGCGGTGACCAAGGTGACCACCGATCTGACCGGTCTGACGGCCCGTGAGCGCCGTCAGCTGCTGCAAAAGGACTCCCCCGAGTTCATTGGCCTCACCCAGGACTTTCAGAAGCATCTAAACGAGGTCAAGGATCTTATAACTCCCGTTCTCAACTATGTAAGGAACCACAACGTTCCCCTGGTGCCGGCCCTCAAGTACGCCAGCCTCTATCACACCACCCTGACCACCTACTGCTCCAACGTGGCCTTCTATCTGCTGCTGAAGGCGCGCCGGAGCAGCGTCAAGTTCCATCCGGTGGTCAAGCGGCTGGTGCAGCTCAAGCAGCTGGTGGAGCAGCTAGCGCCGCGCTACGAGGAGTACATACGGCCGCAGCTGGAGGCGCTGCTGGAGCGGATACAGGACGGCGATGCCTTCACTGTGCTGGATGTGGCGCAGCGCAAGGCCAAGCTGCAGATCTTGAACAAGTACGGAAATGGGGAGGAGGCGGAAGAGAGCGAGGATGATGAGGAGGAGGAGGCGGAGAAGGATGAAAAGGAGCTAGATGGCGAGGAGGAGGAGGATCAAGAGGACCCAGAGCTCGCGCGACGCGGCATCACCTACCAGATGGCCAAGAACAAGGGCCTCACGCCGCACCGCAAGAAGGAGCTGCGCAATCCGCGCGTCAAGCACCGCGGCAAATACCGCAAGGCGCTCATCCGGCGCAAGGGAGCCGTGCGCACGGTGCGCAAGGAGCTGCAGCGCTACGGCGGCGAGATGTCCGGCATCAAGGCCTCCGTCACCAAGAGCGTCAAGTTCCGCGTTTAAAATCTAAATCTAAATCTAAATAAATCAAATCAAATAATTTTTTCTTTTTAATCAACTCTGTTTTTGTACATTTTATTTCGGTTTCTGGTACGTTTTTTTAAATCATCAGGGCTAACATTTATAAAACTTGCTTATATTCATACATTTATCTCTTCTTTTACTTGGTTAACATTTTCAAACCAATTAATGAATCGCCAAAAATCATTGTCTTGTGTTTGTTTCATTTTGTACAAGTGTTTTTATCTTCACTTTGTGTGGCCTTAAATCTTACAATGTAAATTCCGAATATTCGTCCTTGAATACAAACTAATTGCTGGCTCAGCCGGAGGGATTATGACCTAATCCTTAAGAAATAGCTTGCGGAAGTCATCGTTTGACTTTGGCGCAGCAGCCACTGGTTCTTCCTCCTTTTCCTTTTCCTCCACGGGAATGGCGGATTTGCCATTAGCCTCTGGCTCAGTGGAGTCCTCGGCGGTCGAGGATCCATCCAAGGGGACCTGCAGCAGGCGACGCTTCTTGGCGGCCACCTCCTGGCGCACCAAAGTCGTGGGTATCAGCGAGGTGGGCACGCGGCGCTTGGGCGCCACACTGGGCTTGTTAATATCAGCGGAGCCCCTCGGCGGTGGGTTTGATATGGCAACGGATATCTAAGGTAGTTAATAAATATATAAAATAATATATAATACTAGAACCAAAGAGCTTCACTCACATTCATCCCCTTCAGCAGTTGACCATCGCGTCCAGCCACCGCTCTTTGAGCTTCTCCCGGCAGCTCAAACTCCACGTAAGCAATGCCCTTGAATTGTTTGTTTCTAATCGAAGAAATAAATATATATATTAGCTATTAATTCAATAAAGTAAACCCCAAGACTTCCGACAACGTCATTAAAATCATCTCATTTCTCGAAAAAACCCAAATGAAATTAAAAATCTAAATTCAAATAATAAATAAAAATGTATCTAATTCAACTCAATTCTCAATTAAAATTAAAGAATTTCTAAAATCACAATAAAAGTAGAAATAAGTAATATTAGGTAAAAAATCATAAAAACGTAAGAAAACAAATAAAATAATCAAAATAAAAATAAACAAGAAAGGAAGCTAACTTCGGCAAGCCGAAGCTTATATACCCTTGCAGATCATTCTATTAATTTACAAATCGCAAAAATGTTAAATTTCTTATTATTTCACATTAATTTTTCGATCGTTTCTATCACAGCTATATGATATAGTAGTTCGATCTTTTAAAAATTAAAATCGAAATTCAGAAATATTTCAAAATAGTCATATCCCAGAGTAGAAGGAAATGTAATAAAATCCAACAAAGATATAATTTTTTTCCCATTAATTTCCATTTAATTTTTCGACCGTTCCTATGGCAGCTATATGATATAGTGATCCGATTTAAAAAACAAAAAAACCGAAATTCAGAAAAATATAAAAAAAAATATTCCTAAGAGTAGAAGGTAAAATTTTAAAAAACACCGGAGCTAGAATTTTTTTACGTTTTTTTTTTATCCTTCCTATGGGAGCTATAAGATATAGTTTTCCGATCCGGTTGGTTCCGACATATATACTACCTGCAAAAGAAATTCGACTTTTACGAAAGTTTCATCCCGATAGCTTTAAAACTGAGAGACTAGTTTGCGTAGAAACGGACTGGCAGACGGACGGACAGACGGACAGACGGACAGACGGACATGGCTAGATCGACTCGTCTAGTGATGCTGATCAAGAATATATATACTTTATGGGGTCGGAAACGTCTCCTTCACTGCGTTGCAAACTTCTGACTGAAATCATAATACCCTCTGCAAGGGTATAAAAAGTATCTAGTATATAAGAATGAAATGTTAATAGTTCGCTAATTTAATGATTTTGAAAATTGTTAGCTTTTAAGTATTATATAAAAATGTAATAAGCAATTTTTTGTCAAAGTGACTAGCGCAATAATAATAAGCTTACGCTTGTAGCGCTAGGATATTATATCAATAAAAATTAAAAATAATAAATTAAATTCGACACCTTGAAAAAGCCCAAATTAAGCTCAAAATCTAAATTCACAAATATACAATAAAAATGTATCTAATTCGAAACCTTGAAAAGGCCCAAATTAAGCTCAAAATCTAAATTTACAATTATTAAATAAAAATGTATCTAATTCGACACCTTAAAAAAGCCCAAATTAAGCTCAATATCTAAATTCACAATTATAAAATAAAAATGTATCTAATTCGACACCTTGAAAAGGCCCAAATTAAGCTAAAAATCTAAATTCACAATTATAAAATAAAAATTCGAAACCTCAGACGAGCTGAAGGCCTTGGCTGCTAGAGCTCTTAATCTTAGTTAGCTTATAGTTTGCTTTATATAAATAAATTCAATTAAATAAACCCTAAAACTGCAAACTCACTGCTTGTGCACCAGGCGCACATCCTTGATGTTGCCAAAGGGCGAGAACAGCTCGTGCAGCTCCTCCTTCGAGCAGGCGGGATGCAGGTTCCTCACAAAGATCTTGTTGATCTCCAGATGGGCTGCAACAAAATAGCAGATTTAAGTGAATGAAACTGGCGCCTAAACCTTGCGACTCACGCGAATACTTAAAGTTAGATTCCCGGTTCTCCGCTGAAGGATTCGTTTCAGTTAGCCTAGTAGCTTTCGTTGCAACTTCCGGTGATTCAGTTCTGGGAGCTGCTTTGCCCAGTGGCCTCTTCCTTACCAGCGGAGGCTGCTGCTGCTGCTGTTGCTCGTGCGCCTGACGACGTCGCTGCTCGCGATTCAATGGCTGCTGCTGCTGCTGCTGGCGAGGAAACACCTGCTGGGAGTTCGGCTTCAAGCGGGAACGCGGCTTCATGTATTCCGCTGGCAATTCGAGGGCCTGACAGGCGGCTATGGACTCGTAGGTGCCGTAGCAGCGTTCGTAGCGTCGATACAGCTCCTGCACCATCAGGCCATCCTCCAGAGCGGGCTGGGTTAAAGCCTCGCGCAGAATATCCCTGGTGCCCTGGCCGGCATTGTACTCGCTTTCCATTTGGGCATAGCCCAGCCAAAGCAACCCGCGATGCGAGCTGCCTGGATAGCCTGAAAAACGGATTAAAAGTAATTAGGGCAAACTTTGTAAATTATAAAACTTTTTAAATTTTAATAATTATTCTATCACTCATGATTTCGATTCTTAAGTTTAAAAAGTTTAAAAAGGGTATTAACTAATGGAAATTTCAAAATTTTAATACATATCTTATGTCTTCAGATTTTAATACTTTAATTTTGTATTACCATGTAAAGTATCTGTATAATATTGGTCATTAATTTGATTTGTTATTTACAGCCTTTTGTAAACTATAAAACTTTCTAAATGTTTTGGTTTGCACCTGGGTTCGTAAATATCACTCATTTTAAATATCCCCCAAAAACAAGCCGACTGTGATGAAAATAAATAAATATCAATCACGATACAAAGAAATTCACATCTTTGTTCATTCAAATACATATCGAAAAATATTCATCATGAGTGAGGAAAATAAAATGATGAAAAAGTGAGGACATGATCATTGACAATATTGTCAAAGACAAATAGCACAACAACTCAAGCGTGTTCGATCTATAATGGGCAGAAATAAAGTATTAAATCGGTGGTAGACTTAACAGAAGATACAAAAGATGTAACCTGCGTTTACAAATATATGAATTGCATATTAAAGTCTTGATAATAGAAAAAAGTACTTTAATCCAACTTGGTTAGAAGCATTATTTTCGTTTCTATTTTCCTCATTTTTTTCTCACAAAAAAGGTAAAAAATTAGGAAAATGTTTTGCGGAGAAAGCAGTATAAAGCAGTTGTGATTTTTGTAAGAAAAATATTCATCAGCCCTTATTTTATGGTGACAAATATCACCAGCCTATGTTGAAATTATTTTATTTGAGCAAAATGACAGATTGTGAGGGATATTTTACGAACCCTGCGGGCAAAGTGCCAATGATCTTACCCATTATCTGCCGCCAGATGTGCGCGCCATTGGCCGGACTGGCCAGGTGCGTGTACTCCACCTGGGCCCACAGCTGCAGCACCTCGTAGCGCGTGTCCGCCTCGTCGCCGTAGTGCGCGGACAGCTCATCCCAGACGCGAATGAAGGCGGCGCGCAGGCTGGCCGCCTGATCCTTGTCCCCGGCATTCGTGTTGCGCACGCGATAGGCCAGATAGTCCAGGTGCAGCTCCACCGTCATCGTCATGTCGGGCACAATGCGCTGCAGTATGGTGCTGATCTGCTGATCCACCTCGGGCTGCTCGAAGTCTGCCCGCTCCATCAGGTCAAGGAATCGGTGATTCAGCCGCACGCTGGGTCGACTGCGCACGCCGCGCCTGGCCAAATCCAGGGCGGTGCTGCAGAGGAAGCCTTTGCCCAGGCGACTGGCCCTTTCGGCATTCTCCTCTTCCTCCAACTCCTCGGAACTCCCGCCCTGAATAAACTCGATGTAGGAGAGCCACAGGATGTCGGCTATGGGAAACTTGGACACGGTGCGTTCGAATATGAAGCGAATGATGGCATTCTTCAGGTCATCCTCCAGGGACAGCTGCTGCACCTCGGCCACATGACTCTTGTGGATCTTCGTCCAGTCCCAGTCGCTGTGCTGCGTCTTCATCTCGTCCAGGTGTCGCTTAAAGTCGTCCACAATCGGTTTGATGAGCTGCCGCTGCTCTGGGCTGCATTTCCAGCTGACGCAGTGCTTCTGCAGGAGTTCCTCGAAGGCGGCGGCCTCCTTGGCGTCCTCGATGGTCGCGAGCAGCGGGCGCAGCTTGTCGCCGAAGTCCGGACGCTCCACGTCGTAGTCGGCCAGCAGTTTGGCCCACAGCACATGGTTCTGCACATTGCCCTGGTCCACCAGGTAGTTCACAATGAACTCGGAGAGCGGTATGTCTGGTGAAAGTAAGGATTAATTTAGTTTTTGTATAAATACAAAGGTGCAAAGCTGCACGTGGTTCCTGCAAGCCGTTCCCGAGATATACTAATTTAAAGTTTTTTTGTAGGATCCTAACTTAAAAATTTCATTCACAATGAATTCGGAGAGCGGTATGTCTGGTGAGAGTATGGATTAATTTCGTTTTTTGTATAAATACAAACGTGCAAAGTTGCACGTGCTTCCTCCAAGCCGTTCTCGAGATATACTTATTTAAAATTTTGCAAAATTTGTAAGGATCCTAACTTAAAAAATTCATAGCGCCGTTAAGGAAGCACCAAAAAATTTAAAAAAAATTACTGATGATAACGGAGGCATACTCTACGAAATATCAGAGTTTGAAGAAAATCTAATTTGTAGGATCCTAACTTAAAAAATTCATTCACAATGAATTCGGAGAGCGGTATGTCTGTTGAAAGTATGGATTAATTTGGTTTTTTGTATAAATACAAACGTTTAAAGTTAAACGTGGTTCCTTTAAGCCGTTCCCGAGATATACTAATTTAAAGTTTGGCAACATTTTTTAGGATCCTAACTTAAAAAATTCATAGCGCCGTTAAGAAAGCAGCAAAAAATCTAAAAAAATATTACTGTTGCTAACGAAGGCAAAATCTAATATTCCATATACGCAGTTGAGAAATTCTGACTAGAAGGGGTTTTTCAACTCACTGTAGTAGTAGCCCAGTGCCTTGGCGCACTTCTCCTCGAACTCCTTGCGTTCGTCGGGCGTCTGGGTGACCACCAGGCGGGCCTTCAAGTACTTGAGCCAAATGTGGGCCGGCACAGTGGCCAGCTTTTGCAGGGAGAGCACTGAGGACTCGATCTTCTCCAGGTCGTTGAGTTTGCTGGGGGAAATAGTATGATTATAATATGATTTTCTATGGGATTCCTGGGACTTACAAGGCAATTTCGCTGATGCTGACCAGCTGGCCGAAATGCTTGTTGGGCAGGGCCATCAGATCCTGGTAGGATCGCTCCAGCTGGTTGCCACCGGGAGCATCGATGTCGCTGGACAATTCGCTATCGGAGTCCTCGATCACGCCCACTTCATCGCTGCTGGAGGAGCTGCCCCCCGCTCCGCCCTCCTCCACCGAGGGCTCGTCGTCCGAGGAGATCAGCTCAATGGTGGTCATATCCTCGCCTGTTGATCCTGGCCAGTTTTGGCGCAGTTCCTGCTTCTTTGGCGGCTCCTCCTCCTCCTCCTCATCGTCGTCGTCGTCCTCGATCTCCTCTGGCTCCTCCTCCTCTCCCTTTTGCTCCCTTTTCGGGGAGGCGGTCTTGGCCTGGTCGGGAATCACTATCAGATCGTACTCATCGTAGGTATCGTCATCCAAATCCTGCACCGGCATCTCGTCCAGCTCCTTCTCCAGCTGCCTTTCCAGCTGCAAGTGTTTGGTTAACTACTTTGATTCCCAGGAATCCCTGTAAATCCGACTCACCTGCTTGTCGCCGTCCATGATCTCTGTGCTTTGCTAGCCGGAAAACTCTTCGAATTTCCTCTTTAAACTGATCTTTTCCCTGGAAAAACGGGCGAATAACAAACAGAAAGAAAAACAAGACCCCCACTGCAGGGTTGGCCAAACAAATATCGCGCTATTCGATACTTTTGAGCTCTCCACTTGCAACTCCTGTCGACCACTGCACTTTTCGCCGCGTAGCCAAATAGCTTTGGTTTCCGTGACAGTAGGCTTTTCTTTCAAAAAACGAATTAAATTCAAGTCAAATTCATTTTCAGTTTCGGGTTGCTTAGAGGTGGGAAAACAGCGATTGCTGGGAAATATCGATAAACATAACTGGTTTGTGTCTTAGCTTAGCGGAGCTACACACCTATCGTAGCACGGACACCCACCTTTTGGTATATTTTTAGCCCATCTCTAGTTGATAATTAATCAATCGATAGTTTCGCCAGCCCTGAAAATCGCCTTCCCGCCAAAAAAGCCTCCTCGCAAACGGCGTGCCATTTGTGTTTGCATTTGTGTTTAATTTGCGCGTCCAAAAGGATCAGAGTTGCTAACGAAATAGAGATAAAACCGAGATAGATAAGAAGTAACCATGGCCCACGACGGGGAGCAGTTCATCAAGGACGTCCAGCGCGAGTATGTGGACTTCCTGGACGACGAGGAGGACCAGGGCATCTATGCGGGCCACGTCAAGGACATGATAGCGGAGAAGAGCAAGCGGCTGATCGTCAATGTCAACGATCTGAAGCGCAAGAATCCGCAGCGCGCTTTGGGACTCCTGGGCAACGCCGCCGATGAGCAGCTGGCCTTTGGCAGGGCCCTCAAGGAGTACGCATCCACGGTGGACCCAAGCTACGCCAAAATGCACGAGGATCTGTTCGTGGGCTTCGAAGGATGCTTCGGCAATCGGCATGTGACGCCGCGTTCCCTCACCTCCATGTACCTGGGCAACATGGTCTGCGTGGAGGGCATTGTCACGAAGGTCTCCCTCATTCGCCCCAAAGTAGTGCGCAGTGTTCACTATTGCCCGAATACGCGCAAGGTGATGGAGCGCAAGTACACGGATCTCACGTCCTTCGAGGCTGTGCCCTCTGGCGCCGCCTATCCCACCAAGGACGAGGATGGCAATCTGCTCGAGACCGAATTCGGTTTGTCCGTCTACAAGGATCACCAGACGCTGACCATCCAGGAGATGCCCGAAAAGGCCCCGGCCGGCCAGCTGCCCCGCTCCGTGGACATTGTGTGCGATGATGATCTCGTGGATCGCTGCAAACCCGGCGATCGCGTCCAGATCGTCGGCAGCTATCGCTGTCTGCCCGGCAAGCGCGGCGGCTACACCTCCGGCACCTTCCGCACCGTCCTGCTGGCCAACAACATCTCGCTGTTGAGCAAGGAGAGCAATCTGGACATCTCGCGCGAGGACATCATGCTGTGCAAGAAGCTGGCCAAGAACAACGACATCTTCGAGCTGCTCAGCAAGAGTCTGGCGCCTTCGATCCATGGACATGCGTATGTGAAGCAGGCCATTCTCTGCCTGCTGCTGGGCGGCGTGGAGAAGATCCTGCCGAATGGCACACGACTGCGTGGCGATATTAATGTCCTGCTCATCGGCGATCCCTCGGTGGCCAAGTCGCAGCTGCTGCGTTATGTCCTGAATACGGCTCCACGTGCCATTCCCACCACTGGCCGCGGATCCAGTGGCGTTGGTTTGACGGCGGCGGTGACCACGGATCAGGAGACCGGCGAGCGACGTCTGGAGGCGGGCGCCATGGTCCTCGCCGATCGCGGCGTGGTCTGCATCGATGAGTTCGACAAGATGAGCGACATTGATCGCACGGCCATCCACGAGGTGATGGAACAGGGCAGGGTCACCATTTCCAAGGCGGGCATCCATGCCTCTCTGAATGCTCGCTGCTCCGTCTTGGCCGCCGCTAATCCGGTCTACGGAAGGGTGAGTACTGATATGAGATAGATATTAGAGAGGGGAGATATAGAAAACAAAAAAAATTAAATTTTATTATTTTAATTGGTAGTATAACTCTTTAAGAACGTGTCGTGAAAGTTTTACAAAGAAATTCAAACTATTTTGGAACTTACACCAGGATGACGGCACCCATCTTCCTTGTGCAATAGATATATTTCATTACTTTGAATGAGTATTTTTCGAAACCATGTTTTCCTCAGCTGCTGATCGTGTATCTCAAAAAGTAATGCTTCGATCATCAGGCTACTATTACAGAAATGTTTGAAATGAAATTGCCGACTGTCTGAACCTACTTTATGTACACAGAGAAAAAAAAAGACCCAAAATAATCATCCATCGGGTATTTTTTCATATCAATTTTGGTCCCATCTGTTTTCATATCAAAATGATATTTCCGAACATATCATTTTGTACCATATTGATATGAAAACATACCATTTTGTTATGGAAAAATGTATATGAAACAATATCAGTTCCATATTGTTCCGTTTTTTTCTCTATGTAGAATTTTGTACGTTTAAGTATTTTTTTTAAGCAAAAACAACAACAAAGATAAGCAAAAAAAATGATTTTTGACTTTTGAAAAATGGCCCAATTAGAGTTTTTGAGATAATTCAATGTAAGTTAGGTTCAGACAGTTTCTACATTATTTCTTAGAAATCGGATCTACACAGCGACTACTTTTTTTAAAAAGGCCTCACAAAAAAATTCCCACGGCCGCTATTTTAAAAGATAAAAAAAAAATTAAAATTGCTTAAAATTATATAAGAACTATGTTATAAACATGCCAAGTGGCGAAATTCCAGCACAAACCCTTATTGGTTAAAAAAGTTCTATATGTATCTTCCCTCTTAATTGGTTACCTAAGGAACTCCCTGCTAATTATAGTTACCCCTTTCAGTACGATCAATACAAAACGCCCATGGAGAACATTGGGCTGCAGGACTCGCTGCTCTCCCGTTTCGATCTGCTCTTCGTGATGCTGGACGTGATCGACAGCGATGTGGACCAGATGATCTCGGACCATGTGGTGCGCATGCATCGCTACCGCAATCCCAAGGAGGCCGACGGCGAGCCCCTCTCCATGGGCAGCTCCTATGCGGACTCCCTGTCCTTTGTTTCCAGCAGTGATGAGGTGGGTTGCCCTTTTCCATTTGCCATGCAATTTCTGATTTGTTTTTCTAATTTATTTCGAATTGAATGAATTAATCATTTTTATGAATTTTTTAAGAAATTTTATTGTGCTTTTTGAAAACAAAAAGTGGAAAATTTTTAAAAAAATGTATGTTAGCTGCATAGTAAATAATAATTCAGGCAGATTTAACCACAAAATGGCATGCCATTCATTTTGTTTTCCTAATTTATTTCGAATTTGTATGAATTTGCCAGAATTATTTTGTGCTTTCTTATGAGAACAAAAAGTGGAAAATTTAAAAAAAAATCAATGTTAACAGCATAGTAAATAATAATTCAGGCAGATCTTTCTTCTTCAAAAGAAATTGTCGTTTGAAATAGTTCGGAATTCGTGCTATTCATTCATTCATTCTTTCATTCGATTAAACTCAAAATTCAAATTCATTTAATTCTATTAAACTCAAAATTCGAATTATTTCATCCATATAAAACAAAAAAATTCAAAATAATTAAGAGAATCAATTCATGCAGGTCTCTAATTAATATATAGAAAATTATTTCGGAATTCATGACATTCATTCATTCCTTCGATTAAACTCAAAATTCAAATTCATTCAATTCTATTTAACTCAAAATTCTAATTAATTAGTTCCTATAAAACAAATAAATTCAAAATAATTAAGAGAATAATTTCATTCATTCGATTAAACTCAAAATTCAAATTCATTCAATTCTATTTAACTCAAAATTCTAATTAATTAGTTCATATAAAACAAAAAAATTCAAAATAATTAAGAGAATCAATTACTTCATTCGATTATTCTCAAAATTCAAATTCATTCAATTCTATTAAACTCAAAATTCTAAATAATTAAGAGAAACAATTCATGCAGGGCTCTAATTAATTTACAGAAACCTAATGATGATATTTCCCAAAATATAGAAAAAGGACACCGAGGTGTATGAGAAGTACGACGCCCTGCTGCACGGCAAGTCCCGCCAGCGGCACGAGAAGATCCTGTCGGTGGAGTTCATGCGCAAGTACATCCACATTGCCAAGTGCATGAAGCCCAAGCTGGGCGAGCAGGCCTGCGAGGCGATTGCCAACGAGTACTCGCGCCTGCGCTCCCAGGAGGCGGTCGAAACGGATGTGGCCCGCACCCAGCCCATTACGGCCCGTACGCTGGAGACCCTCATCCGTCTGTCCACCGCCCATGCCCGCGCCCGCATGTCCAAGTCGGTGACCATCGACGATGCCCATGCGGCCATCGAGCTGGTGCAGTTCGCCTACTTCAAGAAGGTCCTGGAGAAGGAGCGCGGCGGCGGCAGCAAGCGTCGCCGGAACAGCGGCGGCTCCGAGGAGGAGCAGGATGACCACGAGGCCTCCTCCAGCCAGCGCTCTCCCTCATCGCGTCGCTCCAAGCGCACCCGCACCGCTCCCGTTGGCGGCGATAGCGACGAGGAGGACATCGAGCCGCCGCAGCCGGATGCCGGGGATTTGACGCGCCGCGAGACGCGCCGTTCGCTGCCCGCCCGCAGCTCCCAGCTGGTGACCTCCAGCGAGGAGCAGTCGGTGGTTACTCCAACTCCCCCGGCGGCGGAGCCTGCCTCGATCAGCGATTCGCGGCTGGGCGAGTTCAAGAACAACCTGCAGCGCCTGTTCCGCGAGGCACGCGAACAGAGCCTGCCGCTGGCCAGGATCACCAGCTCCATCAACGAGGGCAGCCAGGAGCCCTTCACCGGCGGCGAAATAGAGGCCGCCGTCCATCGGATGACCGAGGATAACCAGATCATGGTGGCCGACGACATCGTTTTCCTCATCTAATCTCACATTCCACCGGGAACATAATATTTATCATCAAACAATTGCATCCATTATCTATTGTAACCCTCATGTATCCGTTAAGTTGTATTTTTTGTTTACTTTTATATGATAATAAACACTTTGGAACTCTTATTGCAATTAAATCGCTTAATTTTTACCAAATAAGTTGGTTGTATAATTATAATTGATCCAAAAACTATGATCTTATAAGAAAAAAGCCATTAACCTTTAAGGTAATGTATAGTTTATCTTTATCATTTTAAATATTCTACGAGTTCGAGTAAAAAGAGTTCTTGAATTTATTCTAGAATAATCTTTTGGGTTCTAGGCATAGATCGTAAATGCTTTTAAAATTTTGAATCATATGATTTTATGATATTATCGAGTATGTCTGGAATTACAGCTCGAACAAAAACCTAACCTAGAGTTAAGGGGCTTATTAATTATTTTTTGGATTGGAAATATAATTATAATTATTTTTTTTTTTTGCTTTTAATCTATGAAAATGGAAATTTTATAACAGGGATTTTTATTGGTTGATTTTTGAACCAATAAAAATCCATGTTTAAACCAACCTACGGTTGAAACGTATATTTTTATCAGGATATTTTTGTCTGCTTTTTAATCGATAACAAATAAAATATAATAATATAAAATTTACAAAATAATATTAATCCCCAGCAATGATGGCAAATTTTGTTAGTGGCCCTAGATCACGAAAATACCACCAACTTTTTTTTCATTGGCACAGTTTTTTTTAAAGATTTTTTTAATAAAATTTTGAACTTCTTTCGAACTAGCTAAATTTAAAAGCTAGAAAATTTTAAAAATTAATTTTGGCTGTAAGCTAGTGTATTAGATAAATTATAAATCAAATCGATATCGGAATATAGTTTTCGCAGTGATTTTTTTGGTATTTATATACCACCAAAAAATACCACTCGCACACTTGTCAATTTGTTTTCGTTTCGTGTTTGTTTTTGTTAGCAGTTTTCTTTTGCTCTCGTCTTTCCATGTTTTAACTCCGTTTTCCGCAAATCTCAGTTTTCAATCTCGTGACAAGTTTTTCCGCCCGTCCGGAAAAATGCTAAATTTCAAAGTCTGTTTGTTTTTGTTCCTCCTCCTCCACTTCCTCGTGGGCGTGGCGTGGGCGGAGGGGGGCGAGTGCCGCCGCCTCCAGCGCGCTGATATCGAGGGCAGACTGTCCACGAAGACGCCGTACAGGGCGATCGCCAATTATGACGAAACGCCGCCGAAATACGCCGGTTTGTATTTGTTGTTAAGTGTACTCACAGTGGGCACCCGCTAAGCCAAACCGAACATCTGTTGTGCCAGCTGACGGATCACGGTGCGGTCTCAGTACAGTGAACTTAGGAATCGAGATGTTTGTAACGATATCCAAACCTAACAAAAAATTGTCCAAATCAAAAACTTCAAAATTGAGCCTGTGGTTGTTATCTAATTTACTCGCTAACAAACTAAAGTATTTTTTATTAAATGATTCAAAAAATATGTATAAAATATATATATAAAATTAGGGCAATTTTAAGATATAGCTCTCTATTTAAATGCAGTTCTAAATATATGTTTATATACCATGTTCATATAATATTCTAAAATAACACGGTTCATTTAGCCGGTGCCCACTGTTCCTCCTAACATATGGTTGCTGAATCAGCTGATTTCCCGTTCTTACCCGTTTCACCACCCAAGGTTGCCACCCGACGCGCATCTGGTCCATTATCCGGCACGGAACTCGAAATCCCAGCGAATCCGTTATTTTGCAGGCCCAAAATCGCCTGGCCGAGATAAAGAAACTCATTCTGGAGCAGCCGAAGCCACCGATCTGCTCCGCGGAGCTGAAGAGGCTGCGTCAGTGGAGCTGGAAGCACCTGAACGCCACCGAGGATGAGAAGCTACTGGTGGCGGAGGGCGAGGACGAGCTGATCGAGCTGGCGGAACGGATGCAGCGCCGCTTTCCGGATCTTTTTCCCGAGCTGTACAGTCCGGAGTGGTATTACTTCAAGTACACGGCCACGCAGCGGACGATGAAGAGTGCGGCGAGCTTCGCCACCGGTCTTTTTGGCCGCCATCGCATCCATGCGGTGCGGTATCCGCCAGCGCTGCACGAGGATCCTGTTTTGCGGGTGAGTTAAATTAAATTATACCCATAAATTTCGAATTGCGCGCCCTATTCGTTAGTTTGATTTAACCAAATTAGAGATGGGCGGTAAACCAAGCGATAGGTGCTCTCACTTGCGTTCTCATCGATTCATCGATATGTCCATCGATGTATCGCCAGCTCTAAAAAAAATGGTCCACAGGGTGTTTTCTGCTTTCTGCGCAATTCTTTTTCGTGTAATTCGATTAAACATAAATAAATAAAGCCCGCTGCGAGTATATAAGCCCTTGGATGCGCACCATCCGCCGCTCGAGATCGGCGGTGAAGTTAGCAGGGTTTTCGATTCGGCCCAAACGCGAGTTAATCGGCCAGGCGGCGTGTTTTCCCCGAGTTCTTTTTAACCGTATTCGGGAAATGGGCCGCGATCCGTAGGCGGAAAACGTGGAGAAGAGGAACGGAACGGAACGCGCGGAGAGGAGTGGAGAGGGGAGGAGGAGCTGGGAAGTGCGAAAAGTGTTTGGGGTTATGTGCTAGAGTCCCCGCGGGGGGATTTTCAGCTGTGCGGATCCGCGACAGAGACGTAATCGTTCCGGGAAATCGCCTGCACAAAGAAGAGGAAGAAGGGAGACAGAGAAGAAAACACGCAAAACAACATGGCAAGTGCCGTTCGCGCTAAGTCTGCCTCTGCCTCCGCCTCTGCCGCAGTTGCAGTCGGCGTCGCAGTCGACGAAAGCAACGGAAGCAGCGCTGCCGCGGAGCAGGAGGTGTCCTCCACTTTGCGCTCCCTCATCCGCAAGCGGCACGAAAAGTACATCTCCGCCAAGTGGGATGACCCGCTGCTCCCGATAATCGATAAACTGGAGCAGATTGAACGCTGCCAATCGGAGGAGCAGGTGGCCACTGGCGTTTCTTTGGAGGATTCCCTGCAATCCCTGCGTTCCCTGGTGAGGAACATCAAGCCCGAGGACCACTCGCTCCTGCTGATCGTCAAGCACATTGAGCAAATCTCCGACATCCTCTCCTCCTCCGACGAGCAGGTGGCCTCCCTGGGCTGCCTGAGGGATCTCAACCAGACGATCCGGCGGGAGTGGCCCCCGGATGACTCCTCCATCCACCGTCTGATGAAGCAGATCCAGAGCATACAGGCTCAACCGCCGGCGGAGAACATTTGCTTTGGAGAGCGTCTCCGGGACGATAGATGTCCACTCTCCCTGCAGACCAAGCGGCACATAGAGCGCATCCAGGCGATGCTGTACGAGCGGCAGCCCTGGCGCATCCGCGAGCGCATGAAGACGGCCAGCGTGGCTTTGGTTTTGTGCCTCAACATTGGGGTTGATCCACCGGATGTGGTAAAGATCCAACCGTGCTCGCGCCTGGAGTGCTGGATAGATCCCAGTTCGGTGTCGCCGCCCAAGGCAATGGAGCTAATTGGGAGCAACCTGCAGATGCAGTACGAGCGCTGGCAACCGAGGGCCAGGTACAAGAAGTGCCACGATCCCACCGTCGAGGATGTGAAGAAGCTCTGCACTTCGCTGAGGAGAAACGCCAAGGGCGAGCGCATCCTGTTCCACTACAATGGTCACGGGGTGCCCAAACCGACGGCCAATGGCGAGATCTGGGTGTTCAACAAGACCTTCACGCAGTACATACCGCTGAGCATCTTTGAGCTGATCACCTGGATGTCGGCGCCCTCGATCTACGTGTACGATTGCTCGAATGCCGGGATCATCATTAACTCCTTTCAACCCTACGCCGAGCAGCATGAGCACGAGCTGGAGAAGGCGCTGGCCGCCGCCCAGCAGAGGGGCAGCGGGGCACCGAGTGGCGCCGCCAATCAGGTGGTGCAGCAGCTGGTCAGCTACAAGAATTGCATACACCTCGCCGCCTGTGCGGCCAACGAGATTCTGCCCATGAACGCCCAGCTGCCGGCGGATCTGTTCACCAGCTGCCTGACCACGCCCATTAACATTGCGCTCAAGTGGTACGCCATGCAGGAGAAGCTGGGCATGGTGCCGCGCATCCAGAGCGAGCTGATCGACAAGATACCAGGTGAAAAAATCAACTTTTCCTAAAAAGTAATCATTAATAACACTTTTAATCTTTTTGCAGGCAAAGTAAACGATCGGCGCACGATGATGGGCGAGCTCAACTGGATTTTCACCGCCATCACGGACACGATAGCCTGGAATTCGCTGCCGCGCGAGCTTTTCCAGCGTCTCTTCCGCCAGGATCTGCTGGTGGCCAGCTTGTTTCGCAATTTCCTGCTGGCCGAGCGCATCCTGCGCAGCCACGATTGCACTCCAGTTTCGCTGCCCGCCTTGCCGCCCTGCTATCGCCATCCCATGTGGAAAGCCTGGGATCTGGTGGTCGATCTGGCCCTGCAGCAGCTGCCCGAGATTCTGGATCACAATGCTCCGTATCGCCAGCTGCCGTTTTTCGAGCACCAGCTAACCGCCTTTCAGGTTTGGCTGGACAGCGAATCGGAGTCGCGTACGCCGCCCGAGCAGCTGCCCATTGTGCTGCAGGTGCTCCTCTCGCAGGTTCATCGTTTGAGGGCCCTCGAGCTGCTCGCCCGCTTCCTGGATCTCGGTCCCTGGGCCGTTAATCTCGCCCTGGGCGTGGGCATCTTCCCCTATGTGCTCAAACTGCTGCAGAGTTCAACGCGCGAACTGCGCCCCGTTTTGGTCTTCATTTGGGCCAAGATACTGGCCGTGGATCCCAGTTGCCAGGTGGATCTGGTCAAGGAGTACAAGTACTTCCTCTCCGTGCTGCAGGATACCTCTGTATCCAAGGAACATCGCACACTGTCCGCCTTTGTGCTCTCCTCCATTGTTCACAACTTTCTGCTCGGCCAGACGAGTGCTTTGCAAGGACCACTGCTCTCGATTTGCCTGGAGCAGCTGAACGACGGCAGCTGGCTGCTCCGCCAGTGGCTGGCCATCTGTTTGGGCATGCTGTGGCAGAACTTCGAGAAGGCGCGCTGGTCGGGAGCCCGCGATTTGGCGCACGAGAAGCTGTATGTCCTGCTGCGCGATGAGATTCCGGAAGTGCGTGCAGCCGCCGTCTTCGCTTTGGGCACTTTCATTAGCTCCGTGACGGATCGCAGCGAGGAGCAGGCGAATAATATTGATCGCATCATAGCCATCACCATGCTGGAGACCGTGGGCGAGGATATGTCGCCGCTGGTGCGCATGGAACTGGCCGCCGCTTTGCAATGGATGGTCCTGCTCTTCGAGTCGCAATTCGTGGCCGTCTATCTGGCGGAGCATATGCGTGGTCACGCCTCCGCCGCCGCCGCCGCCGCTTCGTTTGTGATGTGCGGGGACCCGCGGGATCTAAGCTCCTCCACGCACAGCCTGGAGCGGCATGTGACGATGCGTCGGGGAGCCAGTTCCAGTTCGATATCCAACATGGGATCGACAGCTGCTTCATCGGGCAATGCGCTAGGTCGCTCGAAAAGCGGCTCTGGAAGTTCGGGCGGCCGAGGAGCAGCTGGAAGCATACCCTTCCAGTCGATATTCACCAAACTCTGGCTGGGCATCTGCAATCTGGCCCAGGATCCCTTTCCCCGCGTTGCCGCCATTGCCCAGGAGATTGTGGATCATGTGAGGGACACGGCCCTCTGCCCCATAATGGCCGCCAAGGAGGCCACGATGGCCACGGCCACAGAAAAGTGCAGCAGTTTGAGCGTCAGCCTGCCACCGAGTCCGAATACGAGGGTTAATTACCTGAGTGGAGGAGCGGGAGGAACGGGAGGAGCTGGAGAATCCCCGCCAGTAGGAGCAACTGCCTCGGGGGCCAGCCATTGGGCACAGAAGCTGCGTCTCTCCGGCAGCGGAGGCGGCGGCGTGGCTGCCGGCGATCCGCAGACCATCCTCCAGCGCAAACTGCGCACCAGTTCGATCAACGATGAGACTGACAGCGGCGGACCGGCGGCCTACCAACGCGGAGCAGCTGGCTTGGGCCTGCCCAGCGGCGGAGGAGGCGGCGGACCCAGGGAGAGCACACATTCGGCGCGGAGCAGCGGCAGCGAGAGCAATCAGTACTTGGAGCCCGGTCACAGTTTGACGCCCATTGTGCTCACCGAGTTTATACCCTGGGCCATTTCCTATTTCACGCGACCGGGCAAGGAGCGCTACAGCAGCGCCGAGGGAGCAGCGGAGGAGGGACGCCAGCGGTATCCAGTGGATCGCAATTCCGCAGAGCTGCGACGCCGGAGATTGCGTTTCCTACGCAACGATTTTGTGCGACGTCATGCGCGGCGGCAGCAGCAGGAGCAGAGCGATCGTTTCGGCTACGATGTTTGCGTTTGGAACAGGAAGACGCAGTTTACACCCTCCATTGTGAAGCTGCTGCCGTACGAGCCGCAGATTGCAGTGGCCTACCGGGAGAAGGTTTTGGTCTACGATTTTCAGTACAATTCAGTGCGCACCTATGGCGCAGAGGCCACTAACTCGAGTTCCGGCTATGGATCATCCTCGTCGCTCAATGGCAGCACGCCAAGGAAATCGGGAGGAGCGGAAAAGCCGCCTCCGTTTGCCCGCGTCAGCAGCATCGAGTTCATCAATGCCCAGGATATGGCATTGAATCTGGTGGCCCACGAGGATGGAGTAGTGCGCGTCTGGCAATCATCGCCAATGGTTAGCAGCTCGACCTCCTCCGAGGATGCGCCGAGCAAGGCGCGCTTGGTCACCGCCTGGAATGCTTTGGGTCAGGTGAATCAGCAGGGCTACCGGCAGCGCAACATCTCCTCCTCCGGCGGCAGCATTGGCAAAGGAGCAGCGGACACATCATTGGGTTCCTCCAGCAATGGCAACATTGTGACCGCCTGGCAGCAGTGCAGCCAACACCTTTTGATAGCCGGCGGCGGCTGTCGCTTCGTGCGCATCTGGGATGTGGAGAGGGAGCTCAAACTGGCCGATATTCCATTGGGACGCAGCGAAACCTGCGCCCGGGTGCTGGCACCCTACCTGCCCAACATGCGATCCGATGTGATACTCGCCGGCTGCGATGACGGCAGTGTGCGGTTGTTTGACAAGCGATGTTCGCCGCAGGAAGCGAGGATTTCCGTGTATCGGCGGCATAGTGCTCCCATTTTGCATGCCTGCCTAAGGGCCAACGAAACGGTGCTCGTTTCGGGCTGCACTGAAGGTCGGATTAGCGTCGCGGACATAAGGGCCAGTCAGTTCCCGAGCAGCGTCAGCGATGTGGTGCACGAATGGGATGCCGGCGGGGATGTGACAGCTATCGCAAGTCACCAAATTGCAGACACCGTGGCCTGCGGGAATGCCTCGAAGATTGGGATCTACTCGCTGGACGGACGGGTACAGAAGGTGCTGCGGACGAACGAGGGCTTCATCGGGCCCAAGATCGGACATCCCACCTGGCTGTCGTTTCACGCGTACAAGGTGCAGCTGGCGGTGGGCTTCGTGGACAATATGGTGGCCATCTACAGCCCCACCCCAGGTAGAAGAACATGGGTTTAGAGGTTTCTATTATGAGCGAATGTTTTACTTTATTATTTCTTTAAATAACTGTCTATTTAATCCTACTAATTGGCTTTTAAACATTTATCTTTTCAGTTCTATAAGGGCTGTGGAAAGTGGAAAACTGACGTCGATAAGAATCCCGAAACCTTGGTCAACGCACGCAGGTTCCTTGCGGAGCCGCAGATGCAATCAGCAGTGGAGCAGGTGCGGAGCAGCACCCGGCTGCCCGATCTCCAGCCAGATGACGTTCAGCTCATGTACACGGTGTGCGCTTTTGAGACGGCCTGGCATCGGCCGCGTCGTGGTTCTTCTTCTGGCTCCCCAGAGGATTCCGTGTGGTGCAACTTCTTCGATGTGCCCGCCTTGGAGGCGCTGGAGTTCTTCGAGGATCTGGAGTACTATTGGAACGATGGCTACGGCTACGAACTGACCCATCGCATTGCCTGTCCGGCAATAGCGGATATGTTTGCGGCCATTAGGTGAGTGCAGCGGAGAGTTTGTAAATTATCGATATTTCCGATATTTTTTACAATATTGATTCGATCATTTCGATATTTTGAATTTTTCTAGGATTTATGTAGGACTATATTTACATACTAACTATCTTGTAAATTAACGATATTTTCGATATTTTTACAATATGGGTTCGATAATTTCGATATTTTTAATTTATCTAGGATTTATGCAAACTAAATATAAATGTGTATCAAAGGCAATTTGAAGAATTAGGTAAAGTTAAAATGCTATCGAATTTCATTGATTTCTAAAACTACATGCGTTCTTTCTATTCGTCCGTTTAGTGATCATCTTGATCTTGATTTTCAAAGAGCCAACATTAAACAAGTTTTGTATGCCAATCGCAGTCACAACTGGTTTTTTACATTTTCATTTTCAATATAAAGCAATCGTAGACTAAGCTCAAGCACTTTTAACTTCTTCCAAAAACTCCAGTTATTTGTTTCTATGTTCTAAATATGCGTTTTATAACCATTTATATGGTTGATCAATGTTAAATTATAATTTTATATTTAAAAGAAACTTCCAAACACTACAAATTTAAATAACAATAAATTCCATTTATCTTAATATTAAGTACTTATTTAGTTTTGTCACCAATATTTGATAATCCGAGCTCTATTATTAATTTTCAGTTTCTAACTACTTCCAAAAACTACAAACATAAATAATAAGTTAGATTTAATTTAATTTTAAGTACTTATTTAGTTTTGTTACCAACATTTAATAATCCGAGTTTTATTATTAATTTCTAGTTCTTCGGAGGAGGAGCGGCCGCGGCGGGCCAACGCCACGTTGTACTTTACGCACTCGGGAACGCTGCTCAAGTTGCTGGCCCATTTGGGATTGGCCCGGGACAAGAAGCCGCTGACGCACAAGCATTTTGCCAGCGAGCGTCGTTGGCGCACAAGCCAAATCGACGCGTTCGCGACCAACTTGGCCTTCCTGCGCTACGAGTAAGTGTGGTGCTCCTTATATAAGCATAGATTCTTGTATCTAATACCTAGTCCTCCTTACAGTTGCGACAAGGGGGAGCCGCAGGTCCTGGTGCTGCACCAGGAGCGAGTGGTGCGCCTGCCCGGCTGTCCGCAGGACAAGGACCTCTGTCCGCTGGCCACGCTGCGTCGCATTTTCGCCAAGAGCTTGGACCGCTGCGACGTCGAGGAGCTGTGCCGGGTGAAGGCCAACTGATGGTCAGAATAGGAATGCTGGAGTCTCTGCTGCTGATGCTGCTGTTTTGTTGCTCTGCTCCCCTGCCACTGCAAGACCTCATGAAAAGGGATTCGTCGGAATGTTTAGGATACAACTGAAATAAACGATATAGTTAAGAACGGAATAGATGCGAAGGAGCTGGAATTTAGCGAGGAGCCAGCCGGGATTAGTTTTGTAAGAGGAGGAGAGTTATGTGTTGACCAAGTGGTGTCTGTGTGTTTTGTATGCCTTATTAATCAATGTGGACCATCCAATCCAGAACAAACGAACTTCGAGGAGGAGTGCAGAAGACAGAGCGAGATGGAGAACGAAAGACAGAACGAGAAAGAGAGAGAGGGAGATGCAGATGCACTTTATACTTTAGTCTATTTACTCCGGATGTCTCACCAACTGCTGTAAAGATATACACGACTAATCTTGGTTTACCTATTTTTTTTTGTTATTCAGTTAATCATACTATACCCCTAACCTATCCCTTTCCTTATACAAAGCCAAATGGCAACGCATACTGTATATATATAAATACTGATGTATAAGATAATTAACTATAGTTATATATACCCAACACACCACACATATATACATAAACACAAGCGTTATTTATATGCCTCTATTCAAATCGATCCGTTGCCCCCAAAAAGATATAAATGAAAACGTTCGTTGTGCTAACTTGTGTTATATACCTATAAAACGAAAACGAAATCGAACCCGGATATATATTTAATAAGGCAAGGATAAAAGGAACAAATGCTGGGTTCCTAGTTCAATTGTTCAGCGGAGAGGGAGACCCACAAACTTTGTACATAGCACTTACGACTTTAATCACTTTTGTCTAATTTTGTTTGTCCTATCGAAAGCCCAACAGCAACAACAACAACAACAAGAACCGCAGTAACAACAAATAAAACTAACGAAAATTCTAGTTTAAAGCTTAACTCGCTTGGACTTTTCAATTTGTTTAGGCTAAAAATAAGAGAAACGACTGATGAAAAATGAAAAATCAATGCACACCTGTGGGCGAATGACTTGGCTTTTCTAGCCATTTAGCAGGCTTTTAAATAGTTTCTTCGATTTTTCCTCATTGTTTTTATTTTTATGGGTGCAAACTTCCCGTATTTGCTCAACGTGTGCCCTGCTAGTGTTTACAGCCAGCTAATTTGTGTTGCCGCTCGAGAGGGCCGTGTATATATATCGCTAAGTACATATGTATAATCCCCAACAGTCAGCGGAACAAAGGCCATCTCTGCGGATCCGAGACCCGAGATGTGGGTGTGATATTGGCCAAGAATCGCAGCTTCCGATCGAAAGTAAGTGGGTTTATTCCTAGCATTTATTTATCACTTGGAACTAGCTGCTTGATCTGAGTTTGTTTGGCTCTTTGGGCCCGGCTAAGCGGAAATATCTCTAATACTGACTCAAAGAACAACTCAAAAATGCAATGCATTATGTAGTTTTGAGAAAAAATTCCATTGAGATATAGATATCTTAGATACTCTTTATACGTTTTAATTTCTTCCAGCTAGAACCGGATTTTTTCTTTGACGTACAAACATATCATTATTATTAGTACATACCATTACAGCCACCTAATTATAGTTAATTAAGAATATGCAAGCATTGTAATGCCTCGATATAATTTGTATTTTAATTATGGAAAAACAATAATTTGCACCTAGTTTTGGGTGCATGTTCCGACAATTTTCGCTCTAATGACTGCACTTTTTTCCATCTTGAGTGTTACAAACATGTGCTTAAATGCAATATACCCCTGGGTTCTGCCTAGAATTGGGTATAAGAAAGGGGTCGACTGCTATATGCCTTGGTTTTAGCTTTAAAAATATTATCTGATCTGTGGAAAATAGAATACTTGGTAATCTCAGTTTGTAAAATCACCCAGACCTTTTTCTATTACTTTACATTATTTAGCAAACGGTTTTAGACAAATGTAACTTGTAAAGTTCATTATATGTATGCTTAGGGACATCAAATATTTATCCATTCGTTTTTTATTTTAAGTTGTTAATATATTAGAAATGAAAAGGCTTTTACAATTAAATACAATTAAAAACGCGACAAATAATAATACTTTCCATTTCCCCTTTCACATATTTCTTGGTGATTCTGACATAATCTTGGAGGGTTCTAAGTGTAATATCATAATGATATAATTTCCCTTAATGAAATATGAATAATTCTTTCTAGTTCCGTTATATTCCTAAAATACCCTCACATAATCTTGAGTACCTGGAATATCATAATGATATATTTTCCATTAACTCCCGTCATAAATAAATAAATAATACTTTCCAGTTCTGGCATACCCCTGAGATACCCCGTGTTTGGTAAGGGAACGGTTTTTGGGTGGTGGGGGTGGGTTAGGGGGTTCCGAGTGGAATGGACCGGGACCGGCAACAGGTTCAACCCTTAGCCAGCGGAGCTTTTGGGCCCGAAAGCTGCGAGGACGTCAGCTGAGAGCGGCGATTGTGGGAGCTGCGCAGGCGTCGACTGCAACGGCGACTGCGACGGCGACGGCATCCGAGGCAGCGGCGGCGACAGAGGCTGCGGCGGACTTTTCGCCAGCGGATTTGGATTTGGCCAAAAAGGCGATTCAGTCTCAGTGCGCTGTTGTCGCTGCGGTAGGCGCTTCGCTTTTGGTTTTTAAACATTTTCAAACCGAAAAGACACCTTCCTTCTTTCTTGTTTTTGGTTTTTCGTGTGCTGTTTTTTTTTTTGTAATTTAATAATGTGCGGTGTGTGCGCGTGCTAGTGGTTTTTCCTGTTATTGGAAAATAGGAAAATATCGAAAATACAAATTCGGGGGCGGTGGTTGTGAGAGGAGAGAGGACTGAAAGTGGCCGGGTGGCCTGATGTCCCGATGTCCGAATGTCCTGGCCATGAATCGAGCCACGAATCAACAAATTAGGGGTTGTCCTGGTCGCGCGCGAGTGTGTGTGTGTGTCTGAGCTACACGGAGACAATTTGGGGATACTTTGAGTGGAATCTAAAATCTTTGTTATTAAAATTAAATGAATATATCCTGTGTTTTTTTTTGCTGTGTGCGTGAGTGTTTGACTAAGAATCAGGTGATGGTGAAAACATGACCTAATTCCGCTCAGCATCTTGGACATTTTAGCCAGGAACAGAACCAAAAATCGCGCTTAGAAAACCACCCCCGTAACCTTAACCCCCCGAACGCCGAAAGTCTCACCCTTAACCCTTAACCGAAGCACTTTGGTGGCTTCCTGTTTCCGCATTCTAATTAGATTGCCATCACTTGACAATTTGATTGCCAGCCGTCTTGATGAACTGTTCCTCATCCTCCTCCTTCTTCTTCTTCTCTTTCCGCCCCTCGAATTGCAGCGCCACCCGTTCCACCGCTCCACCACCACGCCCCCTAAGCGAACCCCAAGCGCTGCCCATCTGCCAGCAGCGGAATGGAGCAGCTGTGCTACCTGGCGCTGTGCGTCCTGCTGGCCATCGTCGTGCTCTACGGGCTCCTGGAGCTCCACTACTTCCTGCGCATGTGCCTCTGCGTGCTGCTGGCGCGGTTTGTGAAGAGGCGCTGCCACATCCTGGACGCCACCACGGTCAACGGTGAGTACGAGGGGGAATAGGATCCTTGGTCCTTAGGGGTAAGGAGGATAAGGGTCACTCTAAAATCATTCACATATCCAAAGAACTAACAATACTCAAGAATTATTTTTTTCCGCTTCCTCATAAAAATAAGAAAGCTTAAAACATCTTCAAATTTCTTAAGTATCGTGTGAAATTTAAATATATTACTGTTAAGGGTTTTTAATCATTGTTATTAAAAACCCTACAAATTAGAGCCTGAAGATTATCGATATTTTCGATATTTTGACAACATTGATTCGACTTTAATCATTGTTCTTAAAAATACTACAAATTAGAGCTTGCAAATTATCGATATTTTCGATATTTTGACAATATTAATTCGATAATATCGATGTTTTGGAGGGAAAACACAAAATAAATAACGAGAAATAGCAAACTGTCTACATATCCTCAGTTTCATATTGTTTCAAAATCATAAACTAAATTCAGAAGTCAAAAAGAACTTAGCACTTGGCTGCCAATAGATAATAAAAGAGATTTACGATCATATCTAGCAATTAAATATATTAAAACTTGTTCAAGTTGCAAATCGACAAATAGTTTAACAGTAATTGTGGAGCTTTAAGAGTGCATAATTATAGTTTTCGAGTGGCGCATGTGGGTTCTGTGTAGAGTGGACCATATACGTTCAAGTGCCAGCAAGATGGCTCTAAAGGTTATCACTCATACGCAGTGTTGGCTCTACGCCAATAGTTAAAGTTTATTTATTTTATGAAGGCAATTATTTGTTCTAGAGTTCTGGTTTAACAAGCCATTAAATATTGGATTCAAAGCAAGAGGGTTAAAGCTTTAAGAACTTAAAATCTTAATTTTTATGATTTTTAATAGTTCAATAATAGTATTTCCTAAATTCCTAATACAACCTTTTTAGGACTCTGCCTCACCAACGATGTGGACACCTTGTTGTACCACATGAACAACGCTCGTTACTTCCGTGAGCTGGACTTTGCCCGCGTGGACTTCTACGAGCGGACCAATCTGTACCGCACCATCACGGGAATGGGCGGTTCCGTGTTCCAGGGGGCGGCCACCATTCGCTACCGCCGCTTCATCCGCCCCTTCCACCGGTTTAACATTGTGTCGCGGGTGAGTTCAGGCTATAAAAAGAAAATATCACAAAAATAGAGCTTATTATTCAAAAACTTTATGTTTAAATATATCTAAAATATTATGATTTAATATCGTATAATAATATACATATTATAAAAATAGTGCTTATTATTCAAAATCTGTATACCTAAATATATCTTTTTTATTATAAGACTATAATATAATATAATAAATATTTATTAATATCTCAAATATTTAAGAAAAATGTAAAATTGTTATTCTGTTCCATGATTGCAATAAGAAACCTAAAAAGTTTGTATTATAAGCATTTATAATGAACCCAACAAATTTGTATTATTAGTATTTATAGCCCAACCAATTTGTCTTGTTAGTATTTATAATACAAATTCCATGGGTTCCTTTTTAACATGTTTAAAAAATGTTAAATAATTTTTTATTTAAAAATTCGAGAGTTCTTCTTATAACAACTAAATATCAATTAAACCTAAATATCAATTAAAATACTTCATAAATTTTTATCCTAACCTTCGATAAAAAATTAAGCTTAATTTAATTGAATACTTTTTAATTAAAATGTAGTCTCTATATTTAAATTCTTATACTTCCCCGTACTAATCCCGAATTCCCTCCCGTTTTAGATAATTTACTGGGACGAGCAGTCGCTGTTCATGGAGCATCGATTCGTGCGTCCTTCGGACAAGTTTGTCCACTGCATCGCCATCTGCCGCCAGCGGGTGATCGACGTGTCCATGGAGGCGGTGATGGCCGAACTTCTGCCCAGGACCTCCTCCAACGGATTCCGGGCGACGGCGTCGCCTTCGCTGGCTGCTCCCACGACGGCGGCTTCAGCGACGTCGGCGGCTGGCGGCATTAGCAATCCGGCGATGGACACTTCGCTGGCGGAGAATGGACATGGGACGACGAGCGGAGGCAGTGCCACGCCCACCGCGGCGGCAGCGGCGCACTGCCTCAAGCTGAAGCCCTCGCTGCCGCCGGAGCTGTCCAAGTGGATCGAGTACAACGATATGTCCAGCAAGAATCTGCGCAGCGGCTGCTGACTGGAGTCGTTGGAATCGCCAGCGGAAGCGCATGCGCAACCGGAAACGGAAACGGATACTCTAATATTAACCCACTTTTTTTTTGTTTTTGTCTCGCGTGCTTGTGCGTGTGTGTGTGCGTGCTAATGTGTGTGCTAATGTTTAATGTCTAAGTGTGCCCGTGGAATGTGTAAATTGTAAGCTATGTAAGTGTCTGTAAAACAAAACAACAACAAAAAACACCCGCCCTCTTTTGGCCTTAACTACTTGTATTGTATAATTACCTAGAGATCAACCACGCCCCCTAGAAACAAAAAAATACGAAAAACCAAACTAAGCCCCTTGGTAGTCCACAGTGTGTAAGTTACGATGTACAATGATTGTTTAGTAAAAGGAACAAAATAATGTAAAAACATGCCAGCAAATGAGAGATTTTCTTGGGTTTTCGGTTTTAGCGCCTAAAAGGAGGCTACAAAATAATAGGTGTAAAAAATTAATTTTAGGGTAAAAAATTGAAAGAAAAATGTGGAATAGTAAAATATTTTATAAACAAGTAAATAACTAAACATCCATAATTTAGTAAAGGGATTTTTTATACCTTTTCATGCTTTCCCCGTTTTCGGTTTCAGCGCCTAAAAGCAGGCTACAAAATAATAGGATAGAATAAATTTTTTATAGAAAAACTTGAAAAAAAACAAAATAATTTAAATAATTATGTGGGATTTTTGTAGACCTTTTCCCGCTTTGCTTACTCTTACGATTAGGCAGTACTAAAAACCCAATGGTAAATATTTTGCCAAGATTCCAAATCACCTGCTTAGAGCTTGTGATTAAACCCCATCTTGAACTTTCAGCAGCGGCCCTTTGAAACGCTGTCTATTCGGGTAATTTGCAGTTTGAATACAGCCAGGTGATCGCAGTTCGATGGCTAGTGTTTACACCTGATGACTATAATTTCAAGCGTTTACCTGTGAATTTGCTAATTACGCCACAACAGAGATTCCCACACATCAGCAAATAGCAATTGGAATTGAAATCAATCGATTGTTCAGTCAAACCGGGATTATCTTTGCAGGGGAAAAGCAAAAGAAGAAGGGCTTTTTCCAGTGTTGACCATAATTATTTGCCAAAAGTAGCTAAATCAATTATTTAAACTGGCTACTGCCCTTTTTGCGGTTAATTCTCAGTAACTGTCGAAAAATGACATCAATTGTCGTGTTGCCGAAGTAAAAAGTATTCTTACAGAAGTCACACTCTCAATCATTTACACTAGCTAATTACAGTATTTATTTAAGAAACTCAGGCGTTTGCTCGCAACATTTTATTTTTAACGAATGCTTAAATTGCGTATACGCCTAGTTCAACAGTATAAGTGTCTCCTAAGTTATGGGAATATAAATATAATTTATTTTTGTGTTTGGTATACTATGTTTAATACCTAATTATTAGTTTTAATTTATTGTTTTAAAAGAAGCGCTGGTTTTTCTTGTCTCTTGAAACACATTTAGTTTTGACTTGAAAATAGCCAAGCAATCAGCATTTTTTCTTTTCTCATTACCGCTTTGTCTTCTCATTATCGCTTCCACTGATTTCGTCTAGTGTTGTCGAATTGAATTGTTTCTAGCTATAATCGAGTACTAAATACAAGAAGCTAAAAAAAACGTAGTTCAGAAATTACATATAAGATATACATTTTAAATTTATCTGTGAAACTCTTTTTTTTAATGAAATAAAATATTTAACTATATAGGCAAAATTATTTTATTTGATTAAATAAAGAGTTTCATGACAAAATTTAAAATGTACATGTATTCTACAAATATTTCTATTTTAAATTATAATATAATTAATTGTAGCTTTGTTAACGTAAGGGATAACAAGTTATGTTCATTTCATAGGTTTTTTTTTATATTTTATTTTTTTAAATATATTACAAATATTTAGCTTTTAGCTGTGAAGTCATGTAAAGCTGACAGCACTGATTGCGTTGGCTAACTTTCGAGAGATTGCTTTCTTCTGCTTCGCAGTTGCGTTGTCTTCGCCTTTGCCAATCGCCAGTCTGCAGTCTACACTCTCCAGTCTTCAGTCTACAGTCTACAATCTTCAGTCGTCTGTGGTCTTGCTTCGCCTGCGGTTGTGTTGCTGCGTACCGCTCTACCCGATTCAACCGATTTCTACCTTTACCGCTTTCCCGCTCCGCTGGACCCGCTCGTCCCGCTGCTAGTTGCCAGCTGCAAATGTAAGTATATGGAAATCCAGCTGCTTGGCGAAGGGGTCAACCGATACAATTGACTTGCCCCACAACGGACTTTGTCGATCCGGTAAATCAGCACCAAAGTCTGATGCACACAGAAAAATGTTTACACTTTGTGATCTAAATCTATCTTTATAAACATATAACAATAATTTAAACCACTTTTTCTTTTTGAATGTTTCTAGAAATATAAATACAAATTTCAATAATAAAAAATATATTTTTTTAAGATAAATAAATAACAAAATATTAATAATTATTATCTTGAATTTTTGTAAAAACTTTCGCCGTCACTAACGGGTTTTCCCCTACTCTATTTTCAGTGGGAGTACCAACTTAGCCAAACTTCAAAGCCGCGATGTCTTGGCTAGTCCTGCTGCTGATCCTGTACGTGATCTGGGATGTCAACTACTTCATCCGCTGTGTGTTCACCGTGTTCGCGGGTCGCCTGTTCCAGCGGAAGCGCAAGGTGACGGACACGACGACGATCTACGGGCTGTGCACCTCGCAGGATGTGGACATCTTCATCCGGCACATGAACAATGCCCGCTATCTGCGGGAACTGGACTTTGCCCGCTTCCATTTCTACGCCCTCACCGGTCTGTATGAGCGCATCCGGGAGCGACGAGGTGGGGCTGTCCAGGGTGCCAGTAGTGTGCGCTACCGCCGCACCATACCCATCTTCCATCCGTACAAGATCCAGACGAAGCTGGTCTGGTGGGACGACAAGGCCATCTACTTGGAGCAGCAGTTCGTCACCCTCTCCGACGGCTTCGTGCGGGCGGTGGCCATGTCCAAGCAGAACATCACCAACTGCAACGTTCTCGAGGTCCTGAAGACCTATCCGGAGACCGCCCAGCGGCCGGAGAAGCCCGAGGAGCTCAAGCTCTGGCTGGACGCCATCGAACTCTCCAGCCAGAAGCTGCGAAAGGACAAGTGAGCCGCCTGCTGAGCCACTAAATTGATGAATCTTGCCTCACTCACTTAGTTGCGTAACCCATTTTTTTTGAGTGCACTGTGGAAAAATGTTAGACTGATTTTTTACACTTTAAATTTGCATAACAAATAGAAAAACTGTAATATGCAATGTAAATACCATTTTCTATATAAAACCAGAAGTTTCAAATTCCAGATCTTAAACTAAATACCATAAATTCCTTGAATTTTTCCACAGTGCATTAACTATAACGAACAATTTGTAATAAGATATCACCTTAATAGAGTGGCCGAGTGGCTTATTAAATATAGTTGTTTTTTATAAACCAAATAATAATAATATTTTTGTTTTCTTAACACAAACTAATATGATAAATATTTTTAGTTCAACAGGCAAAATCCAAAACATTTCGTAGAAACGCATTTTTTGGGGTCGATGGAGTTTCTTTTCTCGACTTTCATTTATGCTAAGTTCGATATCACGCAACGCAAGGTTGGTGTGTCGATAAGTCGATGGATTGTTTATTTTTTTTTTTTTTGCTGCCTCCGTTATGGCACAGTTAATAGTTATTAATGCAGTCTGTTTTTTTGGTTATGCAACATTTAAAAACGAAACTGTTGACCGGATAGCCACCATAAGCAATTTGTCTGCAGAGTATGCAAAAACCGTGTTTGGTGAATTTTCATAAATAATGTGTATTGTCTCGAAATTTTCGTTATGTTGGGAATCCCAAGAAAAATAAACACAATATTCAAAGGAATTAATTATGATTTCTGATTTTTTTAGTGAATCTATTTAGGAAAAATTGTTAAAAATGTTAAAAAAAAAAAATAAGGTGCGCAGAAAAAAAAGCAATCCAAATCAGTTTCGAAAATACAATTATTTTTTTACCCAATTTTCTTATTTTTTTGCACTATGTGTTTTATGCGAAAAATGGCCAAAAATATACATTTTCAGGTTTGAATGCCCATCGATGGAGATCTGATCCCAATCAATTTGTTTCGAAATATTTCCCAGGTTTGTTTTATAAAACCGTTATATTTTAAGCCTTCTTGTCAGGGATTTCTAAGTTTTTATTCTCCATTTAGTTTTCTTTTTGTGCCTCTTTATTTTCTCACGATGCGAAGGTTCGTCGACCCTTCAAAGTGCACGTAATGACAAAAAATATTATTTTGCATTAGATTCCAATCTTTCATTTCCTTATTTTTAAGCTAATGATCGGCAAACAGCTGATTGTAGGACGTAATCCAAAGCGTAATCCGTGACGTCATGTCAGATGCAACAGCTGCACACACGGCGTATGAGTGCTGACCACTTCCACTTCCCGTCGCTTTTATTTGAAATCTCTCCATTTGTTGTGCTTCTTTCTCTTTGTTTTTTGTTTTTTGCTTATTTTCTGTTTGTGGTGCTTAGGCCGAAAAGTGGATCAAAACGTGACACTGAAATCTAAACATAAATCTCATTCATAAAGTATGCAGACGGCGCGCGCGTCGCTTTTCTAGCTCTCTTTTGGGGCCTCACGTACCACCAGACTGGATTCTCCCCAGAGCTTGACTCTCAGAGAGCGAGGGTCTCGGTGCAACTGTCGCCAGAAAAAACACGGACAAAAATATGCCCTTTATTCAAACAACATTTGAAATGCACTAAGATAGAGTTTGCGGGGTATTTAACCATTTTGGAATATTATTTGTTTTATTCCTACAAATAATTATAGGATCTTAACTAAAGCATAACATTTAAACCAATAAGATGAGTATTAATTGAAAATTCGTTAAAGTATTTATCTTAAACTTTCGGTATAGAAATGAAACTAATCTTTATATCAATAATATTTAGAATTTACTAGCTAAAGGCTTTATATTATTTAGTATTAAATCAATACCAAACTTTTATATTAAATCTAGTTTATTTTCAAGAGAACTCGTATTTTTTGATTGCTTTTTGGGTGTTCCTTTTTAATGATATATGTATAAAAACAAAATAAGATATTTGGGGACTCAAATCAATACTTATGAATATCAATTTCATGATTTGTCTCATTATTATTATTATTTTAAACAGCGATAATTAAGGTACAAGAAAAGAAATGTATATCTGAGGTCTTCTTCAAAGCCTATTAAGTGCACCCCCGATTTTTTGCGGTGTGTTACAACTTGCAACCGAAGCTACTTCGGCCGGACATTCGTGCCACTTCGGCTGCTGCGCTGGAACGTCGCTTCTTGACTATTTTTAAACAACGCAGAATTGTCAGTTTATTTTGAACAACCGCGGCGAGCGCATAGAATACGCAAAACGAATTTCGAATCCCCCCAAAAAATAAAAACCCTCCTTAGATCCGATTATCCGAATCAGAAGTGCAGAACCAAAGAAACGAACAGGAAATCGGAAATTCTTGTACAAATTAATTGGGCCAATTTGTTGTTTTTTTTCGAGTTCAATTCTGTGTTAAAAAGTGCAAATAAAAATCCTTAAAAAAATCTGCTATAATCCCGAGAACCACATATTTCGACCCATAGCCAAAGTAAATATCCTGTTTGTATATTATATACACATATGTACCTAGTATATAGAAAACCGATGCGGTGACAATAACAACGAACTTTTGCAGTTTATTGACAGCAGCAGCAGCAACAACCACAAAAACCAGATTGAAAGCAAACAACAAACAACAAGCAACAACTTGAAGTAATTTGCAACTGAAAAGAAATGCGGCAATGGGGCACAAACAAAGTATAAACACATAGATTGGCCGATCGGCCAGTAAGGCCAGCGACAACAACAACAACAATAGCAAAACTCTGAAAAGCCACAAACAACAAAAAGAGAAAACTTTTCGTGGACGACACTTTGAAAGACCCACAAAAAAAAAAGCGCAAAAGCAACGATTAAGGGGAGGTCTCAATGGTCAGATGGTGAAAATCTTTTTCAGAGCGACAGATCTTGTTGTTGTTGTTGTTGTTGTTGTTGTTGCTGCTGCTGCTAGCGGATCTGTGCAATGCCAACTTTACCCACTGGTTTTTACTGCTGCTCACTACAGTACTCTCTCTTTATATACCATTCTCCCCTGATCTTTTGTGATCTTTGTCTGGAAATTACGAAATATTACACATTTGTGTCATCATTTTCGGTAACTCTTAATCTTGGGAAGGGGTTAAAACATTTATTTTACTGTATGATTTTTATCTTTTGATTAATTTTTGGTTCTAAGGATAACTGTCTTTAGTGAAGAATTTCTTACGAAATATTACACATTTGTGTCGTCATTTTTAGTAAGTTTTTAACTAAGAAATAAGATAAATAATTTAGTTTACTATATGATAATATTTTTTAGTTCTAAGGATCAGATTCTTAACATAGAAATTATTTCTTGGCATAGATTTAATTTCTCCTAATATTTCTTCAGAACTACTCATTAAAACAGCCTGAAAATATTCCCAGAAAATTAAAAGTAAAAGATTTTGTAATAATGAAAAGCACATACTTTTTAATTGGTGTAAAAGCATTTCAATCAATGGATGTCAAATAATATCACACTTCAATTTGCGTTTGGAAAACCGTAACGCTAACCGATTTACCCTATTACCTTTGCGATTAGCTCGACTTTTGGGTAAACGAAAACAATTTTAGATTTTTGCTGGCATCATTTTCCTGGCATAAATCACTCTGCCACATCCACATCCACATCCGCAGCATCCCAGATCCAGCTACTCGAATTATGATAAATGCTAGTGCTTGGTGGATAGTGTATAGTGTGTACGCTATACAAGGTATGTGGTGTGTAGTGTATAAGGACGGTGGGGGAATGGTGGGTGTAGTAAATCGCAAATTTTCAGCGTCAAATGCCATTAAGCCAGTCCGCGTTATTGAGTTAAATTGGAAAATAAGCGAGCGACAGTTGCTCTCGTTGTTCTTGTTTTTGTGTGCCTTGTGCAATTGCTCGCACTTGGAGACGACAAACTGGGAATGGGAATGGGAATGGGAATCGGAATGGAACTGAACTGAAAAACCACAGCATACCATGGACATGGACAGCCCAGACCCATTACCCCGCCCATTCCCGCTTATTATTTGCACTATTTCATTATTATTATGTTCGGGGGGGCGGACGATCATCATCATCGCGGATGATAGTTATTCCAATTATATGGCTCGACCCTCGAGCGGACATTCCGAGTCCAAATCTGAGTCCGAAGGGGTTACGAGATCGTAGGAGGATCGAGATTTGGAGGCGCGTGCTCCTCGGGGACTTCAAGTTCAGATCCATTAGCAAGGTTAATTATCCGATTATTTCTAATGACTTGCATTTCTTTTAAGACGGAAAATTAAAAGCTTTAGAATATATTTATTAATATCTAAATATTTGCAATCCTGCAAGAAATATAGCTAATTGTAAAGCCCCTTAAAAACCAACAGTGCATTTCAAAAGAAACCCTATTTCTCTCCTTTTATTTTGGCAGTATTGCCGCTTCACACGCAATCTTTTTTGAACACGAATTTTCCCAGATTCATGGAGCTCGATTGCAAAAAAACATGTGATCATTAGCATGAAGCCAATTCTGTGGGTGCTGCGGCTTCTTTTATGGGAAAGTCATGAGAAGAATGCAAATTTTGGCCATTCAACTTTTGATTCTCTACACTTTTGCAAGTTGGCGTTTTTTTTATTATTTCTATGGAGACTTTTAATCTATAACATTTTTTAGAGTCAGCCTTGAATGCATTTTCGCCTTAAATAGTTTAAATAGTTTAAATAAACAAATGAGGACATCCATTTATTTGTTCATCTGCTTCGGTGACCATGGACATTGCTGCTGTTAATTTTGTAGTTTTTATTTGTTTCGTTTTTTTTGTTTAGTTATTGTTTTCATTCAATCATGGAAAATATTTGCATAAACGAGTGCCCATCCATGTGTGGACATTTGTGCATATTATTGCATTTGTGCAGCAGCTGCAATTGCTTAACCAAACGCCCCCGCTGGCAAACACGCTGGGTACTCTGGTTATCTGGTTACATTACAGACCAAAGGAAATGCCAATGAAAGGCACACAAATAATAAATATAGTAATAACTAAAAGAGAGACATGCAAAAATAAATGAATATTTCAAATATTTATTATTTGAAAGCAACAAATCGCTCGTTGAATATATGATTATATGCGATTATCGAAATAAGATTGTTTTCTATTTAGGGATAGGGTTCTTGAGGTGATATACTAGACCTGCCTGAAACTTTTGGTTGCTTTTCAGATCCCGCCATGGGCAATGCCGGCTATACCTGCATACGCCGCACTTTCTGCTGGCTCAACATCATTCTTTGGGTAAGTTATAAAATCAAAAACCTTTTAAATGTCAAAATAGGTGTCTAAAAGTAGGCAACAATATATTTTAACCAAAAAGTGATATGAATTTATACAGGATGTCGAATATCCTTTATTCACTGCATACTTTTAGACACATATTTTAATGTTTAAAAGTGATTTTAAAAACCTAGTTATTATTTCTGTGGCATTTAATTCGTTTAAATTTAGTTTCTCAGATTTTCCAAATAATTTTTAGAATTTTCATAGAACTGAAAATAAATAACCTAATATTTCTAGGATGATTTTAAACATGAAATATAGCTTTTGAATTTTTTTTTTCTGAGTGCAGATGCTGCGGACGGATATGCAGCATCAGAAACAGAGCATAAACATATGGGAGGTGGTATTGGAATGGGAATCTGTTTCAGAATCAGAAGGTAGAACAGCTAATCAGAGCCATAACTTTGCCGTCGTCTGCAGCGGAAGTGTCTTTGTGTCTTTGTGACAGCATGTTGCATTGTCTGAGCGCCTGCCATTGACTTTTTGCCTTTGGTTTTGGGTTTGTTTTTGGTTTCAGTTTCAAACTCTACTTTGACTTTGACTTTGGCGGCGAGCTTGCTTTCAGCTCTCTGAATCTGCAGATGCAGCTGCAGCTGCAGCTTCCGGCCCCATGAAAGTACCTCCCCCCCTCCACAAATGTCACATGTCAGCCTTTAATGACATGCAACAGTTGTGCCTCGTCTTCAGTCTTCAGCTGCATTCAACTGCCAATCGGGGGATTTATCTGATTTACCTTTCAGCAGGATAGATCCTTCAGCGAATCAGCTGCATCAATGGCAATTATTCAATGTTTGTGTCTAAATTTTCCCATTCGAAGTTGTAGAAGTTGACTTTGATTTATTCAGAAAATTTATAAATAATAGGTACACCGAAAAAAACAAATCATAGAAACTAAACTATTCGTTCATTAATTCTAAGCCATTAAGTTTTAAAAATATTTTAAAAGAATGAGTATTAAATGAATACTTTCGGAGGTTTTAAAATTAAACTTTCGGCTTAGAATTTAAACGTAAAAATATAAACTTAAGAATATTTAGTATAAAACGAATACTGTACCATATAAATACCATACTTTAACACAAGGCTTAGTATATTTTAAATACAACGAGTTTTAAGAGTTAAACTATGGTTTTTTTTTGGATGTAGATTATATTGAAAAGGTCTCTTATAAATGGTAAAATGCATTTTTGTGTTCTTAATCACAACTATATTTGGCCAAGGGAAATGCAGTTCCCTCTCTCTTTTTCTGTTCGAGCATTCTGCATGGCAATTTGCTGCCTTTCTAATTTCCCATTTCCATTTTTGATTTCTGACTGCAGCTGTGTAGCTGTGCGTTTTTAGGAGCCGGACTGTGGCTGCGTCTGAGCTACGAGGGCTACGCCACCCTGCTGCCCCAACACGCCGGCCTGAGTGCGGACACCATCTTCATGGGCATCGGGGGCACCGGGTTCGTGGTCAGCTTCTTCGGCTGCTGCGGCGCCTGGGTGCAATCCCGCTGCCTCCTGGTACTGGTGAGTAAACACTGCAAAAAATACTGGTTTCTAAGGGTAATCTGAATTATAAAGCTCCATGCTAACATCTATAGTTTATAGTGGCAAATTTAAAACTAAAAAGAAGATACCATTAAATAAAAAAATAAGATCTGATAAATATTTTTAATCTACAGTATTTTTGAAATATTCGTACACTTAAAAATATTTTTAACTGAATTTATTTTTCTACCATATTGTTCAATCCAAAAAATATTGTTCCGAAAATGGCATTCATGTCGTATGAGTGATTTATATAACATTGCATATTTCGATAATTCTTCAACTCAATATTATCATTAACAAATATTTTTGCATCGAATCTATTACGTTAATTTCAATTATATTATAATGTTTAAAAAGAAACCATTTGGTTAACTATTTTTAATACAAAGAACATCCATGTCGTATGAGTAATTTTTTTTTAAATTGCATACTTCAATGATTCCTTCACTCAATACTATCATTTTTAAAGGCTTTCAAACCGAATTTACAATCTTATTTTATTTGTAATTTAACAAATAATAGTTGTAAAATATTTCTACAAAATTGGCACTCATGTCGTATGAGTGATATTTTTTTAATTGCATAAATCGAATCGAATCAATTACCTTAAATTTAATTATTGTATAATTATGGTTTTCTTCGACATCCTCTATGATTTACATAAGCAACAATATTTATTTAAGGTTTATTTCGGTTTATTCTAATCAATTAATTTCTCTCTGTGCACTCCATACGATACCATATCTGCCCCCGGTTCCACGGCTCCAAACAGTACTTCATGCTGATTGTGATGCTGTTCATGAGCGAGTTCCTGGTGGGCTCGATCGCCTTTCTCTTCCGCGGCGGCTTGGGTCGGACTTTGGCCAACGAGCTGCGCTTCGGGATCGAGCGGCACTACAACACCAGCGACCGGGGATCTTTGGTGGCGCCTTCGGTGGCCTCCATTTGGGACAGTGTGCAGCATTCGGTGAGTGGCGCCCTTTCCTTTTTGCTAGCATATTTTTAAAAGAAATCGTTGGCCCCCTTTTTTGCAGTTTGAGTGCTGCGGCGTTTCCTCGTACGAGGATTGGTACGACATCCAGTCGTGGCCGGGAAAACGCTGGGTGCCCGAGTCCTGCTGCAGGACCCTCTATGACCAGCGCCAGGTGCTCACCGAAGGATCCGGCGACGGAATGATGCGCGCTGACTGCGGCAGGTGGGTGATACCATTTCAGATTTCATATATATATTTTAACAGTAAAATTAAAATCATAAAATAACAAAATCATTTTGATTTATTAAATTAAAAAAAAGATGTATAAAAAGAAAGTTAAAAATTCCAAAGCAATCGTAGAAATTTTGAAACCACCGAAAAGCTGTCAAAAAGTATGCTATGATTATGTTATTTTACTCGGAAAACCTAAAATTTTCTAGTATACTTTTAGGCACCTAATAACTGATCGCTTTTTTGACCAACTATTGTCCGTATTTTGTTTGCAAATTAGGTATATTCTAAATTAATATAATAGGACCTATAAAAAACGGTCAGTAGCAAATTTCACCCAGAACGGATTGACATAAAAATCTAAAAAAAAATCACATTAATTCCTAAAATAACACGGAGCCGCGTGTGAGGTACAAATTAGAACAATAAACGACTCCCAAGTGCCCCAAAATTCGATTTTTTTTTAAATTCTTTCTTGTATTTAATATATTTTATAAAAAAAATATAATATTTTTTATCCCCTCTTTTCAGATCCGAGAATCCGTCGCTGTGGTGGGACAAAGGCTGCGCCCATTCGCTGCAGAGCTGGTTTACGGGTCAACTGAACGTTGTGGGCGCCGTGGGACTGGGGATCGCCTTTGTCCAGCTCTTCGGGCTGATCACCTCGATGCTGCTGTTCTGCACGGTGAAGCACAAACGGGCCTCGGACACCTACAAGTCGTACTCCCCGTCTATCGATCCCCAGACCCGCACCAGCAGTTGGGAGGATTGAACGCGCCTGTAACTGGGCGGTGGACGAACTTCTAAATTGGGGGGAGGGTTCGGGGTCGGAATCGAATCCCCCCAAACTCTGTCGCTATCTCTATGTTCTTTTTGTTAACTCTCCTAGTTTCTAATTCATTCTGCGAAATGTGCCAAAAATTAATTTAATTCAAAGTGTATTTTTTTGTTTTTTTATTTGTAATCTGTAGGCGAAGACATATCGAACAAAATTTAGGGGGCTAAGATGGTGTTGGCTCCAAGTGACCAAATCACACATTTACCAAGATGATTAGTTAGCGGTGTATCCATATTGTGATGTGCTCTCTAGTAGTATATAGTATATGGCCCAAGACCCGTACAGTGCGTTTCATACTTATCTGGCAAGCAGAGTTACCAGCTAGTGTGAACGGGGCTTAGGACCAACAAAATATGCTCGTAACCCTTTAACTAAAACAATATGTAACCTATACTATACAATTATACTTATGTTACTTTATGGAACTTTGTAGTATTCGAAATAGCAGAAACCGCAACTGCCCGAAAAGCATGAAAACCCAGAAGACGAAGAGGAATACAATGAGGAAGAGAAAGAGGGAGGGGAATAGTTAAAGCAAATATTATTACTACTATGAGTATGATTATTTTATTTATACATACAAATATATTTATATATCGAAATACATTCCTACACAACATGTTCGTGTTAAGTTACAAATAAATTAAAGTATTTATTTAAATTACAAACAAAAAGTAATAGTTTTCTTCTATAAGTAGTGAAGTGCCGTTAAAGGCCCACCAATTTGCCACCGATGATATCCAATTGAGCGGTAATTCCCTTCGTAACGCTGCGCGCCAGCTCTTTGGGTTTCTGCAAGAGAAAAGTGGGAGAGTTGGAAAGGGGGAAGAGAGTGGTCAAGAGAGAGGGAAAGCGGGAACTGACCTTGGTCAAAACAAACATACGACTAGTTGCATAAGCAGTGCCAACAAGCAGTAGAGCTGCTCATCTGGCTTTCTTTTGCTGCCAAATCTAGCTATTTTAAAGCTATATATCTGAAGAACTTTTTAGATAGCCAAGTATGTCGATTTTGGGTTTTACAATATGGTGAATAATTTTGAAAATTTATCTAACGAGTTTCTAATATTTAAAATACTTCTTGAGCTTCAGATTCGGATTTAAAAAGGTATATTTTTCACCATATTTTGATTTTTTCAAAGAATTCTGAATAGATATTACGTATAACTAAATTTATGGAATTTTTGTAACAATTGGTTTTCAATTTGTTACAATTACTAATCAAAATTCGTTAGTGTTTTTAAATATTGTATGCAATATCCAAATTTTAAATGACAGTGGGAAATATTTTTAATGCTTAACCAATTGAGCAGATGTAAGGTATTCAAGATATTTTCTTCTCAAGATAGGTAAATTTTTTAAAAACATTTTTCTGTTTTATCTGCTCAAGGGGAGCAGCACTGGCGAAGAGATCACCGGTTGGATTGGACAATCAGTGACTCAAACTGCACTGGGCGGGGATTATGCAACGCGTGTGTGCGAATGGATCCACCGTGGAAATAAGGCAAGCAAACATAGACACGACACGACGAAAAAAAGAAATAAGCAAAGCCATTTCGGCACTCACCTGTATGAAGGTGTTGAGCAGGTTGGAAAAGGCCTCGTAACCGTTGACAATGGATCGCGAGATGCCGTCGAACATGTCGCCATTGTTGCCGTACTTTTCGTGCTCGCTGATCGAATCCAAAATGGGAACGGGCTGCGATCGAAATGGGAGTTAATTGGGTCGATCCAATGGGGTATATCCATATGCAGCAGCCTCACTTACCTGGGCCAAATCGGCCAACTTCTTCTGGCTATTATCGTACACACTCAACACCTTCGAGGGAATGGCCTCCTGCTCCAGATTCACCGATTCCGCCGTTTTTGCCGGAGTTGGCAAAAGGGAGATCTGCCGAAAAAAAGGGGTGGGTTGTTTGGATATTTTTAGAAATAAGTATCTCTTAAATTTACAACATATTTATTTAACCAACTAAATAAGTTAGAATACTCTGATAATTTAAAATGCATTTTTGGACTGCACTTTGTAATAATATATTTAAACCAGAAAACGTTATTAAAAATAATTTAGTACTTTTATTTTAAGGAGCCTTAAGGGATTTTTATTTATTTCCTTAAACCAATTAGCTGCATTTTGTAGTCAAGAGTAAATATTATTTATTTTCCAAATTCGCACATATTTATATATGTACTTTGTGAATAAAAATAATGCTAATATTTGACTTTAAAAAAAATAAAAATTGCAGTTGTCTTTTTAAAATAATTGTGTCAAATAACTCTTATTGAATTTAAAATGAATCTTAATTTTAGAAACTTTTTAGCTTGTTAACAAATCTTTTCATGGATGCCATTGAGTGCTGGGAAAAGCAAACAAATCATAAGTGCTTGTAAAGTCCCACTATTGCCATTGGTTGTTATGTGTTTTGGTGATGTTTTCCGGCCTCTGACCTTGGCTGGCTGGATGCACATGCAATTGACCTCCGACTCACCTTGAACCCGGCCTCGCTGGCCTCCGCTTGCGTGGATTCCGCGTCGCTGTCGGCGGCATCAAAGGCATCTTGGGCCCCAAAGTCTGCGGCCGAGACGCGGGCGTCGATGGGCGTGGCGCCATCGGGCGTGGCAGGAGCAATGGGCGTGGCGGCGATGCAGTGCATCATGAGTGCCGAAAGGAGCAGCAGAAGATGCACCTTCACAGGTAGCCTACTCATCTTGTTATCTTCTTTATTTCGAGATATTTCTAAAGGGAATACACTTTGCCAAGACAAATCCAAATCCAGCTGCAAATCCCACCTAGAGGCTTCGATCCGAAGTCCGTCGAGTCCAAAATTCAACTGAATGGTCGCGTCTGCGCAACGATTTTATTGGTTTAACCCGACCACGAGAGTCGCCGCTTTGGACATTGAGCCGCGATCGTTTTGGCTTCACTACAGTTTGGCTTTTAGAGCTTCGGATTCGGAGCTCAGGTTTTTCAGGGGGCTTTCGGGGGCCAACGACTTGCGAAGCCGCTGCAAAAGGGACAATAACGTTGCAAAAAACGTATAGGAAATGCATTTAATAAAGAAAACATGATATTAATAATCAAAGGCCTTTGACACTTGCTTGATTTTTGATTAACTAACTGGGCTTATTTTAAAAAGTCATGGCAATCTATAGAAAAACTTAAAGCATTACAATATTGTATGAAATTATATATTAATTGTATTGTAGAGCTTGAAAAATATCGACATTTCGATATTTTTAAACACAGATTTTTATCGGAAACATTGATGTTATTTTAACGTTTTAAAATCATTTTTAGATTTTGCTTTTTTTTCCTTAAAAACATCGATATTATCGATACAAAATGGTGATACTATATAGATATTTTTTAAGCTCTTGTGGGTGAGACATTATTTATAAAAATAAATCAAATTAAAGAAATCTAAAGAAATGTTATGCATTATTGAAACCCCTTCTCCAAGTCTCTATAGCCACACAAACTGATTTTCGAACAGTGTAGCGTATCGATTGTAATGGTAATGACAACAACAAAGCGGCATTAAAACGGTAACAATAACAACAAACAAACTCGAAACCGGCAACTTGTTGCTGTCAACAAATGTTGCCGCCATTCTGTCGCAACAATGAGGAAGGAAACTCGGTTTACTCAGTTAGTTGGTCAATCGGTAGCCGCCCCCTCGCCCCCGAAAAAAAAACCGCCCGCAATCCACCTGATGGTTGTGCAATTATGACTCCACACTAGGAGAAATATAATATAAATATTCCATATACAATAATCAAGTCAGCCCATTAATTTAATATTACATTTTTATAATTCCGCTTTGAATTCATTCATTTTAAATATGAAAATATTAAAATTAACAATTCTAAATAACTTAAGTGTTTTGTTTATTGATTTTAATATTAAATTCTTTTTCATAAATCAAAAAAATTATTTAATAAAATTTGACAAACATTGTTATTATTTTCTACCTTAATTTAAATATTTTCAAATTAAATCTCGCGATTTAATGCGATTCAATTTGATTTTGTATTCCGACATACTTATTTTTACCCTTTTATTCTTGTAACAGAGTACAAAATTTATAAAACACCGGAATAAAATGATTGTATTATCTTTGGGGAATAAAATTATTTTTGGCTTTAAATAAAAGGCAGAAAAAATAAATAGGCACATTTTTCTGGCAGTGCACTGGACTGACCACCGCCACCCAACACCCACTTTTACTTTCCATGCGACTAGATCAATTAAGAGAGTGATTCGGCAACATGATTTATTTATTTGTCAAATGCTGGCCAGGTGGTTTTTCAACTTCCACGGCTTCTTGTGTCATAGTCGCTGGAGTTTCGGAGTTTTAGAGTTTTGGATTAGGATTCGTTGCGATTGCCACCGTCGGGCATCCAGAGAGTGTCCATTGTGTAGGCCTCATCGTAGAGCACCTCGTCGCCGATGGTGAGGACCAGGGTATCATCGATGTCCTGGGTTTCCGGGGTACCTGGCGAATTTGGAATCGGAACCGGAGAATCTTCCTTCGATTCGATCTTCTTTTCCTCTTCCGGAAGAGAAGCCTTCGGAGGAGAAGCCTTCGAAAGAGAAGCCTTCGGAGGAGAAACCTTCGGCGGAGAAACCTTCGCAGGCACCTGGGCCAGGCGCTTCTTGATCTGCACCAGCCGCTTCTGGGCGAAGTCCACCTGGCCCTTGGAGGCCACCACGACCTTGACGTCGATGATCTGGCTGCACAGGATATCCAGCCGCAGGTTGAGCAGGTTAACCGGCTTCTGGCGGTAGTCGGAGGCAAAGTAATGCGTTCGCCGGTAGTGTGAATCCGACTCCGACCGCCAAGAATGCGGCTTAGAACGGGGCGGCTTGAAGTTCGTCTTCTTCACGTTCTTCTCGTAATATTCATCTGCGGAAAGGGGTGTTCTTAACTCCCAGAAATGCCCTTGCCATAGCAAAAACACTGCTTACCCAACGACATCGACTCCCATTCCTTCTTGAAAACCAATTTTTCACGGAAGCTGTCCATCTTTTCCTATCAGTTTTTTTTTTCAAGTAGTTTTTCCTATCAGTTTTAATTTCTTTTGCAAGTCTAGATTCTTTTTTCTGTACGTCCTAGGCCTTTGGCTTGTCAGTTGAAAAGGATTTCCCTGGGACAGTTTGTCTATAATGAAAACTTTGCTCCCAGTGCTGTAGAATCTATTCAGACAAGGAGCAGTGTTTAAAAAGTTCTGACCTTCAGGAGAGGTGTTTTTTTGACAGCTACAACTGGTTACATTTCCACTTTTTCTAGTAACAGTTCCTTAAAAATCCAAAAGATAGGGTTGTAACCAGTTCATAAATTCCAAAGCTTTTTCTTAAGCTGGGTTCTACAGCTTAAATATGAACTGATTTATACTGTAGAGAGCCTATTTCATTATATTTTCGAAAACAACATTTTTTTTTGTCTTAGTGTTCTTATTTTTGTGTATAATTTGTAAAAAAAACTGTTTTTAAGAAATTTTATTCCCAATTTCAAATTCCAATTCCAAAGATTGATTTATTATAGTTCATAATTTCAATAGTTCTCAGTTTCAGATCATATCGGTTAAATTTGGAATCTAAACAGGTAGCCTGGACTTAATCAACACTTATCTAAACCCTAAAAATATAATTCCGTTCATTAATTGGCCAAGACAACTCTATTAGAGAAAACACCTTTAATAAACTTTTCAACAAATTTGCAAAGATCTGTTCGTTTTGCCAATTTCTAGCTGATTAGGTGCGACTTCGCTTAATTAAAAGTGTCGTCGAAGACTTATGCTCCGCCGTATCGAGCACCATCACTATCATTATCTCTTGAGGCGTAGACCTCGAGAACTGCGGGAACACGCCCGATATCTTTAGGGGTCTAATGTAATTGGGATTTGCCTGACGGCGTTTGCCAGCTGACGCAAGCGGCTAAATATTTTCGTTTCACTTCCTTATCAGTTTTGCTATTGTTTAGATGTAGAGACATTTATTCATATATATCTAGAGCCGGGGTATAAGGTACATACATATATATATATGCTTTATTGGAAACACTCGCACACACACTCGCCAGTGGTTTATTTACAGTGTTCGTTAAATAATAGCAACTAGTGATAGAATATTTCCAACAAATCGTTTCAAAAAAATACAATAAAAGTTAGAAGTAAGCAAAAAAAAAAAATGATATAAGATAATGGATATGATAGATATGTAGTATATGCATATGGAAAGCCGCTGCACGTCCGATTTGTTTGTACTCTCCTCAATCATCGAGCATATTGCACAAAGGTAAATATATATATATTCGGGTTATATCAATCAGTTGCCGAACTTGATGGACTTTTCCGGCTGGTGGGAGGAGCCGTGATTGAAGCTGGCGCTGCTCCGGTTGGTTCCGTTCTTTAGGATCCCATTGGAGCCCGGCTCCCCGTTCGTTTTGCGCAGCGTTTCCCGCTTTCCCGTCGCCGTCGTCCTCGGATCTCCGTACTCCCCGATGGTCACCGTGCCCAATCGCAGGGTTCTTCTCTGCTGCTGACTCGTGGATCCCGATCCTGATCCCGATCCCGATCCTGTTCCCGTGGGCGATCTCAGTTGGACTGCATCGTAGTCGGGCTGGGGCGTGGCTGGTGGCCGGAATCCGCCCACACTGATGCTGGCACTGCGCATGGGCGACATGGGCTGCTTGACCTTGGCCAAGCTGCCGTTGCCCAGTCCTATCCCACCTCCACCTCCACTTCCGTTTCCGTTCGCCGCTCCATTTCCGGTGATCAGCTTGAGCTGCTGGGGCGGCATCTGCTTTGGCTGGGGATTGGCGAACTGTGGTGGCTGCAAAAAAATAATGAAGGTATTAAAAACTGACCCATTGTTTGCGAAAGTTAATTAAAAAAGTCAATGCCTACTGGGTATAATATTTAAAAAACAAAAGTTATTAATCAATTTAATTAAAATAAAATCAAAAATAAAATCAAAAATCAAAATAAAAAACTAATTCAAAAAGCAATTACCCAAAAAACATCTATCTCATTAGTAAATATAAAATCAATCAAATAAAAACTAAATACTTAAAACGTCTTCCTACTAATAAAATAATTAAAACATTCATTTGTTGCAATAAAACAAATTTATTAAAATAATATTAATCCATTAAAAATAAAATATCTAACTAGTCTTGAGACACATTTCTAGTTTTAAAGATTTCTACAAATTTACACAGAGTTAAATTAAAATGTATTAAAAAAAAATCATTCAACTCAACTATTAAGAAAATATTCAAGATATTTTTATAGTTCTCAAGATTTCTACAAATTCATAGTGAATTAAGTTATATGCTTTATTTTTCTTAGAAAAGGATTGCAAAGTTAGATAACCCTTAAAATACATAAGATAAAATGTTTTAGTTTTTACTGACTCATTGTTTAGAATTGACTTTAGTTCAAGAGGAATTCACAAAATATAATCTATAATTTTGCTACCATAAGCTCTTTTAAATCAAAATATGTTGAAGTGTCAATTTATTTCTAATAGATCCATTTAATATTGATACCCCCAAACAGAAACTATGGGAAACTTTGGACGTTTCAAGTTTAATGGTTGGTTTTATTGATAGCCGATAGGTTGGGATTATTCTTGGGTTATTGTTGGCTCTATAGTTGGACACTCGGACACGGGTCTTTCGCTTACCGGTGGCGGAAGTTCCGGCGATCCATTGCCGTTCGCCGGACTAAATCCGTTTTGTGGCTGCAGGCGATTATTGTTGCTCGTGTCGCTGCTGTTGCTGTTGCTCGGGTTGCTGTTGACGTTGCTGCTGCCGTTGCTGTTGCTCCTGTTGCTGCTGAAGCCGTTGCTGTTGATACTATTCCGATAACAGCTCTCATCGGGCATAATCGAGGTGCGTTTCAGCGTTTCAACGCGCTCCTGCAAAAAAAGTGAGGGGAAAAAACCCAGATTAGCAATAGATTTAACCAGGAATAGTTCTCAACCCTTTGGAAATACCTGATAGGTGGACATGGTCACCAGGGGTCGACCCATGCTCACGGGTCGCATTGTGGGCATGACCCCTGACCCCTCTCCGCCTTCCCCTCCACCGCCTCCTCTCCCGTTTTTCACCCGCAACAAACTCATTTTCCGGCCGTAATGCGATCTATTCCCCAGCGAATTCTCTTCAAGACTGGACAACTTCGGCGGCGCAGCTGGGTTCATCGTTCACCGTTCATCGGCCGACGCCGCCGATTAGATAAAGCCATTGAGGAGTAGTCACTGAACAGTCAGCCAGTCAACTCAACACGAAAAAATATGCCCAACCACCCCACCTGTTTGCTTTTGGCCATTTGTTTGCCCGCTTTTGTTTTGGTTTCTCTAATATATTTCGCCCGCTCTTCGTGAGTCATTCATCCATCTAATATGGAACTCTGGACAGAACTCTCGGCGGGAATCGGGAATCGCGACTCCATCGATAACAATTGAACTGTCATCCAGCGAATGTGAATTTTTGATTGATTTTCGTGGAATGGCCAATAACTAGTCATCATAATAGGCGTTTAAATAATGAATAGGTTCTTAAGTACATATATCATTTGAAGAGGTTGCAAAGCAAGCAAATTAAGCGGTGAAAAAAATTTAAAATTTAATTTTGATATTATTTAAAATTATTAAAAAAATCGAATTCTAAAAATAAATGACTTTCTTAATGCAGTAAATTCTTAACGAATGTAAATCGTTTTTTGGAGATATTTACTAATTAAATTAAAATACATACATATATCATTTGAAGAGGTTACAAAGCAAGCAAATTAACAGGTGAAAAAATTTAAAATTTAATTTTGATATTAATTAAAATGATTAAAAATTTAGATTTTTAAAAGTAAATGACTTCCTTAGTGCAGTAAATTCTTAACGAATGTAAATCGTTTTTGGGAGATATTTACTAATTAAATTAAAATTTTTTCACAGCACTTAATCAGCCTTTTTAATTTGTATATCATTTACTTGGTCACTGATCCTGATTATGGGCCCCATATAACCATAACCATCGTTATATGGCCAAAGCAATCTGTGGCGCTTATCGATCTGGCCGATAAGATGCCCATCGCCACCAGCAATTCATTATAGTCAAGTTGTACCCCACACCCCCTTGAGATACTCGGCCAGCCACTTGAGTGGTTGGTCTGTTGGGCAACAGCCATCAACTAACAACAATGGGCTGGGAAAAGGGGGTCGGGGTCTTGGGAAAGGGGTCTCTTCAGCCAGCAGCCACTGGCCCACGACAAGTGCAGTCTGCAGTCTCTGCAGAGCTCTCTTGACCTTTGCAAGTAGCCGACAATCGATAAATTGCTGCTGCGTTTTGGATGTTGCTGCTAGTTGCTAGTTGCAAGTTGCTAGTTGCTGCTTGCTCACCTTGTGCTCGCTCTCATGGAACCCGTTCCTGAACATTCGCTGGTGCGCCCGCTTGAATTCGTCCATCAGCGCCGTGTGCTGATCTCCGCCAGCTCCATTGGATCCACCCGCTCCTCCTCCTCCTCCTCCTCCTCCGCCGCCGCCTCCCAAATTGCTGATGCGTTCGCTGCTCTGCAATGTTGCAGCCACGCCAGCAACATTCGCCCGCTGGCGATGCGACACTTGTCCGCCGGAGCTGCGGTGGCCTCCACTTCCACTTCCATTTCCACCTCCATTTCCATTTCCACCTCCATTTCCATTTCCATTGTGCCCCGCCAGCTGACGATCCACGTTTCCATTTTCATCTCGATCTCTATCTCGATCGCGATTGTTGCGCTGCTGATGTTGCTGCTGCTGCTGCTGCTTCTGCAATGATTCCAATTAGTGGCTGGTGGAGCAATCTGTTATTGTGCACTTAGAAAAATAAATTCTACGCTATAAGGTGTGCCTTGATATTATGATTTAAAAAACAAAAATAATTTACAATTAAAATTTAATTTTAAAATATTTCAATTAGTTTTCTAGAATTTTGCAATAAATACATATAGGAAATTTTAAGCTGCATTATAATTATGAAAACTTTTTGCTATTAAATTAACTTTCCATTTGTTAATAAACATTAAAAATGTACCTAAAATAAAAATACTACAATCAAATATATATTTCTTAGATGCTTTATAAGTCTGTAAATTTTCTTCACTACATTAAAAATAAAAAGTACTACCACCAAATGATATATCTTGGTAATAAGATTTTGCAAACAAAAATATAATAATTTATAATTTAAAATATTTCAACTTGTTCAACACAAATTAAACTAGCATTAAATTTTTTGGAATTTTCATTTAAATATTTTGTACCCGTTTTACAATTCTGTAAACTAGTATATATTGTAAAAAAATAAATATAATAACTTGTTTAACAAAACTTCAACTTTACAGAATTGCATTGAATTTTTTGGAATTTACATTTTAAGCCGTTTGAAGCCGTTTTTTAATTCTTTAACTTCTTAAGTATGACATTTAAATTTTAATTCGTTTTTTTTTTATATTTGATGATTTCAGATGTTTAGGGATTTTATAAACGAGAAGAAAACTCACCTCTTTGCGCTTCTTGAGCTCCTCGGTTATGGCACTGGAGAGACTGCTGCCAGCTGAGCCGCTGGTACAGGCTCCCTCATTGATGGCCGGTGGCGGTGGAGCAGGTGCAGCAATGACTCCTCCTAATCCCGATCCTGATCCGCCTGCTAATCCCGCAGTATTAACTGGCCTTAGGTGGCTGCGCTTCATGGTAGTTGAATTGCGGGAAGGATTCGATTGCGATTGCAGGCTGCGACCGGAAGTTCCGCTGGCGGAGGAACCAGAACCAGAACCAGAACCGGAAACGGAATTACTGGCTATGTAGGTGTTGTTTATGGAGGTACCATTCTCCGTCAGCTTGATGATGGTCTTGTTCATCTGCTTGTGCACCTCGACGCCCTGCGACCAGTTGGTGCTACCATTTCCCGATCCTGATCCTCCTCCGGCGGACTCCTCCCTGACCGCCGTCAATCTCTTGGACTTGGCATCCGCCCAGCAGGGACTCTGATCGCCCGTCACCGAGCTGGCCGAGCTGTTGTAGCCACTCGATTCGCCTGGGAAGAGGTCACATCCCGCCGCCGTGCGCACCACCATGTCCAGCTTGCTGCTGCTCTTCATCACGGCCACCGCCTCGCTGAAGAGCACATCGGAGAAGTCGATGCTGTTCACGCTGAGTATCTGGTCACCCGGGCGCAGACCCGCTTCCCTTGCGACACTCCGCTCCTTGGTGAACTGCACAAAGATGCCGGGCTTCCATTCGGGACCCTTGCAAATGCCCAGGCCCAGCTTCGTCCTGGGCGCCACATGGAGCACCACACTGATGTCCCGGCTGGCGCCGCCGCGTCGCTCGCCCTTGAAGGAACTCTCCGAGGGAGTGCCACTCACACTGGGCAACTTGACCACGCTCCAGGACAAACGCTCCTCCGGTTGGCTGGGGAAATATTATGTTTTTTTTTAGAAAAGCTCTTTGGGTGCTTGGCTTTACTTACTCCCTCACTGGCAGCATTCCCACGCCGCGCACCTTCAGCGTGACCCGATCCTGGCCAGCCACCAGTTGGATGAACTCCTTGTGCACGGCATCGTCCAGGCGAAAGCCGTTGATCCGCAGGATCTGGTCGCCAATCTATAAGAAGGTGGAAAGTAAACGAAAGATTGACAATATCGATATATCGATGTTTATCGAAAATATCGATGTTTTTAGGTTTCATAATAAAAAAAATATTTATTCAGAGTTGTCACCTTTTCATGGCAACTCTGTAACATTTTAGTATCACAAGTATGCATTATTTATTTCAAAATCAACTTAGAATGCATATTTGCGGTTCTTTTTACCTTGGTAACAATTTTAGACAGTAACTAGCAATAATAAAACAAATTTTAGATGTTTAAAGTTCCGTGAAACTTTTCCACAAATAACAGCTGTTTGAAAATTCAACAGGAACCATTTTGGGTTGTTCCCTTAATTGCTGAAATTTTCTGTTGAATTTTCAACAATTCAGCAATTTAACAGTTTAGAGAATACCCTGATTATAATTTTCCTAAATTCTTTTTTTTCCCTAGAAAGCATCGATTTTATCGATAATATATTGTGAAGATATTGATATTTAAAGCTCTAATGTTTTGTACTCACCCGCAGACCCTTCAACTGCGCCTCGCCGCCGTGCTCCACGTGGGACACAAAGAAACCGGTGCCGTGCTCCCTACCGCCGCGCACCGCGAATCCGTAGGTGCTGCCCCTCTCCGGTCCGCCGACCAGCAGACGCCGCTGGTGAGGCCTGACCAGGCGCAGGACCCGCAGGCGGGAGCTCGCCGGAATGGCGCACCACGAGGAGGCCGCCGTGGTCGTCAGGGTCATCACATCGCTGGACGCCGAGCTGGTCGTCGATCCCTGCATGCTGCTGCTGCAGTCCGTCGACGCCGAATTTGTTATCGATGCCGATGCGGATGTGGATGCGGATATCGAGGCCGAGGCTGCTGTCATCGTCATCATTTTGTTGGGGCTTCTTCACAGGCAGCTGTAAGAGGGGAAAATAATTATAAAGGTATTGTTAATATAAAACAGATTTAAAAGCTTTTAAAAGTTAAAAAAATTCATTGGTAAATTGTTTTAAAATTTAAAGAAACTTTTTAACCTTGAATCATTTTTATTTTGTTCTTTCATTTCTATATTTTTGATAATTTGACATTTAAAAGGTTTATAAGAATCGAAATAATCGATAAAACCAACTTTGTTCATCGATGCAATACCGATCACTCAGAAAACGCACTTGAAGAGTTGCCAAAAAAGCGAATTAAGTGGATTCCGTGCGAAAGTTGAAGAAAGTGGGGAGTGTCTTCCCGTACTCCTCGTACCCCCAACCCCCTTGCCTTCTTAAAAATAAAGTCCGATTTGGCGACGTGAACAGCCTGACAAGTAATGAACGAAGAAGAAGAAGAGGTAGCAGAATGCAAGGCGAGACGAGACATATGTATATTTGTATACTTACAGCATACAAACATACATAAATAAAGTGAGCAAAACTTGAACTTGCAATCGAAAATTTCCCGAATTGGGTCACACGCATCGGCAGAGGTAGTGCTGCTGGTGGGCCCGAATACACTGAACAAAATGTTTAAAAAAATATAAATAAATATTTTTTTTAATATGTATTTTGAATTTACCTTGTATATTGGATTTCAAATGAATTAATTAGAATTAAAATAATTAATTAAAAAATTAGTAAAAGCCTTTTTTTTAATATCAATAATAATATTAATATAATATCTTTAAATTAAAACATGTTTCAGAGTATTGAAACCAGGAATATTTGAAGCTGGCAGGATTTTACCTTATTTCGTAGCCGTTTTAATAATAAAAATAATTAAAAAACATGTTGAATGTTGTTAAAATCAGGAATATTAAACAGATAATAATGTTTAGCCATTTTAATAAAATTTTAAGAAATATATAAACTAGTTTAAGAGCTATTAGCGTCAAACTAGAATCGATCTTATGCGCTACATTTTTTGTTTGAGTGCACAAGTGGTGCTGGTGGTGCTCTTTTCAGTGGTGGTGCCTGCTTTCACGCACCACTGCCAGTTTGTAGGTCTGTAAGTTTGTAAGTTTGTAAATAAGTAAGTGTGCAGGCTGGCAAGCCAGAGATCTGTGGCGATTTACATTCACTGCCGCCGCCGCCGTCGCATAATTTCACTTTTTCACGTAATTCTACGCTTCACTTGCAGCGGCCCAAAAAAACAAAACAAAAAAAAAACGCAAAAGAAACTGGGGGAAAATTATAGAAATTTATTATTGAAATTATGCAGCCCCGCTGGGCCCTGCATTATGCACTTTGTTTCGGATTCAGATTAGGATCGAATCGGCTATTCGTTAGCTGATTCAGCCGGAGCTGCCATATAAATCATTTAGCTCGCCAAAGTTCAACTCACTTACCGGCGACCCGAAGACAATTTTCGGGGGGTTTTTGGGGGTGAAAGGTGGAGTTAGAGATTGGAGGTGGTCTGAATCCAAATCCGAATGCGAACCCAAATTGCCTCAGTTACCCACTTACTGCGAACCAACTGATCTGACGCAAGCGGCAATTACTCGGATCAAAACATTTATAATTGCCCGCCGACTAATGGTGAAATATGAATCGGAATTTTGATTTGCAATCCGAATGGGAGCGATATAAATCATTCGATAATCGGGAGCCAGCCGGCTGGTTATGGTTATGGGAAAAATATGTGATGGTCGACAAAAGTGTGTCGATTGGAAAGAGATAATGGTATAAAAAAATATAGAATTGGGTTATGTGAGCCAGCTTGTTAATTTAATGGGCGGGACAATTAAGTTATAAACTTAACTAGTTGCCGGCAATTGGAAAAGTAATCGAGCGTTTATCGAAATTATCGAAATTGTGTCATCGAAATAAAACGATTCCGTCATTTAAAATCTGTCAACTTAATAAAACGCTTACATATGTACCAATTCAGATAGGTAGTTTAATTTTGATTGATTACAAATTAATTGAATAATCTAAAAAAAAAAAAACAATCTTTTTCATTGAGATTTTAGACGTTTGTAATATTAAATCTGCTCCCAAAAAATATTTGTTATGATCGAAAATTAAAGATAATTGATTTAAGATGTTTAATTAATGTTTAAGTGCAAACTGTGTCATCAAAGTTAAGTTGTTGATAATTATCAAATGTTAATTAAAAACGAGGTCATCGAATAAATTATGAAAGAGGTCGTGTTGTAAGCGTAATAAAATATGAAAAATAAAATTATATTTCAAGGGTCAAGTATCTCAGATCTGGCATCTCAAATCGTTTTGGGTAAACTCCACGACTGACATTGTATTTGATCAACAAGCATTGATAAAACTATGTTGCATTCATCCCACATCCGTTGGCAATTCGGCATCCCAGCAATGCCGCCGATTAACGACAATTATCGGTGGTTAAGTTCAGACCCAGACCTAAATAACACTCGGCTTTTATCTCGATAATGGAGGAGTTTCCCGAACCGCGAGACAAAGATCTCGTTTATCGATGCAGCCGATGAAAAGCGGCAACATGCAACCAGCCAGCAGCAACCTGCAACTTGCAACTGGCAAACGCCACTCCCTTTTCCTTTCGACAGTTAATAACAATAGAAAGAGCGCCATAATAATAATAATGATAATCTGTTTCTGTGGCCGCCACAAATTATTTGGCAGTTACAATTAAGTTTCGACAAACAACTGCAGCGGCAGCAGCAACAAGAAAGCATCAAGAAAGCAACAAGAAAGCGGCAGCCAAAACAAAAGCAAAAAGGCCAAACTCTTTGACGGCCTTTCACCTGTTAAATAAAGAGGAAAAAAAAGCAACTGCCGTACGGCTAACCTCCCCTTAACCCCCCGCTGACCCCTACAATTAGTTCTAATGAGTTGCTGCTGCGGCATCTACAACTTCCTGTCACGCCTCTCGGATTTCCACCTTTCCCCGCTTTTCCCCCTTTTCCCCACTTTATTTCTGTTGACACTTTCCGTTCGGTTTCCGTTTGGCAATTGCTCAGCTTTTGCTTAGACTTTAATGGCAAAACAAAAAAAAACAAAAAAGCGAGAGAAATAAAAATAACAAGCCTTGACCACTGGCTGATTTTTATTTTTATTTCCATACGAACTTCATGCTTGGCAATTCCTCGGAAATGTTTCTGCAGAAAGAAAGAAATTTCCTCGCTTTTGCTAAAAACAACAGGTAAAAATTGGTGTTTTATAGCTGCCTCTCTTTTGGGCAGCTAAAATGTAGTAATTATTTGTGGACATGACTTTCTCTGCATATATGATAATTTTCAGTTGTCCAGCATCCAGTGGGGCTTTGTTGTTTCTTTTTATTTGCCCTCTGTTTTTTTTTTACCGGCTCACGTAGCATTACAGTGAGTTCTCCGCATTACATGTGCGTGACAAGCGCGTTAAGTGTTTTCCCATTCGCATAGAGATCGAGTTCGAGATTCGAGATTCGTTGGACTCGCATTAACAACGGGTTCGGGTTCTCTTTAAATTGATAATCACGCCCCGTCAGTCTGTGTTCTATGATTCGATTGCAGCTCGGAATTTCACTCGGAAATGTGGAGTACGATGTCGATTTCATTAGCCCTGAGTCATGATCCATGATCGGGTGAAAGTCGTAAAGGTTCGATCGCTTGGATCGGGTTCTATATAATGTGTATGTGTCCCATGGTTGTCAACACGCCTGATGAATGATTTATAGACCCATTCGGCACACTTCACCCGACTGAAGGGTCTTAACATGCTAAATGTCAAAAATCACAATAAAAAAGCCTTTGGTAAAGATATGGTCATGATATAAGTGATGGCAATCACAAAAAGAATAGAAACCATCACAAAATTAAAAGAATTAAAGATGAATTTTTCTCAAAAATTCCAAATTAGATTTAAGCTTGAAAAATAGTTTTATCTTTACTAAGTTTGTTTGAGTTAGCTTTAGTGCCAACACTTATTCTAAAAATTTAATTCCTAGTGACTTTTGGTTAAAGGCGAATTATTCTCATAAATCTAAAATCTGATTTTAGCTTCAACAAATTCTGATTTTTATATTATAAACTTTGATAATTTTATCTTAACTAAGTTCGCTAAAATTCGAATGTTTAGAATACTGTTTTAATTAATTGAAATATTATCGAATTAAAGATAAATTGTTCTTTAAAATTCAAATTTATATTAAAGCTTAAGCAAATTTTAATTATTTTGAAAAATAGTTTGGATTTAGCCAACACACAAAAAAATGTGCTTGGTAAAATTGACCAACAAAGATAGTTACGTAACTATTAAAATAGTTACGTGTATTTTGTTTTTGCTTTGGGTTTGTGTCTTCGCTAATTGTGTGAATTTTGTTGTTGTGAAATGACTATTTACTTAGTAGAATTGACAGTTTTGCTGGTTGGGGCCTGTTTGACAATTATTACAGTTGATTTTACCAAGTTTTTTTTTTGTGTGAAGGCATCGGATTATAGATTTAGGCTTGCACAAATCATTTAGTATTTAAACTAAATTTAATTTTAGCTTAGTTGGCTTGAATCCGAATTTAAAGAATGTCTAATTATCACTTTAAAAATCGAAACTTTGTTCAACCTGCATTATCATAAATTATCTAAATTCAAGGGCAGCTTTGATTGACAAGCGACTCCCTTGTTCAGTTGGCTAATCTTTCAATCGCCGTTTTCTTATAGAGGGAGACATCCACAACCACTCCGTGTCGTGTCGAATTCCGCAGTTGGATCGTCAAACTGATTTATCTCGAGCGTTCGTTGCCTAAGTCTTTCGTTTCGCCGATTGCAGCAACGAGGGAAACACAACTGAAACTGATGATGCTGCTTTGCTCTGCCTTTAATTATGAGTTCATTGGGCATGATTTAATTGCTCACGTGTCGCACAGCAAACGGCAAATGGAAATATTTGCACGTACGTATATGTACATATGGATATGCATGCGGCATTTCTCTCTGGCTGATGATGTGTTTTTCAAATCATTT